CCACAAAATGTTCGCAAAATCCTGCAAAAAAAAAAATAACGATGGTTTAGTTTTGGGGTTCTTCAAACTCGCATACCCACAAAATGTTCGCGCAATCCTGCAATCCCGATGGTTTAGTTTAACTTCATACTGGAAGTTCATTGGCTGACTGCAGTTGTTTTTCTCGTTCATTATGTAGCCAGCGAATTTAGAGAAAGTGTTTCCACCGCGGAAGAAGTCACAAAAAACACTTATTATCCAAAGAGTATTTTAAAAATGGTTCTTTCACTGGGGAAAAAATCTGTATCGCTGGCCTGATTAACTGTCTTATGTTTTGATTTGACTGTTGTGAACTGTATCCCGGTTTCCTTCCACTAGAATTAACATCAAAGTTAAGCGGTGTGCGGGTAATATTCCCCTTTTGCTAGCATTTCTTTTATAAGTTGTCTCTATTTCTCCGTCTTGCACTTGTACTCTGTCTTAGCCAGCATGATGTAGTCGCCTGAGAGGATTTTCAATGCGATCTCGATTTTTTTCGCTTATAGAAAGAAAAGTACAAAGACGCCTGCTCCTTCTGCACCAGTTTGCAATAACTGTTCTTATTTAAGCAGCTAACATGTTGAGGAAAACACTCCAGTGTAGCTTTCCATTTACTCTCAGGATTAGTTATGTGCTTTGCTTAATTTGAAGCCCTTCCTCAAATGTGTGTGCCTAGTCTTTAGCCTGTGAATACAGCCATCTTTTGTTGCTCCTCGCGTAAAGGAAAGTTTCGCGGAAGAGACTGAGATGCGAAACGTCCCTAGCGACAAGGAGTGAGGTTTAAAATAGGGTACCACGGAAAATTGCACATTATGGTCTAAAAAGGGGTTAAGGTAACAAGAGGAATGCTCCATCCCCCCACCCGAAATTTTATACGAGAACTCCCCCTCTTGCCTCTGTGAGAGTTACACTAAGTGAAGACAGCCAAGTAGTATTTAAAACGCAAAAATTGATTGAACAAATACATTTGCAAGCAAATATTAAATCTTTGTTAGCATGCTGAGACTGATAACACAACAATGACATTTTACCAAGTTTAACTGCCGCAGAATCTTACTCAGCTTACTAACACGCACTTTTGTTTCAGATTGAATGCAAAAGTATTTACCGGTAACCATAAAATTGTGATCATGTAAGTGAGGATAAAACTCGGGATAAAACTACTAACACTCAAATATGATTGCTGCAAAAGTATCTGAATACCTCTGGAAAAAAAATGTTATACAACCAGACAGTGCCAAGAATAATTGACTCTCACTTTCTGTAAAAATGTACCGGAATATTGTATGATGGACATGTTCAAAGCAAAGAAAATTAGCAACATGTGAGAATAGGTGTTATAATACAGTATATCCAGGCAAAGATCAAGATTAAGATATTTCGGATTTCAGGTTTACCCTATGTTTCCTTCTTCTAGTTTTTCAATCTGTAGCAATAACAGAGAGTCCCTAATAGGTTTTTTGAGATAGAGGATTCAGGATTTCAAAGCAAAATGGAGGTGAAATTTGGAATTGAAAGTACGCACAGGATGTGGTATGTAAAAAAGGACTATCAGGATTAAGCGAAAATTTGACTCAGGGAAATGGGATTAAAGACCCCTATTAGGGACCCTTAGGCCTATTGTCTTTTCAGAACTAAATATTTTACCTGAGGTGACTGAACTTTACGGTGTTGTTCAGTCATAACTATAAAAATTCTTAAAGATGCAAAATAATAATTCATGGCATGCGTCCTGTAGGACGCAAAGATCGATCGATCGATCTAAACATATGTATTTGTAGAAATATCCCATTTGTGTAATTTCTGCGGAAGTTATTATGGCTGTTATTTAATGATGCATATTTCTGTTAGCCTTTGTTGTGCTTTAAAATAGAAGGATTATATTTTAATTTCAGTATACTGTATTACAGAGTTCTGGAGTCTGTCTTCAGATTAACTGTCTGGTTACATAAAAGCCAAGCATTTTCAATCTCGGACTCATTTTTTAACTGGGACTCGTGACTTTTCACACTTGAGTCCCAGGGCTCACCATGTTATAAAAAAAAATCATTGCATAACCAATCTTGAGGTAAACAAAATACTGAGAAAAAACACTGGTTTATTTCAGGCCACAGAAAGAAGCCAACAGTGTTGCAAGGGGCAGAATAAAATGCCACTTTAAAGGATGACATAGATTTATAGCACCAGCACAAATCCTGCTGATTACAGGTCAAAGATGATGGTTGACTTGTCTTGGGATGTGACTATTGTAGAGGCAAAACTAAAAAGTGGCTCTTTGATGAAATAATCAACTGCATTGAGTCTCTTGTCCTGTGCAAGTTCTTCAAGAACCGGAAGGCCTCCATATATAAAATCAGAATCAAAAGCTTGTTTTGTTTGTAATATTGATTGGGGTAAGTACCTTCCGACGCAGCCATGGAGATAAAGAGATTGAATTTCTGAAATATGATTTCGGGACTCAAAATATCAGCCGGTCAACAGGCAATGTCTGAATGACTGAATGACTCGCTGGTCACGTTGACCGATCAAACATACTCTCACTCTTCCACAAACAGTCACTTAATTCTCAAATGTAAATCTAATATTTTGTCAATCACATCCTCAAATAGAAATTTACACAAGAAGCTTCATATCCACCCACAAATATCTAGAAGAGAGTTTTTGCTTTCCTACTGGCAGAGGTCATCATGATCTGAGACCTCTGCTAGCAGGAAACAGAGCTTTATGATTGCAAAACCCAAGTCTAGTTATCAGGCTGCAAAGAAAGTCTGTTTTACAGCCTGCCATTCAGGCAAGCTGTAGCTAGCATGTACTAGCCCACAAGTTGTTTTGACTAAGCCCCAAAACCCTTTTTGATTAGCAGGATTGATTACAATCCTTCTGTAATTTGAATTGTGTAGTTCCAAAAATCATCCACACCACCCCCATGGAAGCGATTTTTCCTTAGACCCCCCCCACCTCTCTGGAAATTCCAGTCAATCTTCATACATTTACTTAAGACAACCCCCCAAGTCCCCCCAGGAAATTTCAGTCCCTTCTGTGGGGGGAGTATGGATTTTTCTGAACTACATTTTTCCTGGAACTACACTTTTGGGCAAGTTACAAAAAACATTTTTGTAATTAAGGTAGTTGTTGCCCATTTTGGGCATGTTTCGATCTGTTGTTGTTTGTACTATACCTGTAAAAAAAAAAAAAAAAAAAAAAAAAAGTTACAGGTGTAAGAACAAAAATCACTAGCCCGATAGCAAAATCCACTAGCCCTGGGCTATTGGACACAACTTTCTTTGCACGCTGAGTTATAGAATAAAATTGAATTGGGGCTGTTATAAAGGGCCAGGGCCCGCCCCCGGGAAGGAAGGCTGACCTTGGCTTTTCGGTTTTTCGTGGGGTAAAAAGCTCAATCAACTACAAGACAGACCTTGAACTTACTCATACACCTGCTACTGATGCATCTGCATATGTGAAACAGAAAAATAGGTATTTATTGTCGGCACAATAGCTCAAAGAAAATATCCTCAGAGGTTTCTTGTATATTTATGCAGAAAATCCAGGAAGTCAGGAAGTCCGAAAAGAGTAGTGTCACATACGAAAGAAAAGGAAAAAAAAGCAAAAGGCATTTTTTTTTTCGGTGAAAATATATGCACCTAAAATTGTAAACCAATCCTTGACAAGGCAGGAATGCTTACTATAATTCCCACTACTGCGTAAAAAAGTGGATTCCATTTAATTCTGTCTGTTCAGTTGCAGATCAGAGATGATATAAAAAAAGATGTAGCGAAAACATTGGAGACCAGCTGCTGCTTACTGTTAGATGCCACAGAGATCATGCATAATAAATATTAAAAGTTCCGTGATAAAAGCATGAACATTAAAAGCCCTGCATTTAAGGCTTCTTTGTATATTATTTTAAAAGATAGCATTGTGCAGACATAAGCTTAGTAAATTTTTAAGATGTGAAAGACAAAGCAAAGATTACAGTCCAATATAGTGCTCCTTATAGCTGATAACCTGTCATACTAGGGTGTCACACTGAAAACAACTCTGTGCTATTTGTTCATGGCAATTTGATAAAGGTGGATCCCATCATTAAATTTTCTGTCAGAACAAAGTAAAAAAACTTTGACCAAAATTTTTTTTCATAGGATGTAGTGTTACCATATTACCCTTGGATATTTCAGTAGCTAGATTGCAGATTGTTTAGGATTAAGTTTAGCTCTTAAAACTTGTTGAAGTCCTTCTTTCGTGGTTAACTGTTAAATATATAAGTTTGAAATATATATTCATTTTTGACAGTACATGTTTGATTTTAACATTAACCGAAAATATTTCCTCAGTTTATTTATCCATATCTTCCTTAAAATATCGAAAACAGGCAATTCAAGACAGTCCATCTTCAAGAGAAAGCGCACAATTCCAAAGAAAAATCTAGATAATCTGCACATACAGAAGCTTACAGACAATGCACATTGATCTCCTGTGCGTCAAACAACTCACCTTCACTCAGCAGTTCTCTCTCGTCACCCCTTGCTGTCTTTTTGTAGCCTTCACCGACTGGATTAAGGTTAAAAGAGGTTGTGGTTGTGGCAGAAGCCATCGGAATTACGGCAATGTCGAAAGCTTGCCCTTCACGAAAATTCACATCTTGCGCCAAGCGTGAAAGCAAAACAGTGTTGGAAATTACGGGTGAGGTCTGGGCGTCAGTTATGTTCGTGCGGGATCAACTGCTTATTCGGGAGTAATCCCGAAATGACCCGATAGTAAAGAAGAAAGCAGAAGCGACCAAGAAATCTTTTCCCTCTCTGTTGAGAGTGTCAAAATGAAAGCTTTATTTTTCAATTCATTAAAGATTATGATTTGTTTAACAGTTATTTATCATACATCAACGTGGAATACTGTAGTAAAGTTTAATAAATTTGTCCCGGAGTCCCGTGAGTCCCGTGAGCGGTTGCTAGGAAGATTTGTGACGTCGCGTGTAAGCAAAAGGCCATACAATCCTACACTGCATCAAACAGAATTTGGAGTTTCTTCTTGTTCGTGTGTGCTCTGAAAAAGTTCAGTCGCAAGCAGAAGCAATGTTAGATTTCAATTTCCTTGGTAGAAGGTGGCAGGTTTATTAGTTATGTGATTGGCGACGATGAGAAGCGAAAGTTCTTGCAGTGCATTGTGTCAACATCCCGAATGTTGGAGAGCTAACTTACAAAGAGTGAAAGATGCTGTCAGGTTAAGAAACGGAATACAGAGTCATGATCATGAAACATCAGATAAAAAGGATTTTACATCTGTGGATGATCTAAAGACTCCCGTTGAAGATGGTAAGCTAGAGACAAGGTCGTAAATTTGTAATGGTGACGCATGACATAATTGGTTTAAGCAGTTTCAATTCATCGACTGGCATTAAATAATCATGTACATTTAATTACCTTTTTATTGATCATGAAATCCATTATGTTAGTGTATTTCATTTAAGCAGTGCAGTTCAGGCACTCAACTGGGATCTTGTTAATTTGGGCACCCAGTCTAACCCCTCGGCCAAGTATCGGTTGACATTAGCAGCCAATACTTGGTCAACATCTTTGCCAACATATCAGTCGACTATTAGTCGACTTTTTGACTGATCAGCCAACATATTGGTCAACATGTAGACCGACACTTGTCCACATGTCGGTCGACATGTTTACCAGGTATCGGTTGATACTTGGTCGGTATACTGATCAACACTCAGTCCATACGGCAAGTGTCAAGTGTCAGCCGAATATTGGTCGACTGTCAGTGGCATATCGGTTGACTGTTGTATAATGTAATTTGTGTTAATCAGAAGTGAAAAGTAAGAACAGACAGCTCCTCACAGAAATGTTCAACAAAGCCACACACCTAAGAAATCTGACCATGAATCAGCGCTTGTATCCTCTCAACCCCCTCGCTTGTTTTCTTGGTTTTGCAGAAACTATTGCTGGTTACACATAGCTATTGTCTTGTAGTGTGGGTATTCTTCAGTGCCTTTTTCAGTCTCTTGAATTGCATCATTTAGTGATTACATTCATCTGCAACACCAAGAGACCCTCAGTTCTGTGCCTCCTCTATTCAAGTGAGGGTGGATTTCCACTGTTGTGTAAGTTTTACATGTGTATGTTGTGGGTCAATTTTATCTTTGGTTTAAATTTTACTTCCCTTTGTTTTAAACTCATCATCGTGCATTACCATACCTATAAACCAGCGGAAATGAAATTTAAACCAAGGATAAAATTGAACCACAACATGTGCGCACGTAAATTTTACACACTTAAATAAAATAGAGGCAATGTATGGAAGGTGTACACTTAAAAGTTAAACCTAGCTCAACTTTGACTTTTACGTGCGGTCTTTCATACAACACATGTAAAATTTACGTGCATACACATGTAAAAATTACACAATAGTGGCAATCCACCTTAAGGATGCAAGTTTGAAGAAAAACAATCGAGCGGACACTTGTAGTTTATTATGCTCTTGCAAAAGACTGGTTAAAGCTGCCAAAGTCCCTGCCTTGGCCACAGAAACAAAAAAAAAAAGGACTAACATGTAGGAAATATAACTTCAGAAGAAGAGTTGACCATTAAGTATCAGTTAAGTATCGGCCAAATGTTGGTGGCCTATCGATCAATGTGTCGCCCGATTATCGGTCAAAATACCAACCAACACTAACAAATCACTGGCTGATATGTTGGTCAACATGTCTGCCGAACCTGGTTCGACTATCGGTCGTCATATTGACAACATGTCAATCAACATCAGGCTGGCTGATCTCAACCGACATATCGATGGAGATTCAGCCAGCATGTCAACTGATAGTCAACAAACATGTCGCCCAAGTCTCAGAGCATATGTTGGCTTGAAATTTTGCTTTCTGCCATGCCCGAACCTCGCAAGCTAATATTTTGCTTCTGGATCAGAAGGCCGCGAAGTGTACGACCTGTAAATGGCTTTATGGTAAGTTTTAGCTCTTTATAACACAACAGTGACCAGAAAACTGTTCGACTAGCCACAAAACACATTTTTCAATGGTTAATAATTATTAAAGGGTTACATCTAATTCTATTGAGCTACAGTGTGTAGTGTTTATACTTGTTGTGACAAACTGTTAACTAAATAAACTACTTTTAGATTTTAAAAAAACTGTTTTAAAAAAATTTTTCTATGTAATTCAGGTTCCCTCCCTACTTTGAAAGTCATTGATGTGTTTGGGGACATACATCTCAGGTCAAGCAGTGTACCAAACAGCAGAGCATCACCACAGCCAACTAGATACCATCATAGATCAGCATCATTACCTTCATTATCACCTAATCCCTGCAGGTATGAAAAACAGACTTTACACCAATAATAGTTTTTCTAAACATAATTGTGGAGAGCGTAGGCAATAATTTTTCCTGTAAATGTAATTTCTCCTGTCAGTGTCTTTTCACTAGCTGTTACATAAATGTAGCTTTATGTGCTAAGGTGAGGATAAGGACTTGGCAGCTTCATGATGTTCGTAATGAATGAAAGCATAAATCTCATTAATGTTCAATTCTGGACAAAACTGCAAAGGATTGTAAAATACAGTGAAACCTCTATTATTTAGCGGACCCCCAATTAAGTGGACACCCTCTATTAAGCGGACACTAAGCCGGGTCCCGAAATGAACATCTGATATTTCCCTTTATAACGAACCCCTATTCAGCAGGCACCTCTATTGAGTGGACAAGGAAACTAAAATAAGTTGTATTTGGCTAATTTCTATTGTTAAAAACCTCTATTAAGTGGACACCGGACATAATTAACAATAGTAGTATTGGATTACGTCCTTGAAATACATACTGAAGTCAGTTAATGTTTTTGCATTTACAAACAAATTAAAGTTTGTAATGAAAGGTAATGAACTTGAACTCTCGATACCTTCTTTAACAACATGCAACTTTATCACAGTACAGAGTAACCGTTGAATGTTGATCATTAACAAACATCGCGCAATTTTTACAACCCTTATTAAGTGGACACCCTCTATTAAGCGGACACTTGGGGAGGTCCCGAAGGTGTCCACTTAATAGAGGTTTCACTGTATAGCTTTTGGAGCTAAATTATTTGGCACCATTTTAGATCATTCATAGAAGGTTGGCAGGCCTCTATCATGAGTAATGTTCTTGCTGTCCGACGCACTGGTGAAAAGATCTTACAAAAGAACACTGAAGCAGTGGATAGATCACTGCTTTGTTGATTTTCATTGCTGTGAAGCTAGTTGAGTGCACTTTTTTGCTCAACTTTCTCTCTCAGCATTTTTTAAATTCACTCCCTCTAGGCAAACAAATTTTAGTTTTTTGTTCCTGTTGGAACTCCTGAACATAAACTGTAATGACTGGAAATTACAAACAGATACATCTGTATATAATTATGTAGATAAAAAAATATTTTGTTCACTTTCTCCAACAGTCAGCCACCATCCCCATCATGTACCCCGAATTGCCGCGTCCCTCGCCCATCACCTGTATCTCCAACAGGGTTGACCGAATACCAGAAACGAATGTTATGGAAAAAGAATGTAAATCCTGCATCAGCACCATATGATGACAATCGTCATAATCAGGGTGTCTGCAAGAGTCATGCATCCATCGTGGGCATTCATGAGTTGTATGAAAATGACGAGTTGTCGCAGGATTGGAAGGATGTGTACATTACATCAGCATATCTTGTTTGGTGTCAACCCAACAGGGTAGGGTAGGCCATCCATTTTAAAACAAAATTAATAGATTCCACGTCGCTGTGCATATGTTCAATAGTAGATCACAGATGACGTCAAAAATATGTGGTAAAAACATTGAAGTGCCACACGAGCCGTAGGCGAGTGTGTCACTAATCTTTTTACCACATTCTGTTGTCTTCTGTGATCTATTGCTGAACACACCCATGGCAACATGGAATCTTTTGTTTAATGCCATGATGAGAGAAGAAAAAATGACATACACCTACTTGCCTCATACCTCTTGACTGTTTGAGGATTTATGCTAGTTTAGGCATTTTTTCAGTAGTCCCAAATGTTACTTCTTGTCTCTGCTTCTTCTTTTCTTGTTTATCTTTTGTATACAGTTTCGGTGAAAAGTTTTTCAATGCCTTCACTTGCTCAAAGCAGAATAATCACAAAAAAATTTTCCAAAACTGGGAGTCTCTTGTAGCGATGATGCAGTGATGAAACACAATGGCAACAGTTGTGAAGATTTCTTGCTGTTTAGGCATTCTCAAATTGTCAAGAACTCTTTTTGTCTCCTGTTTCTTCATTTGTTTCGTTGTAACTATCTCCTGTTTAACTTTTCTCAGGGCTTTCGCTTGCTTAATAATAATCCAAAATACTTTTGTACTCTCACAGACATTTTCAAAACCGTGCACCATGTTGAACGAAACAAAGAAAACAAGTGTCACGTGACGTCATTCATGTATCTGTACTCTTAACAGGTCATGGGCAAAGACCAATCACAGCATGTGTAGCATTCACATCATTGTATAAAGAATAATATTAATATTTAATGACCAATGAGCTGTGCTTTGGGAAAATTAATGGTAGGGAATTTCAAAAGCTCCCCATGAACAGTGAGTGCTATGGCCAAGCTCAACTTTTGTCAGACATAAAATATAGGTTGGTTTATTCCATGATTGTTTTGACATACTGCTAATCAAAATGACTATCCAGCTATTATAGTCAAATTTTGAGGTACATGTGCAAACCATAAAGATACTAACTAGAAGTAGTAAAAACGGTTTGGCCGGGTTGGCACGCAAACAACTGACACAAGTTGGCAAATAAATAAGAAGAAAAACACTTTTCAATTGAAATTTGGTAGCGTCAAGTTTGCGTTGCTCAAAAATGTCTTTGCTGAATTTCCCTAAAGAGCTCAAGTCAACTGCTAATACACATAATTTTTACTTTGTGCCAAGCAGTGGAAAACCTGATTTTCTTTTACTCCTCTGTGTGCTATTTTTACCGAAGCTAATAGGTGTATTTTTAATTGTAATTACAGAGGAAAAGGAGAAAAGCCAAGAGCACTGGGTAAGATTTTTAAGACACAACTTAGTTCAAGTAAATGTCAAGTAATAAAAATGAAACTGGAACTGATTGCTAGTAACTTGCTGATATTTGCTACCTTAATGTTAATTATGTATGTATATTTCTTGCATTCAGGTCGATAAGGAAAGACCCTTGTAGAGTCGCCTTTAAGGATGTAACAGAAGACATGATTCCTGCAGCAATGGAGAAAATGAGACCTGTAAGTCAGTGTTTTTTTACTTACAAAATGTCTAGCAAATCTTGTCTACCTCAGATAGTCTAATTTTGTTGGGCTGGTACATGATTAAGATTGCACTATGCATGTTGGATGAGAAAAGTTCTTTTTTTGCTAACAACAGACAATTATCTTTACTTTTTACAAATATGTCTTAACTTTAGATTTTAAATTTGAAAGTAGTTCATTAGGACTCTGCAGATGAATAAGTCAGCTCAACAGCTCTAATCTATGAAATTGACCCTTTTGCCTAGCTTAGACTGACTGTAAGTTCAGTGCAAAAATGTAAGACCTGGTTGTTTCACACCAGGCACAAGTCTTCCACTAGTGTTACAGCCCTACTAAGGGATGGACCACTAGAAAAGTTATGGGGAGGGTGTGGAATTTTCGAGGCGCATGAATTATTTTCAAAAACGTTTCCCTTATGTGAATCTTTTTTGGGCCTTTGCATGAATATTTTTAAGGTCATTTGGCATGCATGAATTTTTTTCATTTAATTTTCCTTTGCACAAATATTTTTTTGGCAGTTCGTCCCCCCTTCCCCCGCCCCCATAACTTTTCCAATTGTCCGTCCCTAAGCAGGTTGTTTCAGGGGTAGCAGAAGATTTTTCAAAGTGAGGATGCTGACTAGTGAAGCTGAGGAGACTCTCTTCCTATTAAGACGGTAACTTTTCGGGAGAAGTGAGGTGGGTGCCCCTTTTCCGCCATCCCTGTCTCTGGCTCATCTACTGGATATAATTATTATTGGCAAATAATTGGTCCACACTCTCTATAACATAGCGCAAGTGCTTGCCCTATATAAGTCTTATTGAGTCACTATGAAAAAATTAACAATTGGTTCATGCTCAGCAGAAAGTTTGGAGAGCACAAGAGAATCGTGAGACTAGAAGACTGGTAATGCCTCGAGCAATTCTTTTGCTACCCTCGTGCTCTTCAAACTTCCCGCGTGCGTCCATAACTCGATATTTACAAGCTGAGCATGAACCAATTCTTGTTACTTAAGGATGGTGAAGAAATTCATGACAGAGGTCCCTTTGCGAGTTCATTAAATGCACAGTTATCATTACTCTTTTTGACCAGAAACGTCCAGAACCTCGCAGATCACCGACAGTTGGACTACCTTATGGTCCTAGTAGGTCCAGTTCTCATCGACAAGTTCATGTTCAACATCTGGACCTCGGCAAATATGGGTATGTGACAAAAATGGCTGTTAAACAGATAGACAACTATTTTCAATTGGACGTCAAAATGTTCAAAACTTGAGGTGAAACTGGTTTCACTAAACAACAACAAAAAAATAGTCTCCATAAGATGAGAATCTCTTCATGGGTGTGAATACTAAGTTAACTCAAATTTAACTTCCTTTAGGTTGGAAGATTTTGGTGATTTTCCTAAGTCAGTGATTTCCGGAATCCTACAGCACCTCAAACCAAGGTTTGTGCCTTCGACTCTATTTCCAAGCTCATCGTAGCTGATAAGCTAGGGGCAAATCTCTACTATGACAACTCCCCACAATGGCCAATTTTTGTCCCCCTCCGAACAATCCATACATGGTACTCTCATGGGTATTTCCGAGGAAATCGAAGTCGCAACGATCCCTACTGATGAGACGACAAGCTTACCGAATCCTAGAGATTGAAACGACGATTGCATTACCATTCCGATCAAGGCTGACAATGTTGGTCGAGCGATGGGGACAAAGAAATCTTCCAAAAAGTGTGCTGCACATTATAAGCAAAAAATCTCTGAAAAATAAGCAAAATATACTTGAACGATAAAAGAAAAAAAGGAACAAAAAAATATGGTGCTCTTTTTTTTCTCGTTTCCGTTGTTGCGTTGTGGTTGGTCCTGCTCGCAAGAAGCGTTTCCGCACAAAAATAAAATAAAATTCTTAGTATATGATTATTTCGTTGAAAAACCGACGACTCGATGAAAAACGCGCGAAGAAAACGACTCCTCGAGGTTCCCATAGAGAGACTCATACATTCACTCTCTCAAGGAAAGATCCTCTAAGCTGAATCCCAACTGCCCAAAGACCTCCCCGTTAACGGCCATTTAATAGCGACAGCGTACGAACGATCCGAGAATGATGAACACACTAATACACTCCAGTACCTTTTAAAGACTTTGTTCGTCAACATTAAATCCTGGAATAAATTTAGTTCTAAATTTTTTATCTCTTTTTTTTGTTTGACTTGTTTTGGTTTTTGTTACGTCGTAATAGGTTTCAATTCTGTGCTTTTTTGATTGACATGTTTTGGTTTCTTTTTTCCACCACGCAATGCTCATTTTCAGGAGTATGGCACTTGAAAAAGAGTTACCTTTGGGATTAGAATATCATCCAAAGCAACAATCTAGCCCAAGAGGAGGAGAGACTGGTGCCAAGTTAGTGACAGCTGAGAAGAGCCTGCAACAGACTTTACAGGATGAGAACTCACGAATGCTTCTTGATATTGACATTAATTCTCACTTTACCCCTCCTGTGGGGGAGGAAATCACTGACGACGAGGGAGGAGACAGGACGTTAGATTCACCGAGACAAGGAACAAGGCCCGAGGCAAACATGATCAAAGCAGTTAGTGAAAAGCTAGCTGCAAGACAAGGCCGTTTATTGTTGCCTCTTCCGTCAATAGGTGTCCCAACACAGCACAAAGCTAAGGATAAGTTACATCACTGTATGAACTCCATCCCTCACAACCTCGATTTGGGCGTGGCCATGGAGCCTGTGGATGTAGTATCTGTCACTCCGACACCCACAGGAACCCCATCAGAGGATGTAACAGCACAGGGATCGCAACTAAATATTTTGGATCGCCGCTCCATGGATGTGACTTTAGCTGCAAGTGAGCTTGATTCACCAAATGATGATCGGTGGCCGGTCAGAACTCATATAACCTCTGCACTTAGGTATGCTGAACTATTTTGAAATTAGAACTCACAAACAGCAATCTAAAATATCCCAGGCTGCTCAAGGGGATGGGGATGGGGGGTTGAGGATAACACACTTCATGTCAATGTAACCAGTCAATTGACCTATTGCTTAGTTTCAAACCAAGGAGGGCTGGGTACTAGTCGGTTTATTATGGGATAAACAACACGAGACCCACACAGTCAGGAAGAGACGAATGACATTAGGAAAAATCTCAGGTTTGGTGTCGATCGGGCCGATATTGAGCAAGATACAACTATTTAAAAACTTAAAAATTAACAAAAGATGTATGGATAGAGCTGCTAACTCAATGTTGTACTCAATCAGAAACTCGTAAGCTATTGTGCTTTTTCGTGACAGTTCAGCGTCTTCTGATACCGGCCTAATTTTAGGTGTTTTGTTGCAGATATTCTCCAGTACCTGTGCGGGCACCAGCTCCTACCCCTATCAGCCCGGAAAGGTATGGACGCTTCTCTCGGACACCAAACACAAGAGAACGCAGTCACTCCATTTCTTCTCGACATATGAGGCGCTGGGAAACACTAAGCAGTGTCTATGATCAAGACGAACCTGACCTCACCCGGGAAGCCCTTGGGAGTCCCGAGGGAGAAGGAGAGGATGTCGTGCTGGAGCCTGTGTTTTTAACGGAAGATGCTATATTACGCGACCCGAAGTTGATGTCATTTTCGAACCGAAAAGACGTCGAACAATGGCCCCAAGAAAAAATGATCGTAAATATCATTGAGGGGGAAGAAATGCCGCGTTCAGTTCGCAGCCCGAGTCCTGGGAGTAAAACCTACATTCCTCAGGACATTCTGGCGGAATTCCATGGAGACCTTTATGGAAGAACAGAAATGCACATTGCTGGTCACAAAATGACCGGGAAACAAACTTTTGGCCCGGAATCCCTTATATCAACAGATGTACCGGCGTACATTGCCCCAGCCTGGCGACCACCTCGCTCAAGGACTCCAATTCAGTTCTTAGAAACACCCTCTCGGAAAGCTCCAAGGCCGCTGAGGCAGCCCCCGGCAGAAAGTGTGCCTAAGTCTTTAACTGTCCAGTCGTTGCGAGGTCGAGCCTTACGAAGGCCCAAGAGTACCCCTCCTCGTGTTGGTTCCCCTGGGGAGTCCTCAAAGGATTTGCCTGTACAACAAATTTTGTCTGACTCATCTCTTGTTCATTCAACACGGGAAGTCATGGACACTTATTCCATGGCTGTGCCCGCCACATCACCATCTGTGGATGCAAATGGCTCCATTCCCCCACCACCATCTCCTGAGGCTCAGATAATAACCTCGGTAATTCCCAGTACCCTTAGACTTGATCCTGTGAGTGAGGCTGAAGAGAAAAGTAGCATAGCTTCGGCCAGTGTGGCGGATGGAACAAGTCATGTGGAAGGATGCAACGTTGTTGCTAACCTCTCGGAAGTCGAGGAAGAAAACGAAGAAGTTAAACTGAGTCGGGGAACGGAAAAAGTCCTCAATGAAAGTAGGAAAGAACAAGAAACAGCTGCTGAAACCAGTGCAGTCGCAGAAACGGGTGAAGAGAATAAAGAAGACGCTGAACCTAACAAGACACAGCTAATTGGTGAAGAGCGTCTCTCTCCCACTGACAAACTGGTTCAATCTGCAGACGCTGTTAGAAGTCAAACGCTGCCGGAAGAAAACCCGACTGTCACGAAGGAAGCTGAAAGTAATACACCCCCAGAAGATCCAGTGAATCAGACAGACGATTCCGAGAGAAAACAGGAAGAAATGCTATCTGAAAATAACACGATAACGGAAACGTCACGTAACAATGAAGAAGAAAGCGCTGCCCCTCCTCACCCCCCTGGATCACCAGACATAATCAACACGCCAGACTTCACTGAGGGACTGGACATGAACCTCGATTTAGAAGCCGAGTTACGCGCGGCTATGGAAGGACTTGAGGATTTAGATGACAATACGGATGGGGAGGGAGGTGAAAAGCGGGCTTCTCCTGAATTAGAGGCCTGGTAACTAAAAAGGCGATAGGTTGTCGGATAATCTGAATTATGAATATGTTTTTGAGAGGAATTAAGTAACAAGATGTTCTTCGCCTTTGTAATTTAAGAATATGTTTTTAGGAAGTATCTGCACAGAAAAAAAAAAAAAGATTAAACTAGATTCATTTTGAAGTCACAGGCTCCTGCGGGACCTATTGTCAACTTTCTTTCCGTTTAGTGATATTTGAATTCGTATGAAGACGACTGACAGTGCTTTAAAACTGCATTATCAGAGATTACTGCACGTTTTTCAACCGTTTGCGTCTTCGTCAACACTGAAGTTGCTTTGTTTAAGTTTACGAAGGCCAAAGGCCGTCATCTTACTTTGTAATCCTCATTCTCTTTTGGAAAGCCTTTCGCCAATCAACGTTTATCAAGAAAAACTGGTAGTGGCCATAATGAAAACGGAAAAGCTCTCGAAGACGAAGTTATTAGTTGTGTGAAGTGCTGTACATGCGCAATACGTTAATCCGCCCGGTAAACTCTCAATGATTGCAATCTCGTCCCCAGAGCCTGCGTTACCCTTATCCAACGGAACGGGCAACGGACGCTCTGGAAGAATCCAACACGGGAATCACAAAATCCTGGTCCCGGTTTAATTGCGCCTGCGTGAAGTTGCTTACCCATTTGACTAAGACGAGTTCCCAAGGGAGTTTTGCTGTACACGTACATTGTTACATAATCGTTCCAGTGCAGTTTTTCTTTAAGTGACTTTTTATCGATGCATCAAGTAACTTGAAAGGGCTGTCAAGGAGACTGAAAAAATATATATTTATTTAAAATGTCGGGATTGAGACGTTCGTTGGTCATGACGAGACACATTCTTTCGTGGACAGAATGAGCACAGCTGTATGCAAATTTGAAAGGTTCAGTAGCATGCATGTGTTAAGAAGTGGCATTGAACGACTTTCAATAACAAGACAGGACATTGTTGGACAAAATGTCGTTGTGGCGTGGTTTCATGAATTTATAATGAGATAAAATTTTTCTTTACCGTCTTCAAGTCGTGTAAGATTGGCGTGTACGCAGATGACCTGTCAAAATCAAATCAACGTGCTCACAGTTTTTTTTTATGAGCAAAGTAATTTGCATGTGATGAACACGTTTTTATCTGCCAATCAGAGATATTTGTTTTTCGGATTCTTCCAGAGGTTAGTGATTTGGTGCTGAGCAAAAGGATCGCAGCCTCTGGGAACGAGATTGTAATGATTGCTCCTTCTCGTCCCTAGAGCTACTCAGTTTCTTTTGTAACGAAGGCTTGGAGGCCACATGACCAAAGGAAACCACGGGCTCTGGAGACGAGAATGAAGATCGCTATTAAAGTTTTCAGAGCACTGCACGAATCAGTCCCAAATTACAAAGTTAGAACCTATCAGGCCCTCGGCCCAAAAGGGACCGCTGTTCATATCAGCTTCCCATCTCTCTTAATAGAGACACTTCACAGACTTGTTCCTTCCAAACGGCTTACGTGAACCTACAGAAAACAAAACTCATAAAATAGGCCCTTTGCAGCTAGCCATTCACGTGGTACAAAACCGCCACGCTGGAGAGCAAAAGTCGCACTGGGACAAGACAAACAAAAGGCATACGTAATTTGAAATAGTAATTTTCTTTGTTTGTCTTGTCCCAGTGCGACTTTTGCTCTCCAGCACGGCGGGTTTTGTACCACGTGAATGGCTAGCTGCAAAGGGCCTATCTCAACTTCACACCTCCAAGACTGCCTGTTCAGATGTTTGATTTTACGGGATTATGTTCCCCCTGTTGGTAGCTTTAGAGCAAATTATTCAAAAATAGACTGCGAGAGGTCGTTCTTTTTTCCTCAGATGTGTGGGTAGGTTCGATTACCAGGCGTCGTGCGGAAAAATGAGCCCGCCATCAATTTTCCCCACCCCTACCCCCGAAAGAGCGGAGGGATGAAAGACCAGACACAGGAGACGGCAGAAATCTGTTGAATCCAGTAGTGAACCTAGGGTAGGACTCCGCCCCTTCTTCTTTTTTCCGACCGAAACCGAAGCCCGTAGAAACGAGGCGCCGACGATGCCCGAGATACTTCGTTTCGCTTAAAGATAACCCCTTGTCAACCAATGTGATCATTTCTGGGTACTTCGTTATGCTTTTAGGCTGTGTCTATCATTCTCCGTTCATCCCAACAACAGGCATATTTTTAAAACAAGAGTATAGACACATTTTAATTTGCTTTAATTTCACACAGTGTTTGACGCATACAGCTAAATAGGAATCCGGAACTGTGCCTGGATTATTCAGGACTGTCTTGCTTTCTATCAAGCTACTTGGCGTCTTGACCGGTTAGTTAACAAATGTGGTGTAAAAAGTATCTAGTCTTTTTTTCCAGCCTTGTTTCGCGGCCTCCAAGCGGGAATCAAAATGCCTCATCTTACGCTTAATATAAGGATAGCGGGGGCCGGAGTCAAAATCCTTCAGCTTGCCCTTAACATAAGGATAGCGAGGGCCGGAGTCAAAATCCGTCAACTTACGCTTAACATAAGGATAGCGGGGACCGGAGTCAAAATCCGTCAGCTTACGCTTAACGTAAGGATAGCGAGGGCCGGAGTCAAAATCCGCCAGCTTACGCTTAACATCAGGATAGCGAGAATCACTCTTCTTCATCTCTGCATGCCCGGAATCACTGAAACATACGAAATAATTAAAATCATTTTTAAAAAAGCTTCTATTCTGTTTTGCAATGCAAAAATAATCATTTCCGTCTCTAATTTGATGAGACCGAGTGTTTCAGTACACTCGCACTAAATCAGCGGCTTTCCGGCACAAATCCGTGAAGAAACTGGTGCGGTTTATATTACAGGTAGCCCAAGCTCCAAATGTGAGCATCGGCGAACATCGGCATTGTTGCGTAACATTCGAAATATAAGGATTTGTGTGGGGAAAAAACCTTTTTTTTGTAACCTACGGAAATGAAAGGATTTCAATGAAAAAAACAGGTTACCTTACATAAAATGTGTGTTACATCTCTCCTGTGTTTTCCATGGGCCGATTTACGGTCATTTTATGGGTTTTTATGTAAACGGTTTTCTCTCTCTATAAACTGTTTACAGTAATCCCGGCATAGTAAATCGAACCCAATCGAACTAAAATTCAATCGAACTCAATCGAACTCAATCGAACTCAATCGGTGGATTGAGTTCGATTGCGTTCGGCAATCGAACGAAATCGAACTCACCGAAAAGAAAAAAAATAAATCGAACCCAATCGAACGTTTGATTTTCGAACTCGTGATTTATGTAAAACAGACGTTGAAAATCCATTACCAGATCTTAGAAGCTCGAGTTACTTCAGCCTTGAGTGTAGCGCACGTGTCTTTCGTAAACGAAGAAATTCCGCAGGAATGGCTTCAGATGCGTTGTGGATCGTAAGCTTCAAATGTATAGTCAAAGGCCACCAGGAATGCCGCTTTGACGGCAAGGATGGCGAAGTTTTCAGGGTTTGTTCTGTTCTGTTCTCTTAACTGCCGTGGACAGTTTATAAATGGGGTTTGTGTTATTGAGTAAATAGTAAAAAAAGCGCAAGAAAAACTTGCTTTGACGGGCTTGCTTTGGGCTTGCTTTGTATAGGTTCACCAGAGCCAATCGAACGAAATCCATTTAATTGTGTTCGATTGAGTTCGGTTTCCGAACTCAGTCGAACACAATCAGACGGATTGAGTTCGATTTGTTCGATTGAATTCGATTTGTTCGGAAATCGAACTCACTGAAAGTGTGGTGTTCGATTTCGTTCGATTGCCGAACTCAATCGAACTCAATCCACGGATTGAGTTCGATTGAGTTCGATTGAGTTCGATTTTCGAACGTTCGATTTACTATGCCGGGAGTAATTACCACATGGACCACACGGGAGAGAAGTAACACACATTTTATGCAAGATAAACTGTTTTTTTATTGAAATCCTTTCATTTTCATAGGTTACAGAAACGATAGGTTTTTTCCCCATACAAATCCTTGTATTTCAAACGTTACGCAACAATGCCGATGCTAATATTCCCTTCAAAAGACTCATTCTCCCTTAAGAAAAACTGCATGAAAAAGGCAATTTTTCAGTAAAAGCGCCTGTCAATCAAAGTAGAATTCAATTGTATGATACCTGAACTCAGTTTTCATGGGCGGGCTTAGAGGGGGGACGAAGGGGCCGCGCTCCACACTTTTTCTCTCAAATGATAACAAAATCTATTTTCTAGAGCCTCAATTTCTGGACACAGATACCCTCAAAGTACTTAAATCAATGAATAAGTAGTATACAAATAGCAGGCAAGTGTTCCGGTCTTCTCTTTCGAAATTTTCTGGATGCGCCCCTGGTTTTGGCCTAAAGAGCGAGCGATTGGTTACAAAACCTGCAGCTTTGACCGCAAAGACTGCAAAATTTATTAATTGTCAGTGTTATGATACGTGCCGTTTTCGCTTTTCTTGCTCGACTGGACTCTATTTCCTTTAACAAACAAGAGAAATTCGGCCAGGAACAGCCGATCATCTGACAACCTCCCAGTTACACCAGCTCAGTGTCCGTTTTGAAAAATTAAGTTCGACATAAGGTACATCGAGAATGCATGGTACTGATAATCCCACGAGTATTAATTAAAACAAAGTGAACTACCGCCGTAGTGTAAATTCAATTATAAGTTACAAACCTTTCGGCGTGCACGAATTATACGAAGGAGACGATCGGAACAAGAAAAACAAGAAGAAGACGTGACATGATTAAATCGTCCTGAAAAACACAAAACACGTACACATTAATGTTAGTGAAGAGGAACCGTACCGGCTCTAAGAAGCTAGCCTGCCCTGAAATAAAAAAAAATTCGATCATTTCGCTATTTCCACCCATTTACTAGCTTATCCAGTCTGAACAATTTCGTAAAAAAACAAAAGGAAAACTGAAGGTAGGGTAATATTGTATTTCACTAAGTTCAAGTGTAGGAAAAACTCACTGCTGCTTCAATGTTTGCATAAACAGTCTAGCTTCTTTTTTGGCTTTTTTGAGTTACTGCACTTTCGCGTTATCAACTTTAATGATGAAGATACAGTTTTGGGCAAAACAAGGCAAAATAAATCACTGTATACTGCTTTAAAATCATTTACTGAACCCACCTGCCTTTCTCAAAGTACAGGGTTCTGTCAATCTTCCCAGAACGTCAAAATGCAGCAGGTTTCTGCAAGTAAAATTAAACCTATGGTCCAACACGGACAGCCTGTCGCTCATACGGTAGATTTACAGTCAATTATTAGACCCTTATTAGGCCTCGTGCTTATTTGAATGTCGTAAAAGGTTATTTTTGAGTGGGGAAGGCTTATATCCGGGGGGGACTCACTGGCGGAATGAGAACAGAACGTTTGGAAGGAAGCTCATAGCAAACACCACTGCCTGTCCTGTCTACCTGAAAGATTTAAAATTTGCTAGGAAATGGGCAACGGAGATGTCTTTTATGGTTGATTGATTTGAATGGCATTCAAGTGGAAGAAACAGGCTACGCCCGACATGCAATGGCGAACAGTTTATAGTCGTTTTCTTAAACGGATGTAGTAGTCTTTTCAGCCACTTGTTAGCATACAAACTTCAACAATTAGGCAAATATTTCTTTCGCATACTGTCAGTAGAGTGCACGGGGAAATTTTTCGGTGTTTCCCCTCGTTTTGCCCGCGTATGATTTAATTCGCTCCCCACCATCTGAACGCCTGTAACAGGCTATGAGGGCGTGATTTCTGTGTGACTATCAAAGTAAACAGTTTTTTTTCCCTCGGAGTTTCAAGTCCCATCCAATTGGCGCATACACAATTGACCTGTCAAAATCAATTCAAAGGGTTCACGGTCTTCTGGACTTCCACAGTTCGCTGGTCATTTCTTTTTAAGGATTTTAAAATTCACTTTGTCTCAAAAATTAAAGAACCTTTTAATTGCGCTGTTGATATTGCTACTGCAAAAGCTCTGATCACGTACACGTAGTGCCTCTCTCAAAGTCTATGATTAACATTACTGAAAAGCAACAGAGAAAAAAAGCCGGACGCGGCTATTCAATATATATTAACAAGGGCAGGTATAGTATATGATTTTTATGTCACGGATGTAGTGAATCCGGGGAGGCACTGCCCTAGTGAGGCTGCAACGCCATCTTTTCCAAAAAAGGCACGCCTGGATGAGGTACCCTTTTGAGGCGGAGCCTTTCCGGATAGTTCATTATGGGGAGTGTCCCTCGCCCGGAGGAGTGAATGTTAACAGTTGTTTCAGAACGTGAGTTAACTAAAAACCGTACATTAAACGTCTCTGCTTAGCTTAGCGGGAACCTCGGAAGACCCTGTACTGACAGAAAGTAGCAGCTTGCCAACAAACATAATGATTAACAGCAAAGTGGAAACCACCCATCTAGCTGGTTGAAAAATCTTCGTTCGAGGAAAGCTAGTTAAACGTGCCTGATAGGCCTGAAACGAAGTGACCACACTCTAAACTCAAGAAATACGGCTTAAGGCGACCTTACAGGAGAAATGTATTGCACATTTTCCTCACTGTAAGGCGCAAAGAATATTTCTCATATAACGTTAACGTATATGAATAACTGATTAGCTAAGAAACGTATCGCGGCTAACGGGGAACAGCGCGGTATTATTGGCTGCTGTAGCGAGGTGGCCGATATGAGAGTCAGGGTCTTCGTTTCTATGCCTTGATTTCTGCGAAAAGGGCTGCTTGTATCAACAAAGTCACTCTTACCTTAATTTGTGGAAATGTTCTATGTTTAACTTTCGCTGCTGTTCGCTCAAGCAAACAGTATTTTCCTCTTAAATGTGATACATACAAAGCAAACAATGCTATTTGATGGTTGGATGCTCAGGTATTCCATACCGACGTGGTTTTATTACAGACTAACAAAACAGTACAATTTGAACGATTAAATAGTTCAAGAAAATAACAATCTTATCAAATGCCTAAATGACCGGTAACCTCTAATCTTCTGTACATATCTTCATGGGTATACGTGTCCTTGGCGGTATGTGTTTTCCACCGGCGGGGACAGAAAAAGGACGTTTGACGCTAATATTGCGAGCCTTGCTCCAAGTAATGAACTTCTGATTCTCTTTTAAGTACCTCTTGACAGTTAATGGACAATTCCAGCGTCGTCAAATGGGCAAACCTTTCTCCACGCCTTATTGTTCAGTTAGTGCTTTTTATTGTTATAATTAGTAGGTGACGCCCATTAAACAATAAATTTAAATGTGATTGTTCAATATGCACCTGGCAGAGCTTTCTCGAGTAACTGACGTACGTTGAAATATTTTCTTTTATTCCGCTACAATTAAAAAATGCGTGATTGCTGCCTACAAACTGAATGAGATCGTGTTGTTAAATTCCTCTTTTTGCACCTACCACACAGGCTAACTATCTGAGGGATATGACTGAAAACTGACATTCGTTTTACAGGGACGTAGCTGAGGAATTTTTCAGAAGTACGCACAGTTTTTCAAATCTACCCTAACACACCAGGAGTACGTTTTGTATCAGTCTACTGAGGCAAAAATCTTTCCTTGGACGGAGGACCTGCAGGCATCAGTAACATCCGTCGTGACTTCTCGTCTACTGTAGCAAAATAGGGGGAAACACTGCAGTTTGGTTGGAAAAATTATTTGAAAGCAGGCAAAGCATAATCAAACAGGTAATTGGACAACAAGCATAGCTTTTTCCCCTGGGAAAAATTCCCATCTCGGGATAGTAGTGCGGGATATCTTACTGTTGGACATGGACATGAAGGACCGTCAGTTCGAGGTTGCCTCTCCCCACTCTCTAAGCAGTCAGTGGTGGGATTTAAGAACAGTCTGTGGGCTCAAACATTACTGTAGGTAATAGCCTTATAAATTTGTTAACTGATTTTTTTGTTGTTGTTGCAGTAAACCATGTTTGCCTCATGAATGCCTGGATCCTTTCCAAGGGCAATTCACAAAGGATTCAAGACGTGCCCAGTACAAAAGGCAGCTGCGAGGAAGGAGGAAACTCTGGGTTCAATGAGTGTGAAGAGCGCTAGCTGTGAATGCCGCGTGAGACAAGATTTCACCAAAATGACCATTGAACAAAGAAAACGTTTTATTAACACTTATAAGTTGGCATCGGTCCATCCTTTGTTCAAGAGAGATTACGAAAAAACAGTCACTCTCCACCTCGACGCTAAGGATCAAGCCAAACTTCCTCACATCTTTCTTCCCTGGCACCGGTGGTTTTTGGTTGAGTTTGAAAACCTACTGCGCAGAATCGACTGTCGTGTGACTATACCCTACTGGAACTGGAGCAAAAAAACGCATCACTGGTGGAGAGGATCTGGTAACAAAGACCTCTGGAACTCTGGGGATCATGGTTTGAGAGGAGATGGAAGCGTGCATGGTGAAAATTGAGTGGAGAACGGACCTTTCAGCAAAGATAAATGGCGCCTCTTAGACGTGTCCGGAGGAGGGTGTTTAAAAAGGAAGTTGTTGAAACGAAGTATTAAATACGATGTCCAACACGTCAACAGAACTTTATCATTGCCCCTGGAAGATTTTGAAAATTTTGAAGAAACTATTCGTGTCACCTATCATAAAGAGCCTCACAACGTGATCGGTGGTACCATGGTAGACCCTCTCGTAACCGCGAATGCCCCAGAAATGCTTCTTCACCATTCATTCGTGGACAAACTGTGGTATGAGTGGCAAAAGAGAGGAGATGAATACAAAAATGCCTACTTTCCAAGAGTGCCCTTCAAACTTCACGGCTCAAACTATTACGTTTGGGAATGGATTAATTCCAGGAACCTTCCCGGTCAAGTCAAAGTTCTCTACGAAGAGTAAGGATGGATAGTAACAATAAATTTTCACTGACAGTCTGTGATAGATGTAACCGGCTGTGAAGCAGACTTGATTTGCCCTTCTCGAGGGCTTTCTCACTTTTTATCGTGTTTACCCGATTGGGGACTGGGTTGAGATCGTTCTTAATTTTTGGGCAGTTTCAGCCTGGAAATGTTCTTACGGATTTTCTTAAATTTCAATGACAGAAATCTGATAACTTTTTAGCTACATATAGACAAGATAAGACAATGATTACAGTTTTCACATTAATCAATTGTACGAGTACAATGTAAATGTGTTATTGATCATACACAATAGCAATGTGTTGAAAGAACAAAATTTAAGATTCACTACTCTGACTCCATGCAGGACATTATGTAATTCAGATTTTCTGGATTTAGGAAAGTAAAAGCAGTGCAAAATAATTGTTCTTCTCTGAGCAACGGGTATTCTTATAAAAAAAGTTTTATGAAAAAAAAAGGGTGTACTCAGAAGCATCTCTTCGAAAAGTACAGACATCGGAGAATTGTGCAGCAAGGTGTCCTTCGCTTGTTTGAATTAACATTTTGATGAAGCATTTGTGCGACGAGAGAAACGGTTAATATAAACTGAATTAGTTTTGATCCTTTTTCCAGTTGTTCGCTTAGTTTTGAAATCTCTCAGGGTGTTGGTCGGAAACGAGATTTGAATCATCAATAAGATGACAGTGTGTCAGTTAACGTCGGTTTTGAGGGTTACAAAAACAAATATTCTCAACTTCACTGAAGCTTTATTAACATAACCGACTCAACACATTGCTTTATTGTCGTCCATATTGTATGTGGCACATCTATATCCATGTCTTAGTTGAAATTAAGTTTTGGATGATTTATTGTAATTTTCAATAAAATACGGACTTCGTCAGTCTATCCATGGGCACTTTGTTTTTGCAGCCATGACGATATTCGTTAAGGAAGAACAAAAAGAATTTGTGTGGGTAAATTTATGCGTCAGGAATAGTTTTCTTAAACAAAAGGTTTATTGATAGGCAGATCAAAAGAAAACAGTACTGCTACGGCGGCACACTCTAATTACCACCCTAATTTTTTCGTGGCACACAATAAAACGTGTGTCTGTTTTTGATCTATTTTCTTTATAATATCGTTACAGTTGGTTAAAAAAACTTAAACGAAAGTGGCTGTCAAACTGCAATTCATATCGTTTACTATCCATCGCCGCTATAAACAAACAATATCTTCAGTTTTTCTTGTACCTTGAAAACAACTTCTCTGCGCAGAGAAACAAAAAAATGAACGCTTCACAGTTGCCTTCATTCAACTGTTCCAGCTCAAGTTTTCCTGATTCAGAAGAAGAAAGGAACGCTTTTCAACAATTCTGCCGTTGTTATATCCCACCGGAGTCGTGGCACACGATGGCTGAAGTTGTACTCAGCAAGTTGCTTTTGATCATCTCAATTTTGGGAAATTTGCTCGTTATTTATGTCTTGCAAAGGATGAAACGAAATGGGGATCAACAGAGTGCAATGAAACTGCTCATTCAGAACCTTAGCGTTGCCGACATGTTGGTGTGTATCATGTACAATGTGAATGAAGCAATAGGAATCGACTCTAGGTTCACCACTACACCTGTTTGCAAACTGTTCGCTGGTCTGTTGTGGACTACTCTGTCCGTGTCTTCATGCTTGATTTGCTGTGTTTCTGCTGAACGCTATCTTGCAGTTGTCAAACCATTTGACTTCGCTCTGGACACACGGCGAACAATTCTTCTTGTAGGATTTTCCTGGTATTACTCTCTCGTTTTTACTATTCCAGATTTCTACTTTTTAACAAGGTTAGAAACACCGTATTGCGGAAAAGGAATAATCTCTTATTGCTCGTACGATTTCATGAGAGGAACGGATATTTCAGTGATTTATACAATGACTGTCTCTGCAACTTTTCTTGTTCCAATCTTTTTTATCGTTTGCGTTAATATTGCCCTTATACGAAGCCTATTGGCCAGTCAGGGCTCGAAGCTGTTCCGAAAGTTTCGTCCGACTATCAAAGACGCCAAGAAGCGGCGAGGAGTAGTATTTATTGTTTTATTATTGACCGCCATATTTGTTGTGTGTTCACTTCCATTCGCTACGTACTTGATGTTAAATGCACTAGATGCTACTGTTCCACAACAAGTAGTTGTAGTGGCTTACTATCTGATGCTTGTTAACAGTACTGCCAATGCTTTCGTTTATTCCTTTTTCAGTGTGGAATTCCGTAGAAACTGTAAGAAGCTATTTTTACTGCCCCTAAATTGCTTTAAGTAACATACGTTGGACTCAAGATAAATAAAGAATTATCCGGCTGAATAGCTTTCGCTTGACGCAAACTTCAGGTAAATCTGTACATTAACAAGAGTATAAATTGCTAATTTTCGTCCGGTGATTCAGATTAGCTCAAGGACCACAGCCGAAAATGAATAAAAAAGAAATTTTCACAACAAAACAAACAGACTGAGGCTTTGCAATATGTGTCATTTAGAACTGTTATTATCGCGGTAAAGACCTTTGAGTATCCATTCATTAACTTTCACCGCAAAAGCAGCGCATCAACTTTGAGGATCAAACAAGCTTATGTCTCTCTGTGTATACTAAATCCTCTCCAGAAGAGAGTTAAATGTCTTAAGTGAGTTATTCATTTTTCTTTTCCTCAGAGTTAATTAGTTCCTGTTTTAATACAACGTTAAACCGACGAAATTAAAACAGTGCAATGATTGCTAATAATGAATATCCTACTAAGGAAACAATGCGGTTTCCAAGTTATACGACTTTGGGCAAAAGCATTAAAACAGCAGAAGTCTCGATACTTTTGCTCTTGCCTTGGGCAAGCTGAGATTTTTTCATGTCACTTCGTCAATGTACACTCTTTCCAGGTTTCGCTCATCACAAGGAATCTCGATCGATAGCAGCCTATTCAACATCGGGATTTACATGTAAGTTCATTTTCCACTCTCGCTAAAAGGGGAAGACCCTATATTCTCATTAAGGTAACCTTCTTCAAAGAGCGTTTGAAGGTGACGTAACATAGATGAGTAGATGAATTTTTGTGTTCCATTCTCCCGCCTAGCACCATAGTTTCTTTAGGACTAACTTCAGAAAACAACAACAATAACAAATCAACTAGACTGTTCACAGTCCCCTATTTTTCGTGAGATCGTTTAGATATACCGCGTCTTACCGTCACGGCTACATCTTGATTTTCAAATGTACCGAGGGGGGTGTCGGGGATTATAGCTCTTGTTTGGGGGGGCGGGGACGAGAAAATGACACTCATCTAAGATGGCAGCCCGTAACGCAAAGCGCTCGATCTCGACGATCTTACGGAAAAATAGAGCTCGCTTCCTCCCAAACCGCCCCCGCCCCTAAGTAGTTTTGACACTCATCTAAGATGGCAGCCCGTAACGCAAAGCGCTCGATCTCGACGATCTTACGGAAAAATAGAGGACTGTGAACAGTCTACAAATCAACAGACAAACGTTTTTAAAGGCTCTGGATTTCTAAGAGACCCCAACCAGGGGCCCACCACTGATTGGAGACATTTTCCAGATTAAATTGAAATTTGGGAGGAGAGGGGTAAACCGGAGTACAAAGAGAACCAACAACAAACCAAGAGAGAATTTCTCTTGTTACCATCAAGAACCATAATGGGTCCTGTTGTCATCTCATTTGTTCTAGGCAGTGCCGGATATTGGTGCCAAGTCGTCGTATGCATCAAGAGAGTTTTAAAACAAACGAACAAACAAAAACCAAAATAACAACAACAACAAAACAGCCCTGGAAAACTCTTTTTTGTTGTCTGAAATGGCATCCCGTCTCTTCGTCACCCCGCAACGGAACGGGAAAGCTCTTTCCGCTGGCCACCCATCTGGCCACCAAACCCACGATGCACACACCTTCTCCCCAGTTCCTCTCCGATGCTACAGACAGTGACGTCCAGTTTCCGGTTTTACGGAATGCGGCTCGTCGTAGTGTCCATTGCCACTCGTGAGGTTCTTTTGAACGGGAGCGTTTTCTCTTAACCACTGAGTGAAAACTTTTGAATATTCATGAGTTTCGGCCTCTCTCTGTGGTTCAGAATGACTCGGTGACCCTCAAAACGTGTACTGTTGAAAGTAAGAAATCATTCCTTCGATCAAGCAGTCGGCTTGAAAAGCACGCACTTTCCGGACTTTCCGAAATAACCCTTCTCTCAGGAAAAAAAGATCCTAATGTCGGACCTTGACGACATTGAAGATGTATTTGAGGTAGGTACACGAGTATGAAAGTGTTTATTTAGACAACTTTGTCAAATTCATAGTTGCTCCATAGTTGTTACTGTTTACACGGAATACTATGTGAGGTTCAGACTTCCCACACACGCGATTGATGTAAGCTTGATTATCGATTACCTCGGTTAGTGAGTAAGTATGCTCCATTGTGATAAGTGAGACTAGTTGAACTGATCGGAATGAAATATTGCAGCAACTTGCGCAGGCAAGCATGAAAATATGAATAATTCTAACTTAAACTTAATCAATTAAATTAAGCTCAATCCTTAATCCTTAACGTCACACGGATTCGATTTATTAGTCGTGCTCAAAAATTTAATCTTAAATAAAATCATAAATCGTATAGTTTAGAGGACGTTTACAGCCAGTTTGATAATATCTCTGCTCAGTTTATTATCTTTTGGTTGTGGCTATTCATTTTGTTGAATGTTTATGTTTTCATTAAAAACAGCCACCCCAGTGCCTGCCCTCCCTTGTATTTCCTGAGTATTTACGGACCTGCCCAACCCCTGATAAGGAAAAATCTGGAAACTCATGAAAAAAAAATTCGGGAGATTCTACAAAAAGTAGTGTTATTCTATTTTACAAAGCCCCATCAAGGCTTAAACAGGCACCAGCATTCCCTGCAAAATTTCTGTTTTTATTCAGCAGGGTAACATTTCATTTCAGAATGATATTTCCCCAAAAACTGTGAGATTTAGAATTTTGTCGTGAGGCCATGAGAAAAGTTAAAAAAATTGTGAGACTCACAGGAGAATCATGAGAGTTGGCAAGTCTGTATTTATTTTTTCAGGTTGCGAGTTTCTATGGTCGAGGGTGTAGTTCATAGTCATGCTTGGCGTAATTTTCCTTTTTAACTGGGCTTGCTGTAGGCAGGCCCAGTTTATAAAATACCTTCAATTTTTCCTCCATGGGGTGTATCCCTAGCAATTCATGGTGGGGATGTGTGGACTCAGTCTCTTAATCCTAACTGTAGACTCTTATTTCAGATGTATATCTTTTAGGCAAATGTGAGCAAGCACCCAGCTGAATTGTTGCATATTTCTTTGTTCAGTAAATGGCTTCTATCAATGATTAAGCGAGCAATGTGGGGAGCGTATTCCTGGGAATTGTTAGAGGGGTGTATTGTTCTGTTTGCCAAATCCTTACTCCAGATTTTATATCAGCTCAATACCTATAAGACAAATGTAAGAGAGTACTCCCCTGGAGAATTTCATGATGATAATCACGATCAATTATTAACTTGGTAACCTTTAAGCATGTTAAGTGAAGGCAGCCAGTAAATGAAGATGTGTTTGAAGCTCGTGTAGTGTGCTTTTTCACACGTTTCAAAATGGCATCAGACAGAAGAAAAATGAGGGAAATTTGTACACAGTTACATGCCCAGTGGGTGAACACAATATCACTTTTTTGCCGGTACCCAGCTGGCACTAGTGCTTGGGTACGAAGTGCGAGCATAGTCTTTGATCCTTGATTCTGATAATTGGGGAAAGGAGGATGAAAGTGCATTATAAACACCATTTTTGGCCTTATAAACAAAATTCCTAAAGCCTCTCTTCAGCTTAAGTCTGACTTAGAATTATCACAGAGGTAAGCAAATCATTAAGTGAGCAAGAGCAAATCATTGAGTGAGCAAGGGAGGTGAGCTAGACTGAAATATGTGAACAAGCTGAGGAGGGGCTGTACGAGAGTTAGTTAAAACAGTTAGATTTTCATTTTTGGAAAATCATTTATGCACTGCAAAATGAATATAGTGAAAAGTAGAGGTGAAGGTGTAAGTTTTTAAATATAATTATTTTTCAATGGTTTCCTCTTATAGTGGGTGGAGTCCATCACAGAGAAGAGTGTGCAGAGTATCTCCTTCTTCCGTCTTCCCTTAACCCCAGTTTCACCAGTTTGCATTTAGTTTTTTGTTAGTGATATTTGCTAATCTGCATAAAATTGTACCCAAATCTTTGGAAACACACTGTTTAATCATTTTACTATAATCTACCACCTAATTAGGGATGGTTAGAAAAACCTGTGGAAGAAGATGTCAGTAAGAACAAGGGCTGGCTGAAAAAATCATTTGCAAAGAAATGGAAGAAAGGATATTATGTTCTACGTAAATATTGTGCAGGGAATCAGCCATTCCTGCAGTGGTTTGACAAAGAGGATGGCTGGCGAAGGCAGATGCCCCGTGGGACAATAGAACTGTTTCCAAGGTACAAAGTGTTTAAGAGAGCAGAGCACAAGGCCAAGCAGTTTGTCTTTGAGATAAGCACTGATGCTGAGTCCCTGTTGCTTGCGGCTGAGAGTGAGACTGTTATGGACTTGTGGGTCATTCAGCTACAGATGCAAACTTTAATGAACCCACGAATAGGAGGTTGGTTTGCATGAGATGTAATGTCATTTAAATGCAAATTGAACTAAGTTCCATAAAGAGCAGCTGTTTTTTTAATGGCATTTAGTGGTAACATGGATATGTGTAATGCAATAAGCACTCTTGTTGTAGCTTCACGGAGCACTTTTCAGGGTGTCAGTTTCTCTGTGGAACATTAAATGCTCCACAAAATTTTAATTTAGAAACAAATTAAAAGAGCTTGGAAGGAGATTGTTTCATTTTGGCCCCTCTCTTTCCAAGCTCTTTGAATATGTTTTTACTGTAAGCAAAGTGTAACCGACATGCCTTGACCACTCTCTGTTTGGATGCACCTGGGTTACAGGCATCGCCTGCCATGGGAGCAGTTCACCAGACATTGCAGGCACCAATCTTCATCCAGTGTGAAGCAGTTGTCAACCTCTTGTTATTATTCTCTGTTGTGTTACCTTAGTTTATGAGGGTAACCCTGTTTTTATTGCCCCCTAACCACGTGAATACATTTGTATACTGTGAGATGCTGTTTTTTTGTTTATAATACTTGCAACAAACAAGTTTGCTGTTTAGCTGCCGTTTTTCTTATTTCTGATAATTTTCATGATCTTATGTTCATCACAGGGGAAGTGTTTAGAGTCCGAGGCAGTGGTAATCGTCAAATGCAACGAATAGGAGCAAGGGACCAACAGTGCCTTTTGCATATCTCTAAATGGGGTTTGACGCTAGCACTGGAACGCACACGAGCTGTACTGGCCCAGTGGCCACTGACTACAATACGCAATTATGAATCATTGGATGCTAATGAGTTCATATTTGAGGCTGGCAGAGCCTCACCAATGGGTGAAGGAAAGTACGATTTTTTCACACAAAATGGTGATGATAACAGGATATTTGATGTTATCGATAGTTTTGCTTCAGCTAGACTGAGGAGGCAGCAGGGGGTTCGTTCACCAGCGCCATTAAATCATAACTTGACCGACGATGACATTGAAAGAGCTTATGATCAACTCCGGTTTTCAGTTAGCTGGCAGTCTACTGCATCAGGTATTTGCTCAGCTGAAATACAATGATATTAATACACCTTGAAATAATAAATTAGCAAGTGCCTGTACCATTTTTCCTCAAATGAGTGCAAAATTTTTGCCTAAGCAGGGGGCAGGGGAGCCCTTATAAAGTTTTGCTTTGAGCAAACTGAATGTCTGCAGTAGGGTAGGTACAAAACTCAGACAGGATCAGCTCATTTACATACAGGATACATAGTGGGTATTATTGTCTGAAAAGTATTTGAGTGAGTTGATCTGGTCCGAGTTTTGTACTTTTTTAAGGTTTTGTAACTAAAGTAGAGGTTTCCGCTATTCAAAGACAAGAGAATGGTCTAAGGTGTATCTTGGAAATTTTGGGTATTTATTTTTATTTTAAAAGTGAAGATAAAAGAACTAGCTCTGCAAGCATAACTTTATGTAGGTGGAGGTAACCCAAACTGGTCACTGAATAAAGAAGAAACTTGGCAGGTATTTTTTACACATTGCATTCCACAAACATAAATACAGGTCCCTGTGCTGCAGATAAATCAGCAAGACCAGAAGTGTTTCCTAGCCCTAATCCCTATCCAAAATGTTGTTTTTGATCAAGGGGCAACTATTTGGTTTACCAGTAGTTACCAATCAATAAAACAGTGACCTGCAATCGTGACCTATGAAATTTGACCTATAAAAAACCCATCCAAATAAACTTTCAATGTTATCTAGGCCCTCCATTCAGCTGGGATGGGACGTTGAGGAACATCAACCCAACTGCTCCACAATCCATTGATGTAGCAGGCTCAGAACAAAGCATGTACAACCATCTGGGAAGATCTGACAGTATTGGAAGTGCACATAGTTTAGGCGGTGTCTCTTTGAATTCAGAGTCCAATCTTAGCTACAATCGTCTGGATCGATTGCCAAGCTGGGGTTCTCGGGCATCTCATGCTACGGACCAGTACAATAGGCTTAACCCTGTTCCATCAGCAAGTAGCATACATGATGGCACCTACGATCGATTGGCTCGTTCACCTAGTACTTCAAGTCGTACCTCAGTTCCTCCTCTGGTAAGTTTGTAAGCATGGCCAACACAAGTCTCTGCATTGCTGAAATAAATAACAATAATTTTTTCACCAAAGTGGAGGTGGCTAGTGGTGTTATTTACCGAGCTGTGAAGCGGTGAGGTAAATATCAGCACTAGCCACTGACACTGGGTTGAATAATTATTTAGTAACACCAAAGAAAATTGTAGATTCCGTCTTAATAAGTTTTCACATTTTGGTCCCATTTTGTGGGTTAGTGTGATCTGGTTGAGTGGTCTGAAATTGATTATTATAAAATACGTGTAATGTGTGCTCATCAAAAGTGCAATCAAGTGGCCACTTTCAAATTGAGTAAGGGACTGGGACTAAATCACCTTAATTAACCAATAGAGTATTGAAACTTGACAAAAAAATCAAACAAACAAACAAAAAAAAACCAATGGAAAAAAAATCTCTTCCAGTAGCTCTCTATGTTGATAAAGTGTGCCCTATATTCAAATTTACTATAATTTTCCATCTTTTTGGCAGCCTTCAGAAAATAAGAATTAGACCAATCTGGGAATGGATCAGGCTTTATCAATTTGACTGCTAAGGGAGGCGTACTTGAACAAATAATAATTTTGCAGCCAAGACTGTGTATGAAACCTGTATGCTGGAAAGGTCCATTGGGGATTGTACCTCAAAAAGTGGGTGGGTTTATGCTAGTCCTGCTATAAGGGGTACTAAAAATATTTTTATCTTTAACTTACAAATCCACTATGTATTCTGCTTGCTAGACTGACTCCCAGAGCTGACTCCATGATACATGTTATGGTGTTTACAGGACCGAGGACTACAAAAAGAAGAAAAGCCTCCCTTGCCCTTGAAACGTTTACCACGGGGAAAAGGAACCAATAAGCCATCTGTAGACAATGTGGGAATTAGACAACCTGTTCGTGATTTAACAAGTAGTAAAGCATGTGCTCCAGAATCAAGTGATGGAAAGTCGAAAGTGGTTGAGCCCCACTCTTTGCCGGCATCATCCCAGAGAATGACTAATTTATACCAGGAGAGTCCAGAGAAAGGAAGCTTTGCAAGGGAAGAAAGGAAAATCTCAGTGGTTGGATCTCCTAACTTTGTGTATCTCAATGCAGCTAATTCATCAAGTGTTGAAGTTCTACCTCATGTTTATGCTACAGTGGATCCTAGCAAAATGAAAAAGAACCGGCAGCAGGCTGAAATGGCTTCAGACTCCGCTCTTGTCCATACAAGGAGAAAAAGCAAGAGTTCTGATAGCATCTTGAGTGGTTCACCCTCAAGTCCACCCAAATACACTCATTTTGGAGCATTTGCAGCTAACAATGATGATAGCAAGGCACTTGATGATACATTCTTTCCTATCATACCACCACAAAAGCCGCGCTCTGAAAGGGTGTCATTAGCGAACACAGTTAGCCCATCGGATTATGGTGAAGGAAAAGCAGAGTTTGTTACTGTTGCACCAGAACTACCAGCTAAGAAGGGCTCGTATACTGGCCAAGTGGAGATATTAGAGAGAACTCTGTCAGAAATGTCTAATGTTTCATGGGAAGGGGAAAAAAAGGATGATGATTCTGCTACTTAGGCGTGGTTTAGATGGGATACTTCACATGAGCCCAGGGTTGTTGTTAAGATTTTGAGTTGCCAGGTAAATACAATAAGTAGGTGGGGAATCAAACACCTAGGAGTTTCTTTTGGTTCTAATTTTCTTCTATTTGCCAATAAAAGTAGCTGGGAGCCACACTCATCGTAGCCGGGGGGAATCCCCGGCCCCCGGCTCTAAATGACAGTCCTGTGAGCCAAGTTAAATTCAGTGAATGAAGTTTATGTGAAGTACAGCATTTGAATCAATTTGAAACAGCTAACTGAATTTGGATATGGCTCAGCTGTTCTTCATGCCTGGCTGAATAATGACTGGGGACTGGTGGTGATTCAGTCGTCATTAAGGCAGTCTGAATCAATTCAGCTGGTGTAAATTAATTTGAGTCAGCTTAAACTTGAAGCGAGTCAGTTGGGCTCATGTGAAGTACGGCATCTGAACTGGTCCTAAATCTTCTCTGATGAGAACTGAAAACCAATTGAAATCAATAATAATTATTGCTACTTTAAGTTACGTTGTGGACAATATTAGTGTAATATTCATTTGATTTTTTTGTACTTTGAAAATCAACAGGTATAATTGTACAAGATCATTTTAGTCCATAGATGCAAGAATTATTGTCAATTTATTATATAGTAATGCTTTTTTAAGCCCATCCACTTTATTTATGGGATTAAAGATAGGGAGGGCTATAAATTTATTTTTAAAGTCACCAAGGGTTTAATACAGCAACATGAAGTTTGCTTACTCATGTTGATATGTTAATAACAGTGTTCTGTTCCTTGTGAGAGTGGAAAGTAATACTAATATAACTAGTCCCTCATTGGTGTGCTTTTGTTGGATTGGGTTAAGAAGGCAGGAATGTAGCTTATAGCAAAAAGCTTACCACCAGCTCAAATCGCTCTGGAATACAAAGACATGAGGTAATTTTGAAGGTACATTTGAGTACAAAAGCTGTCTTGACTTCTACCTAGCTACATCCCTGATTATGCAGGGTGGGGCTCACTAAAGGCCAATTATGTGGGATTGAGAAGAATGGTTGTGATATGCTATTCTTTTTAGTAAAGGCATGTTTGTTCCAAAGGGGGCTGTTCGCCCAAGCTTTCTAGCTTTTTCTGTCTTCTATACAGCTCAAGATAGCCTGTTCAGATATTGACTGCATTGTTCTCTCCTATGTAATGAAAGGCCTTCCCAAATTCACTTCAAACAGCAAGACAACATAGGGAAACTTCACTTTCATTGATTTTTATTTTTAAAAATACTATATTACTAAAAATATAAAAATATATCATCTACTAAATTTTCCAATTTTATTTCAAATTATGTGGCAGGGCCATAGCTAGCAAAGGCACCTAGATTGTTTAGATTTTGACCAAAAATTAAAAGAAAATGTTGTGTTGGATAAAATAACTCTGCAGTAAAACAAGATTGAATTTTTCTCACAAAATACCTTACAAAATATGCTGAAAATAATGTTTCATAGCTTTTTTTTTTTTTTTTTTGGGGGTGGGGCATGCCTTCAGACCCCTCTTGCAGCCTGTGCCTTCAATGATCACAGAGCTTGCCTTGTCTGTGGTGAAGGTCTGGCCATGGCCCTTTCTACCCTAGCGTAAAGACGTGACATAACTGCTTTTATGCATTACTACAGTTTTGACTGTAGAAACAATACTTCATTATTAAATTGTTTTTATAATTTTAAGTAGCTGTCATTATTTTGTACTGAAACACAGAAAAGAGTTCAGTGCCCAAAAGGTGCACCTCTGCACACTTCCAGTTTTTTAAACCACTTGATTTCTTGAAGTGAATGCTGCAAGAACTTGTAACATTCACCGCAACAAGTGTAACACACTTCAACTTGTTTTACAAATTTGTTGTTTGGTTTTTGCACGACATGTTGCTGTTAGGGTGACAGCCCGCAGAATTAACCTTTCAGAATTCATAAATTTTCTTTTAAGTCATAAATTACTGATGACTTATTATTAATTTCCACTCATGTTGGATAACCATCTTAGTATATAATAGTATAAAAATTGCAAAAAAACCTAGCCTTAAAAACTCATTCATTAAAATTAATGCCATGTCTGTCTTTATCAATACATTAACCACTTTGATAAAAAATAGACCATTATTCATAAAATATATATATTTTTGTTTTCACATGAGTGGACTGGACATCAGTTCCTGATTGATATCTATTGACAAGTTGATTGGTTGTTGATTGGAGTAAATTGGCATTTTTTTTATGTAAATTGTAGTGTCTTGTAATAAAATATTTTTCAACAACACTGTTGTGGTGTGTATTATCATTGCTGTCAATTTGTGATTGCTTCCAATAAAAAATTTATTGTTGTTTTATTTTACCAAAAATAAAGGTATTCTCCTTCATGTAACTGCTGAATTTTTACACTACAGAAATTTACATTCTATCATGTCTTTAACCCTTTAAGCTCTAAGAGTGATCAGCATCAACTTTCTCCCTCTAATATCAATGTTTTGTAAAACAGAGTGGTCATGAGAATTATGGACATGATCACACACGATGAATTTGCTTGATATTTTATCAACTTCTCCCCACTCTTTCTGTAGGAAATGAATGGGGGCAACAAATGAGAATTCAAATTTTGATCTTAGGGTTTAAAGGGTTAAAGTTGTAATAGGTGTAACAAAAAATCCCTCCTCTACTATAGGGTCTTGTTATGGACATGTAAACATGTCATTTATTTTCTAAATATTTTTCACCAATATTCAGGATTTTCTGTTTATTAAAATGATGTCAACAGTCATTGTTATTTTGAACAAACAGGCAAAAAAAGGGGGCTTAAAAAAATAGATTGATCTCTGGCAGAGTAAACAATAACATAATTCTCTGGGAACAGGACAAATGTACATAATATATAATTTAAATGCTTCTGCCCCTGGGACTTTGTGTTAACTGTGGGTCTTAGATTCTCATTGGAGCAGTAGCAAATTCTAGGGGTTTATGTGTCATAACAAAAATAATATTCCTCATACTACAATAAACACATTTTACAGTCATGGGTCGCTTCTACAGTAACAAAGCAGTTACATTATTTAATTTTTATCCCCATGAACAAAACAAATAATATTGATAATAATTTATGTAGTGCACTATTTAATACAATTGTCATAAGAAGGCCACTTTTGATAAACAAAGGCACAAATTGACATAGCAGTCTACTATGATCATGATGGCCATGCAATTTGGCTGCATGACAAAAATTATTACCTATTTCAAATTCAAATGAAGAATAATTGATTACTACGTTACCTAGTAAGAATTAAGATAAACTGAGTGACTATTCATATTCTTTAATTTTGAGTTAACTTATGGTATTAATGTATTGACGTTGCTATCACTCGGTCAATACATCAAGACCTTGGTCTGAGATTTTCCTGTAATGACCTCACTCTCGGTTAATAAGTAGTATGTATAATTTGTAGTATTTAAAATGATAATATTAACCCAAGGCTGTGCTCTAAGGAAAACTGAAGGGAGCCCAGTGCTCTAAAAATGTAAAATCTAGCATAAGCCCAGCATATGATTTGTTTGAAAAAACTAAGGTTTCCTAGTCGCCCGAGAGCAAAAGTTAGGCACCAGGGGCCACCGGGCTCTGCTAGAGCACAGCCCTGTGAACCTTGTTGATAATCCCAATAATAGTTGAAAGAAAATGAATAATCAAGCATTTTTGTGTGGCCTCCCTGTGTGAGAGTTGAAGGTCATGCACTAGACTCCACAACTCTCTCACTTCCCAGTGCAGTGCATGCTTGCAGGCTATAATACTGATCCTACAAGGACAATGAATAATCCTGTAAGTTGGTTCTCTGCAATAATTAAGTGTATGTTGTTCTTACTAACAAATTAGTGATACGAAGTGGACACAAAATTAAGTGCTACTAATGAATGCCACCTTAGATATCACTAATTTAATGGAAAAGTTCAGTGTACTCTAAGATTTCTTTGGACTTCTCTTTGGTTTTGTAATCTGTAGTGACTTGGGTCTTAGTTCTGGCTGATTTAATTCATCATAAACAACATCTTCTTTATTGGGATCTGCTGGTGATGATGAAGACCGTCCAGGTTTTATGGGTGGTGTACCTGGTGAAAAGACCTCCTCAGTTGGTGTGACACCATGTTCTTCAACCTCTGAATGGGTGGGCAAATCTCCACTACTATCCTCTCGGGACAATTTGTTTTTAGGTTTTCTCCTTGGTTTACTGAAATCTAACCCTCCTGCTTCCAGTGAAGCCTTTAAGTTCAACACAAGTCCACTCTTTCCTCCTTTCTTAGAATTTTTGCCAGTGTTATTTGTCTTTGCAAGTGAGATTATATCTGGGGCACTGCTCTTTCTACCCTTGAATGGTACCCCCTTGCTGTTTGCAGCCCTCTGTGCTGGGATTGGATACTGGCCTTGGGTGCCTTTGGGTTGGCACACCATCGTATAATCAATGCTAGCATAAGAATCAAGGTCATCTAAAGAAGACGACTTTTGAGAAACCCCCGGCTGCAATGAATTATCATCATCTAGAGAGCAGTGAAATGATTGCAGGCTTGAAGCAAAGTTCTTCCTTAACGTTGGAGCGTCTGCCACCTTTTTGATAGGACTATGGAGGGGGCTTCCAGTAATGCTGCTTACACTGGTCCTCTGGGTGGGGACAGGAGGTGGCACAGAGGCCCCTGTTCTTGTTGAATCCAGTGTATTGTACATGTCATCCATTTGATAATTTCTTGACTGTACATTATCCAATTTTTCATTATGAATTGGACTCTTCACAGCACCACCTCTTGAAGAATCAAGAGTACTATACATTCCATCGTCATCAGCTGACTGTGAAGATTGTTTTGTAACCCTTGAAGGTGGAATTGGGTTGGCACCTACTCTTTTATCTGCATCAAGTGTATTGTAGACTTCACTACCCTCACCTGAAACAGTTTGAAAATGCATCTTCCTTGCTGTAACTGGTGACTGATGCCTGACTTTTGTATGATCCAGTGTGTTATACATATCGCTATTTTCATCAAATGTCTGCTGGGATTTCAGATGTTTCTTGAGTAGTTGATCAGGTGTTTTTCTTACAGGGATTGGAGGAGGTTGCCTTTGGTTTGACGTCTCCAGGGTGTTGTAGGTATTGTCATCAACTTCATCAGGCACTCTCCTTACCAGGGAAGGGGGAGCTCTACTGTTTATGCCTAAAGTATTATACGTATTGTCATTTATATCAGCAGGGGATGACTGAAGATTACTGGCAAGATCACTGGAGAGCTTCCTGGCTGGGGATTTAGGTGATGACTTTGCAGCAGGTGGCCTGGTTCTTGGCAGTGGTTGAATAGGTTTACGAGGAGGTCTAGCAGGGGCTGCATGGTCTAGGGTATTGTATTGTTGCTCAAGCTGCGAAGATGTTGAAGATGTTTGATTTTTTGTCATGTCCAGGGTGTTGTAAGCATTTTCTTCATTTCCTCGTGACTCATTGTGTACCATGTGTGGAAGTGTTTCACCAAGCACATTATAAACATCTTCTGTGACTGAGTACTGAGAGGCTGCCGGTTTTTGAAATTTGCCATGGTGCTGGGTGGTATTGTACATATCCTGTCCTTCTGTGGGTGGAGAAAGGCACTGATCAAGAATACAATATTCTGCCTCAACAACACCTTTTGAACCCTTCTTTTCAAATCCTTGTACAGGGTGACTCAAGGTATTATACTCCTCACTGACATCTGAATCCGCAATCAATCTACTGTCTGGCACAGCTTGAGGTGTGCGTCTAATCAAAATGGGTGAAGCTTTTTTTCCAGTATCTCTGGGAGGAAGGTGTCCATAAGGAGAAGCATATGCATTGTTCATTGAATCTGAACTTCCTGCCATCATCTGTTCATCTTTTCTTGGTGATGTAGCCACTGCGTTATCATAACCATTTTGCGGGACATCCCTCCTTTCATCAGTTGGCACTGACTTTGTCTGTTCTGGTGGTTGATGTGATTTTGTTGTGCTTGTTTGCCCAGCACGGGACTTGATGACATGATCCAAAAGCTTATAAATCTCATCATGTTGTGGAGTTAGGAATGTAAACTTGCCCTCTCCTGTAGGTGCTCGCCGCCCAGCTTCCACTGTAAATTTTCCTCGTGTACTCATGTATCGCCTAAGACATGTAAAGGGCCAGGCCACAAGAAGCCTTCCATCCTTTGCACAGAGAAGTCGCAGTTCACTGTTGGCAACATGAAGATGGCACATATCACTTGCTCCCAGCTTTGACATTTGTTCATTATTTTCTGGCTCCACATAGAATGAGTTAACTGTTTAACAAATCAAAAGACAGAGCAAAATAATAAATTAAAAACCTCTCAGCAACAACACAGTCAAACATCTGTGTAACCAACTCACTTAATTTTACTTCACAAGATGTCCACCCAAAATACGCCCCTCATGAAAGTTTGCCAATTGCAAGAAGTTATAACTGTAGTTAAGTAGCCTGAATTTCATCCAATTGCTTCGAGTTGTTTCCTCCTCTCAGCAACATCTGAATCGACCGGCCGTTAATGCCGTCCAGTGACGTCACTACCTGAAAACTGGGTAGTGATTTTGATTGGTTGATTGTCTAAACATTTACATAATTATGAGAAATTTTAGCGGGGTTGTTGCTTGATATCCAGGAGATCGCATCCTTTGCATGCTTGCGTGGAGTTCAAACATTTTGATAATCTCTATCGTAAACAGCAAAATTGTCATTGTCTTCGAAACTGAATAGCTTTCGAAGCTTGTTTGCGTCATGGGTGACTTCAATCTTTGTCTTTTGAAAAGTGAGTGCTCTTCAAAATATTAAAAGACAAAGATGATTACCTTGATGCAACCATGATAACACAAGAAATAAAATCGCGAAATCCTAAACCTTAGCCTCTTTCACAGGTTGCATTTAACAGTCTTTCTTGCTTTTGAATTCATTACACATATTTCTTCTTTTCTTTTTCTTTGCTTTTTACTCATTATGATATAATATCTGATTTGTAATAGAATTAATTTGGCACGCCTCGACTAGCGTTTTCTTGCTAACTGCGTGCCAAACAATTGTACTTGTAATGTTACGATAATAAATGTCTTGTCATAAATTGAACTGTGAATGAAGAATCATTGCGGAGAGTCAGTAGGAGTAGGTTTTTCATATATGCAGTTGATAGTTTAAACGTTAAAGATGAATTACAATCGAAAAGGGTAAAGCAATTCTGTATCATGCAGACATTTCCAAATGATATTTCTTGGTTTGCTACTTGAAAATCATGTTTACTTTTTGCATGAATTAAATCAAAGGAGTAGTGATGTCACTGGATCATGGCATTAACAGCTGGTTGATTCAGATGTTACTGAGGGAGTAATAACGACTCAAAGTAATCAGATGAAATTCAGGCTAGTAGTTAAGTTCTTTCATTCAAAAACCGCATTTGATATCTTGAATAAGTGCTTGCCAAGAAGAGAGGATGGATGAATGAATGGATAACTAAGGGTGCTTTCATATTAATACACAGAATCAGGGTGCAAAGAAGGTCATTTTTACAGCTTATCCATTGTGCAAGCTATAGCTAACATGTAGTAGACCAAAAGGGCAAATTATTTTTTTGATTAACAGGATTCATAATGAAATGGCTGGTTTTCATGGTTGCAACAAAGAGAATTGCAAATGTGGTTGGTGACAATAAACAATATGTAAATGAGAAAGAGGAGGCACTCCTCAGAAAAGGTTATCACTAGAGAAGAAAAGAAACTCTTTGGCATATTATTGTACACAAGGAAATGGAGAAAACTATTGAATTTCCAAGTTAGTATTATGCGATATGAAAACAGTTTCTCCATGCTAATAAAAATTTAACATGATCATTATTATCTAAAATGTAAGGCAAAATATCTCCTTAAAACAAAATCCTCCAAGAAATTTTCCCCTAGATTTTTTTCTAAACAATAAATTTATTCCTGTGTCAACAGTGTTGTTAGAAGTCAGCCACCTTCAGCCACCTTCAGCCAGTGGTTGTGGCCACCTTTTGGTCCTCCCTAGAAGAGTTCTATTGTTGTCATTTTTATTAGGCAGCCATCAAGCCCTTGATATGCTATGTTTGGCTTTATTTAAAAAATATGATAAAGAAAAATAATAGGCCATTTTCATGATGATGAAATTTGACTACAACTACCTTATTACATAATTACATATTATAGGAAATTAAGGTATTGGAAATTAATGCGACTTATATTAATGTGAATTTGATGGAAAACGACTTTCGAATAAAGAAAATTAACGCAAAAGAGGAGGTAGAATTTCACAATAAAGGAAATTAACACGATTAAGACACAGTTGGTGGTGACGATTCGAAATCTATCTTGGCTGAAATCAACGGAGAAGATATTGTCATCACTTCTAAAAGCGAAAACAATGAGGATGAACTCGAAAATAATATTGTAAACCTTCGCCTTAGCTTTTGTGAAAGATGAAAAATAAGGATAAATGGAAAGAAAGAAAGCTTGTAGTTAATGTTTTTTAGGTGTCAAGAATGTCTGGACAGGTTCCAAAATTGGGTTCAAAATACTGGAAATTAAGAGGGCGGAAAGTAACACTGCACCTCATTAACGTCGCAGAAATTAACGCTCAACAAAATTAATGTGACTTAAATTAACGCGAATTTTTCGATTCGCGTTAATTTCATGGAGCATTAATTTCCTATAATAAGGTACCAGAATTCATTTCGTTTTTGCTCTCTTATTCAAATTTGTCAATCCTGCTGAGGTTTACAAAACAATAGCCTTACTTTGCACAAGAAAACAACAAACTGAAGCATTCTGGTAGTTGTTGCATCATCGTGCATTGTGGACCAGTAGTGCCACTCCTGTAGAATGTTCACTTCAAAATAAAGTCATAAAAATAAGCCTTTAGCTTAAAATTATCAATATTTAATATTGCAGCTGTGTCAGCATGCCAGGAAATACTTACTAATGCTTTCCTTTTCCAAAATAAGAATCCATTGATTGAGTTCATCTTCTGAATGTGCTGCTAAGCGGTAAGTGTGATCAACTGTTTTGATTTCAAAGACAAAATTTCGTCTTGGTTCATGAACTTTTAGGACTTCATAGCCGGGGTAAAGCGCCAGAACGCCTTTGGGCTCGGATTTTCGCCAATTCTTAGTTGCAGCCGGGTAAAATTCAAGACTTCTGATGTTACTTGCCAATATGTGTTTGAACACGAAATGTCGGCGTTTCCAATCTTTTTTCCCATGTTCAACTGTGCATTTGTCAAGAATTCCCTGGGAGTGAATACATAAATAAGTGATTTGAATGAGCTGCGACATTTGACAGTGATTTGATCATGCATGTTTGATCTAGACTGACGTATTAGCGGAAGACTACATTCAGTTCCTCAGAAAATGGCCTTATATTGTGCTGCAAAGATTTCCTTAGTGACAAATGGCCAATTACAGCTCTATAAATCATGCAAACATTGAAAAATTTCCGTAAGTAGTGTATAAAACGGTTAATTACCTCGAACAAAACACGGACCTCCATACTTCGGCATCCTTGAGATGATACGTGCACTTCCCCCCGAGATAGCGCGGAGACTGGTACCAGTGCCGAATTCCAGACCTTCAGACCTTCAGAACTGAAGGAATGTTGACCAATGTTGACCTTGTCGACCTTGAGATAAAAACTCAGTTTGGTCTGAAAATGAAGGTGGGAGGGGATTTTTCTCAGTTTTGTATTTCACGTCACCCGACTAGTCGAGTTCTTTCTGCTTCACCTATTAAAAGTGCGGGACTATTCTAATTTTTCACCTGCATGAACATTTTAATAATGAATTAACTCAAAGGACATTTATTACTTTAGATACTCATCAAGACATAGATAAAATGTTCTCGATGTCTTACAATAAATGTAATAGACTGGTCAATAAACATGCTCCCTTGAAGACGCTGTCTGGCCGCAAGGCAAAACTCAGTTTCAAAACCATGTCATGACTCCGATTTGGAGTGAGGCTATGGAATGCTTTACCTGAAAATATTAAAAAGTCTGTAAGCAGAAACTTATTTAAGAAACAAATACATGAAACACTTATTAGACTTTTAAATATTAATTTTTTAAACAGGAGAGTTTGTACCATACACCATCTTTAATTCTTGAATTCATTAAAAACTTGTAAAACTGTAGCACCTGTAACTTCGACCAGTATAGTGAGATTTCTTTCTTTCTCTCTTTTCTCTGTGTAGTCATTTTGTTTTGCTGTTGTTATTTGCAATTTTTCATTGCTACTATCATTTTAATTTACTATTTACTGTAATCTTTTGCTGCTGCTTATTTGAAATCCATGTAAGTACAAATATGTATAGCGCTAAAAAAAATAGTTGTAATAAGCCTAACTAAATCATACCTACCCGCCTTGACTAGTTTTTTTTTTAAACTATTCAAATTGTAAACCTGCTTCTTGTTGTTGTTAGAAGTAGTCAAATTGCAGTTTAAATTTTGTTTTAATTTTTTCTTCAAAAATTTAGGTCCAGTCAGTGAGACATGTTGTGTTTGGAAGCTAAAAAGGCTGCCCGGCCTACTAGGAACTTGATACTGACTATCCACTCATCCTCAAGCACGGGCGAAGGAACCGGCTCCTTAGCTGGCGCCTTTTCCTGACCCGACTGACTGCCCCTGGGTCTCCGGGGATGCAATCCCCTCGGCCTGGGTCGGGGTCCTTCCAGGTGCGAAGCTTTTGGCAGATGCACAGAGACGCAAAGTGATCGAACTTACCTTGGGGTCCCGCGACTGCCTAACGAGCTGGCGTGCGAAAAGGCCAAATGTCCGGGAAAATGTCCGGGAAAATGTCCGGGAAAATGTCCGTAGCCTCTACTCGCAGGGTAGCGACTGCCGCGTGATATTCTCCCCCATCCCAGCCAAGTCCTTTCCTTTCGCCGTTCTATACCCCACATCTCGCCTTTGATCCCTCGTGACAAACCTGTGAATGGCAATCTGTTTTGTAAATATTTATAAAGATGCTGATCTTTCGCGCGGTAGGTGAAGTAAGATTAATTAGCATAATTTATGCGATTTTGCAGTAACGTAGTCACGGCTGTAATAAACCGTCATGGAGGGTTATAAGGTATGATTTCTACAATGATTTGTCTTGATATGCAGCCTTTTTCACCATATGCACATTTCTTTACTTTTAAGCTCCATCAACGACTCGGCAAGGGAGCTCAGGGCTCTGTATTTTTAGCCGAAAACAAGCTGGACAAGAAAATGTATGTCCTGAAAAAGGTGAGCTCACTGAACTGACTTAAACTTTTTAATTGATGACTTTTTTATGGAAAAGCTTGTTGAGAAATGAAGCAAATTACAGTACTTATCGTCTATTAGTTTAACAGTGTGTGTGTGTGTTTGTGTGTGTGTGGAGAAGAAACTTCGAACCGTGCCCAACGGCCACTGTTCAGAGCAGCTGTCTATTCAGTTAGAGAACCATTCGTCGAATGTCAAGAGGCTGCATTCCACGGTCGTTTGTTTTGGTGTTGAGTTAATATTCTTAGCAACCAGATTTGAAAGTTGTAACGTTTTCGAAAAAATTTCGCTTACTGTCATTTTTATTCAACTCTATGACAAAACCCCTTTGATGCCGGCGTTTACTTCAGAAAATAATTTAGGCAAACACAAATTCGTGATCGATGATGATCAATTGAAGCGACCTCGAACAGCAAGCTGATGTAAATATAAATTGCATGATCAAAGGCAAAGCTGATAAAACAAGTAACAGATGTTTTCCCTGATGCTTGCAAAACATTTCAGTCCTTGGACAAAATATCATTCAGGCTTTATTTAGTTTAAGTAGCTTTACACTTGTGTTATTAGGTTTTATCGATTATCATTGGCTTGAGATTTACATTCTTTTAGTTATCATTACAGAACCTGTAATGCAAAACGATCACAGTAAATAATTAAGGCAGACGCTAGGAAAGCTGAAATTTGTTCAGAGAACTCCCAGCCCAACCTAAGCTCTGCGATCCAAAGTTCCTATGAAGATCATCAGATATATAGAAAACAAAACATTTACGGTCGCGATCTCAGTGTATTAAAAAAGCTGAGAATTTAAAATGCAAGAAGCTTCGACCCATTTTATCTTTAATATGCTTACTACTTATTATATGTACGTACTTTATATTCTCTGGTCAGGCCTTTTAGTTTAAAATATGAACTCAACAATTTCTAAATTATTTTTTGTTTAAAGTCACTTAGCCTTACCCTCAAAAGTTATATGAATCTGCCGGCCCTAAAGTTAACTGATGTGTGGATTACAAGTTATTTGTTTGATTGAAACTTTATATTAAAATTAACCGGTCGAACTTCCCTTTTAGCCCTGGCTAAATTTATATATCATTGTTTTACTTTCGCATTTCAAATTGGTCCCCTTGATGATCTTGAGTTATCAAATTTTCCCCATATTTCTTTCTTAAAAATACTCATTACTGTATCAAGATTGACCACCAAAATTTATTCATGTAAAACCACTTTAGCTGCATGTTAAAATATAATTTCTGCAAAACTGTGTTACTCACTTCAAAACTTACTCTCCTCCCTCTTTGTATCTTTTTACTCTAAAATAATTTTCCCTTTTTGCACCCTCTTGCTTTCTCGCCAACTTCTCTATGTGTGCTTGCCATAAAAGTTGAAAACCTAGTAATGTTGATGAGGCAAAGTTTAAGCACTGATGCATTCCTCTTTCTTGCCCCAGAGCCTCCCAAAAGAGCTTTGCTTGCGAACTACTCACAATAACTTGGATTTTTATTGCTGGACTATTTTTGCTTTGACAAAGGTCTAGTCAGGCTTAGTTCAGCAGCTGTTGAATCTCCTTTACAGTGGCAAATTAATTTTAGTTCTGGGTGAGGGTTCCTGTTCCTAGCAAATAGCCTAGTCTCTGGCTTTAGATTTGTTTTGGTCTGAGTCAGCCGGATCCCTTCATTCTAATCCAGATAATTTTCTTCAAGCTTATTCAATGACTTGGTGGCAGAGATAGACCAGACGAGACCAGACCACACCGGGGACTACATCCCAGGCCTTCTCTTAACAATTAAACAGTGTGTGTGGGTTCAATAACATTCCATTATCGAGTGAGGGTTGTGAGATGGATGGAAATTACCAATAACTGTCCTAAACTGTCCACTGATGCTAGAAACACCTGACCTTGATTGTTTTGAACAGTGTCATTATTGGTCAACATAATATTAAAGTGGCCTGTCTCTGAGCAGAATTAAGGTACAATCTTATTGAGCCTTAAACTGTTGGAGAGCACCTTTTAAATGTAAGTACCTACGATATGGTTAGCCCAGCATGCAAAGAAAGTAGTGTCCGATAGCCCGGGGCTAGTGGATTTTGCTAAAATGATTAAAATGTTAATATGTTTAGGTTGAATGCAATGATGAAGGAGAAGCCAATAAAGCTTTCAAAGAGGTAAGGGAAATTCATGAACCAATGATTGTTTGATTTTATTCAGACAGAAAACTAGAAAGCTGAAAGGAGAAACATGAAAAATTTTTTAAAGTAGATGGCAACACTTGTCTAGGTACATGTAGTCATGAGAGTGGGATGGTCCCACTTCCATTGGGAAAGTCTAAGGGCCTCCTGTTATGGGAAAATTTAAATATTTTGTACCCCCTAAAAAGTGCATCAGTTTATTTTGACTGACCAGAAAAAAAATTAATATTTAGCCAGGAGGATGTTGCCGTTAGCTATAGATACATTATTGCACTGTATATGTTTTATAGGAAAAAGTAAGCTTCCAGGGGTTATGCTAGAGCACTACCCTAGCCTGATTTTTAAAATGATCATATTATTACTGTAACAATATCTGAATAACTACATGTACAATATTATTATAATAGAAAGTAGTTCAATGAAAGCAGTGTTAATTACTAAAGAGACCTTTAGATTCAACGACGAGGACAACTATGTGTGCAAAATTTTCTCTGTACTAAGTAGTGCTCATGCTTTGGTGGAAACAAGTTGTCAAATGTTAGAGATTTTTTAATTTTGTGATCAGTAGTGGGCTTAACCTCCTTCAACAGAGTTGAGAGTGCTGACGTTTCTGGTGAAATTAAGTACAGTGAAGCATTCTGGGGTCCCGGGGTGTCTATTTTTTGACATTATGCAGAAAAACTTTTAATCAAATCTCGTACTTGTAGTTGTTCTAATCCTCAGGGTTGTCACTAAGATTTCAAGTTGCCGGGTAAATACAACAAGTAGGCGGGGAATCAAACGGCTGGGGATTTCTTTTGGTTCTATTTTTCTTCTATTTTCCAATAAAAGTAGCCAGGGGCCACTCTCTTAGTAGCCGGGGAAAATCCCCAGCTCCCGGCTCTTAATGACAACCCTGAATCCTCAAATCTAATGGTCTCTATTATCTCTTACATGTATACCACTCTCATCAATTCTGTTTTGTAGGCCGTCGCTTTACAAGAACTTCAGCATCAAGACAAACATCGTTGTATTTGTGGATATAAAGAATTTTTTGTAACCTGGGATAAGGAGGTTCGTGTCTGCTTTAAAGATCCATAATATCATGATTAGGCCTAGTCCTGGTTATATTATTTAATTCTTTTGTCAGTTAAATACCAAAAGATCAGATAATTCCCAACCATTCCAAATTTCCAGATATTGGTGAGGAATGGTATGGTAAAGTTATATACTGTTAAGATTTGTGAACATCTGGTTTGGCCAAACTAGAGACTTCTGTGTCTTAGATTAAGAACTCTAGTTAAATATCTCAGATTAGAAACTTAAAAGACATTTACTGACTGATTGCCTGAGTTGTTTTACCTGTCTTGGAAGCACTGATGGCCAAGTGGTTTGGGGTGCCCTATTTCATCATGGCCCCCTTAGGTTTATTGTTTGCCTTGGCCTTTAAAACAAAAATTAGTAATGGTAACAGGACTGAGTGGAGTCCAATTTGGTCTGTAATCATACGAGTGATAAACAAAATCAGACGACTGCGTAGTGGGAGTCCGATTTGTTTAATCACGAGTATGATTACAGATCGAATTGGACGACACAAAGTTCTGTTACCAATTAATCATAACTTTAACGAAATTTGTGATATATGAGGCTCTTTTTTTAATCATAAGACGAAAAATTCCGAGATTGTTTTTGCTAGCAGTGAAAAAAAAAGCCATTTAAGCGTGCGCGTGATTGTGCGTACTGTCCAATTACTCAGGCATGATGCGTACTGTCCTATTTAACTGTCCTATTAAGGCTGAAATCAGGGCAGTTAATAGCCAATCAGATTTAAGAATTTTGTTATAGTTATGACTAATACTTAAATATGAGGGGACTGTCTAAAATAGTTTCTGGTGGAATATTGATGACAGTTTCATATTTTTAGGAGTGTGCCATGTTTGTGTGCATTGTAATGGATTATTATAAGCTAGGTGAGTCAAGTTGTATTCAAAATTAATATTTTAAATTTAATAAACTGTTTTTATCATATAATAAATTCTGTGATTAAAATATTCATAAAAATTTTATGGTAAATCTGTCATTTGTTTTTCATTTATTAATTTGGAGGACTGTTTAATAAGCAACTTTCACTTATTTTACAAATACAACTAGACTGTTAAACTTTTCCTTGGTTGATTCTTGGCCGAGGGGTAAAGGCACTTTAAAGTTAGGAGATGGACTCAATGTGTGTGAGAACAAGGAGTCATTGCCCTAACTTATGACTGACTCAAAGTCTCGAGTTAGACTCAGTCATACAGTGCAGGGTTCATGATTATTCTTTATTATTTTCAACATTTTAGGTGACCTGGACAAGGCTCTAAAGCAGAAAAGAGCAAAAGGCGAAGCCATTCCTGAGCTTGTAAGAAACGTTTTTTACCATACATGTAATTCGTGTTGAATAATGATTTTCATAATACTGTGACCTATTTCCTCAAATAAGAGCTAACTCTCTGACATAAACCATCCCTAGAATTATAAGCTCCCATCTACATTTACCTGTTAACTATCCTCACCCCTTAGGGTAACATCTACATAATTATATGGATTAAAATCATTGATCTCATACCAGGCCATGCCTTTGTATAAATTTCTTGCTCCTTGTAGAAAAGTTTGAGGTATTACAGCCTTTACTGACAGTTTTTGGTAAATATCTTTATAAATTAAAATAAACTCTAACTAATGCAAGAAGAGAAGAGTCTGGACGTGAAACATTCACACTTGTCAGTTTTGGGGGAAATCCACTGAGACTGAGAACCTGTGAAAATCTCGGAAAATATGGAACTTCCTGAGAACTGTTGGGCTTCTCATTGAAGAATCCTGGCACTCTAAGGAGAGAAATCTTGTGCCTTAGACTAAAAAAAGGTTGGCAAGCGCACCAAACTTCTTGATTCAAACTAGCAGATAGGTGGGGTTTGCTGATGTTATTGCCAAGTTAGTCACAGAAAACCAAATTAATTTACATCTACCTTACTTTTTTAGATATTCGTTATGACAATAATTGTCAATAATTAATTGTAGTTGAATGAAAAATATGTTGGACATGCACAATGTAGTCAGGGTGAAATTGCTTTGAATGGACAATATTCTTTCCTTATTTGACAGGTTTTAAAAAAGTGGTTTGGACAGATGGTTGATGCACTAGCATTTGTTCACAGCAAAAGTATGATACACAGGTAGATAAGTATGCATGTCTTTGTTTATACTTTTCAGACAATTAAGTGCCTAATTATCATTTACAGATAATTTATATTAGTCTGACAAATAAAACATTCATTCTAAAGCATCAATGATTATTGATTATCACTGCATTTCTTTAATTGCTTGTAAATTCAGGAACTGGATGATAGAAATCCTAATTATAATTTTTCCTTTTTGTGTTTGCTGAAACTTTGACAGAGATCTCAAACCAAGTAACATTTTTCTTGCTGAAGATGGGAGTATTTCAGTTGGTAGGTCGGTCATTTTGAATCCAAGAAACTTGAAATTTGCAAGAAAGAATCCCAGGTTATTAAAATATTTTTGATCATACTGTAATTTGATGTCAACAGGTGATTTTGGTGTTTCCACCATCATGGATGATGCAAGAACTCGCACAAGAACAACAGTAGGTGGGTTTCTTTTAGATTTTCTAAACCTGCATGTTAGTAATGTATGCAGTGGTGCATTTAGGGGAGCTGCCCCTCATACCTGATACCTATCTACTTTCAAAATATGGCCTTCACAGTGCATTCCCACCCTTCCTTTGATGGCTGCTATAATCTTCACCTCATTCCATGATTTCTGGCCCGCCTTTTCTCTTTCTTTTTCAATCATGTGCCTTGCCCCTTATACTCATCTAAAAAGGATTCCCACAGGGTTAAGTTGCCAAGAAAATGATTATTTCATGGGTGTCCCCTTATCTGAGTGGCCTTCCCTAACCATGAGGGTAGTATCTGTCACTGCATTGCCTTGTTACAGGAAATCCTAGTCACACTCCTAAGGTTAAAAGTCTCATGCTTTTGTCCCTCAGATTGTCACTGACTGAGCTCCTAGAGAAGTTGCTCTTTTGATACAATGCAGTGTATTGAACACTTTGGCCTTGTAACCCAGTCACTAATAACAATTCTGTTGATAAATAATAATATTATTGCATGATTGTTTTTTTTTAAATTGATTTTTTTGTTGTTAGGTACTATGAACTGGATGGCACCAGAGGTTTTAGAAAGGCCGTATCCTTTAGTTGTAAATTAACAGTGAATTAAAACATTTTGCTGCTTCTAGGATGCTATTTACTATTACAAAACTTTCATCCCTTTCGACGCATTCAGATAGTGGAGCACGGTTGAGAAAACATGATACAGCAAGTAAAAAAAAAGAAGGGAAACTGGAGAGAGCAGTAGAAGAATGCTATTTCTTTTACCTGTGCTCCACTATCTGAGCGCCTCGAACACACTACAGGAAATTCTGTTGCTAAGACTGGCTTTACTTGAAAATTTGCAAATTTTATTGTATAACATATACAATATTGAAGTAGTTATTCAATAAATTTTTACTTATTATTTTACTGGACAACAAACCAAGTATTTAATGCATTCACCCTCAACTGCCAGCAACTGGCCATATGAAACCATGTGACTTGTGATGTCATCAATTGCAACGGTTGTAAACCACTTGAACACTTAACTTGTGCAGGGGGGAGGGGACCTTTCAAACCCAACCCAAATGAGCTCGATTCAGTCCATCAGGCAACAGAAAATTGCCAAATAAATCATGAAGCTTTGACTAGAAATTTCAATAAAAATCACCTGTACTTAACTTTACGATTTTACGATCCTCTGGGTTTTCGTTAGTCTGCTACACAGCCGTTTTTAGTGTCATCACGCAATGCTCTAGTGGGGAGGAGCATTGCGTGATGACTCTAAAAATGACTGTGTAGCAGACTAGGTTTTTGTGAAACGAAGCGTAGTAATGTGCCAAGCAAAAGAAAACAAGGAGGAGCATGCGAGAAGAGAGGGCGAAAGATAAAAGTCTAGGGGTTAATAGTGCCACTTTTTTGTCCACATTTTGCCTTCTGCGCATACCTGGACTTGGAAAGCTTTTATCTGGCACATGAAACTAGCCAGTGTAATGCCAGTGAACATTGAGTTGGTTCGTTGGGGCACAGCTAGTGACCAGAAAACGTCTCAATTATCTTCAAACAACGCTTTTTGGCAAGATGTTCGGGGCAAATGGATAAGTAATTCATGTCCGGGTGTTGAACATGTGTATATGTACGTGTTGTATTCGTATTTTACTGACCAGTCAGACACCCACAAATGCTTTTCACTGATTCTAGTGTAGTTAGGTCAAGATATGAATTTTTTTTTTCCTGAACTAAGGTAAGTGATTTTGAAAATGCCTCTTTATAGATATGGAAAGCTTTATCCAATTTTCACACTTTTGACAATATTTTTATTTGATTTGTACATGGATTTTGAATATGTGGTAGTCACTGGGTAGTATAAAGTTTCAGTGATTTTTTGTGTGGCCATTTGAAAAGTTGATATTATTTCCACCTTAAAACGTGCAATTATCCTTAACGTTCTTAAGGTATGATGAACGGAGCGATGTCTGGTCATTAGGGTGTATACTTCTTGAATTGGCCACTTGTGGATTCTTAGATGTGAGTTTAATAGCTCGCATAGCTGGCGGTTTGTTTGGCGAGAGGGTGAAAAACTGCGAAACTGCCGCAATAAAAAAACCTGAACGGTTTCTTGTTGTTTCCGCCCAATTTTCCGCGCGGCTTCGCCGCTTATTTGCGCGCTCGACAAACAACACCTCCAGCTATGCAGGCTATGAGTCGTAGTAAGGTTCACTGTGTACTACCGCCTGGATGGCAGTTTTCCTATTTTTGTCTTACGATAGATCACGAAGCAGAAGCTGAAGAAGACGAAAAATGTCTTTGGATAGTTCTTCCTCTGAAACGCTCATTCTGAATTTAACATACACTGCATGTAGCTTTGCCGTTTTGAGTAGGCCTTGCAGAAAACAGTTAGCCGCTGCCATGACTGACAATCCCCCTAACCCAGCCATGAGCCTCGAACAAAGATGTTGAGGCACCAGTAACACTGTGTTAACTGGCAGTGGACTAAAAAGGGAAAGGATTCATTGGGAAGAGACTAGCAGAGATCTCCCGCAGAAAAAAAACCGCCGTACACGCACACTGAAATACTCTTAGCTCGCTAATGCATACGTATTTCCAGCAATCACTTTTCTCTGCCCAAAGGTGGATGGATGAGACAGCCGAAAATACGCCATTTGCACGGAAAATACCCTTCGTGATTCAGTGAGGAGTTTTCAGAACGTGCGATAACATTCTGCTCTCGCTGATCACTAAAACATACAGGCTTTTAGTTACATTACAGTTAACTGAGCGTTTAAAAATATAATGATCCTTTTACGACGCTAACTTAAGTCTCATGGTTTTGGATGTAACTGACTCTAGTAAAAGTGAGCCTTTCTGGTATTAAGAAACATTATCCCTGACGGATATTATCTTATTATCTAAGATAATTATATCAAAAGTGTTATTTTCTCTATTTCTTTACGTTTAAAGCAATCGCAGATATCATCGAAGTTGTTTCAGATCAAGAGCTCTCCTCAGGAACTGGAGGAAGTACTTAAAGACATTGGAAAGGTTTGTGTTTGCTCGTCAGCTAGTCCAGTCCCTCAGCCATGCACTTATTAGCTCCATTGGCTGGATGCGTAACAGACTGCGGGGCGGTGGGCTTTAGTTTAATTTACGGCCGGAACAATATACAGGGTTTTCAAATGACTAAGTAGAATGTGCTGTCGTTGCCTCATGTCTGTAATGGTTGAACATGCTATTCTTCTCGAATAAGGACGAAAACTCGCAGACGCCGTCTCACACTGAGCACTCACTCACCTCTCTAATCTGCCTGAGTCTTGTGGGTCCTAAAAGAACCATTAGGGAGCTTAAGCAACAACGTTTTTGAGCGACGCACGTCAACCGGAAGTGGCCTTTTTTCATTTTTTGACGGTGGTTTCGCGCAAATTTTCAATCAAATCGCCTCTATAAAAGTAAAGAAGCTAAGGAATACAAATTTTATATCATCAAGGCATGTTAAGAGGGAAAATACCTCACTTCCGGTTGACGTGCGTCGCTCAAAAACGTCACTGCTTAAGCTCCCTATTAGGTGCGTAACAGCCTGCGTAGCAAGCGCTTCCGTTTGGTTTTAAAGCAAAGAAAGACCGAGGGATAGGATTTTCGGTTTTGGCCGCGCGCGAAATAGAACAAGAGCCAAAAAATGAAAGAGGGAAAGGGGAAGAAAGGAAACAGTGGTTCTTTACCTTTCTTCCCCACCCCCTCCCCGTTCTTTTACTCGCGCCATTTTTCGCGCGGTCTCGTGCCTCGTTCTTTGCTCCGAAACCGCACGGAAACGCTTTCTACGCAGGCTACATAGTTTGGTGTGTCATACTTATTTTCGGTAGCTGAAATACTAGTCCCACCCCAATTCTTTGTAATAAAAAAAGCTTTTTCACGAGAAATGTTGCAGTTAAGGTGCTCTCTTTTTTATTAATGTCTCTTTCCGTAACAAACATTAGAACCGGTGAAAATATAACTGACGCATTTTTGCACCGTCAATTTTCGACTTGTCTGACGACTTTACATGTAGTGTACTGTTGTAGACTGAAACAGTATGAAAATTTAACACGAGTGGCTGGCGTAAGTTTCAGAAAACAGTTCTGCGGAGGAACCTTACCAACTTCATTCCAAAATGTGACGTTTGAAGTGCCTCGTACTTGTTTATTTTACCTAACTTTAGAATTATACACTTTTTTTCTCGTAGACATATGCAAAAGATTTGTGCCAAACTATTCGCCTCATGCTAAGAAGAAACTTTCAACAACGACCTACAATGAAGTGAGTATAAAACTTTTGTTAAGATGGGATGAGAAAGCTTTGTGATGTCGTGCGTGTATTTTGCAATTTGTTTCATAACTAAATCTTTACCAAAAACGCGCGCTTTAGTGCACTCTCGTTGATTACTTCGAGGTCACATAACAGAGGGCCTTAGATTCTGAGACAAGGACGACTACAAGCTAAGTACGAGATTGTAGTGCTCTTGCGTGAGCCAACGTCATTTTGGTGGGAAAACGTGATGGCCCTCGTCATTCTATTACGAGTTTTAGCGAGAATATCGTAATAGCTCTCTAATATCTAACAAACTCGTTCCCGTCAAGAGTTTCTGAACGGGTATCTATGACGTCAGAGGGCAATAATAAACACTTAATGACTGGTCCCGAGGAAAAAAGTTAATTTTGTTTCTCGAGAATCTCAATGGGCGCTTTCCATTCAACCAAGACGTCTGGTTTGAATCTTAGGCAACTTCCAGTAGTGAAAGGAACAGCATTTTCAGAAATTCCCAAAAACGAGGACAACCTCGCGAGGTATACCCAAATTTTCGGAAAAATTTTCCCGGATTTTTTTTCCATTCAGCTTTGCTCCCGGAATTTTTAGAATTTTTCGTTGAATGGTTCGCATTTCGGAAATTAAACAGTTTTCGGAATTTCTGGGAACTTTTTCGAGAAAATTTCAGTACCATTTGCCACTGTTTCAAAATTTTCGAAAGTTTTGGTTGAATGGAAAGCGCCCAATGTTTCCCGAGGCGGAGTTTGCGCACTACTTACTATTGAGAAAATCTCGTTCTCGTAGTCATCCTTGTTTTAGAATCTAAAGTTCTCAAATTTTGCCGTCGGAACCAGTCATTGAGTGCTTCTGATTTTCACTCACAGAAGTTCTCTTTTGAAGAAGTGCACCTCTCTTGATGTGTCCCTTGGAAAGCATCTTTTCTCTACTTCACCATTTGTTTTTTTCCGTGTGTGGGTTGCGAATGACCAAATTTGATTAACGTGCTTGTTTGTCCAGTTTCCAGTCGATCACTTAACAATTTACTTTTTTTCCAGTCCATGTAAATTGAAACTGATCAAAAGTGATGTATGGAACAGTGGAATACTCAGTCGACATGAATTTGACGTGAATGTCATATTTTGTATATTTTGTGACCTATTTAGAACTACAGTAGTTAAACTGAAAACTGTGTCGTGCTTTAAAAGTTACATTAATTTGTGCGAACCTAGCGCGTGTACTAGGCTGATAGGAACTTTTCTCTACATTCAGAGAATTAGCTGAGTTACCATACGTGAAGAGCTGTATTGCACTTGGTGATAATAAACCTAACAATGCCGCTACCAAAGGAAGTTCAGCATCTCCCAGTAAAGGCGTCAAAGGAGCCAAAAAGGAAAGTAAGTGACTGTGGGTTGTTGAATAACTAGGCAATGCAGCTTGAAAAGATATTGTATTACAAACGCTACTAGTAATAACCAAAGGCTACGGAGTGCGGGCGACAACGATGGAAGGTTAAAAAGCTTCTTCTCCAACGCTGTGCTTTGCGTAAGTTTCAAGTGACAGATGGACAGGTCAACGCGTGTTCAGATTACGAGTGATCGAAGGTCCAAACGCCCGTGATCAAATTGCGTTATGTACATTCCCTTCATTCTTAATGGAAGCCGAACCGAATGCTGGCTACATACATACAACGCATGCGTAATAACAACCTGGAGATTACGATTGCGGGCTCCTCTTGTCGCTCGCAAAAAATTGTAAGAATACGAAATGATTTAAACAAATGGTGATATACTTTACATATAGAGGGGATGTGATCCAATTCGGTGATTGCAAAAACCCTGCTCGGGGTGTCGACTTAGTGTCCGTAGACTTCTAAATTCGGACTGGACTCGGTAATACAGGGGTGCGAGAGGAATTTTTTTTTGAAAGCATTAGCATTAAGTAAGAATTAAGGTTGATTTCCACTGACGCGTCTTTGGCTACTCAATCTGCTCGCATATTAGAACTTGGCAGCGAGCCAAATGTAGTGACTCAAGATATTTCTGAAGTTCTTAGCCTCAGATGTAGTCAGTACTACTTTGCTTTCACATTGAACAATACAGTCGACTAGTAGCCTGTAGAAGTAATAACAGTACTTTCTAGTTGAGACTGTAGTTTTTGGCTGGTAGTTGAGTGTTTGGCCTCTCTTCAGTAAAGCTGAAAAATATGTAACAGAGTCTTGCCGTTACCTCTGCTAGTTGCAAGCGAGTGTACACAAGCATTCGATATCGCGACAAATGGAGCTGCACACACAATTTTCCTTTCTTTTATCCTCAGCTGTGAAGCCCGTACCTAAAGACAAAGGTGTTTTAAAAGTTCTTGGTAAGCGTTTTAGATTTTTACTTGTACTGTAAGTATGTTGTAAAATCCAGTGCAGGAATAATAGACAAAAGAAGGAGTTTGGTACAAACCGGAGCGAGCAATTCGTATGAATCCGTTTCACGGCGTTAATTTATTTTTTAGGCTGATTTTGACGAGTATCTAGGCCATCGCATGATTTCCTCAAACTACCTAGTAAAAGGCACAGACCAGAAAACGGTAGTTCCTTGCCATTTTCATAATATACACTTCGATGTGTTCCCTTATGCGGAGCGGAAGTTCCCTTTTCGAGGAAGCAAGTACTCTAAAATGTCTCAGTTGACTGGTTTGTGAAAACGCCGTGGCATAGGCCTAGTATGGAAGTCAAAGAGTCTCCAGTAAAATAAGATTATCGAGAAGACCCGGCATTCTGTGACATTACAGCTTTAAAGGTAAAAAGTCTTTTGATTTCAGACGAGGCAAAGAGGGCTAATTAACATGAATGTAAAAGAAAATTAATATTGCTACCATTTGGAATATGCAAGGTGTATCCTGGTGCCTTCTGGTCTTTTAACGCCTTTGGCCTTGCCACATATGGGAACGCTGGCCCTTATTCTTGATAACTCAGTTTACTCGCTTTGAAATTTAATTATTGCACTCTATTTATCCACTTTGTATCCTCCGCTCTAGAGTACATGAAGGAAAACAAAGACAGCGTTGCTTGTCAGGTAAAAATCTATTTTGCTTTAAGTGACTAATTTTCCCTTGGTATTGTAGTACTGTAAATTGAGAAGGTATGATGAATACGTCTTGATCAAATCCAACTTAACTTTGTTCGTCAGGTTCAAGCACTTAAGTACCTTGAACAGCTCACCAGAAAGCAAGGTAAATATTTTGTTATGATAGCTTCATTCTACTTTTTTTTAAAGAAACGTCGGAGCTATTAAAAAACAGTTTTGATGAGTAGTAATTAAGTCGTCTTTCTTGGCTTACTTTTTGATTTTCTTCAAACTCAGTCAAGGTTTTACTTATGAAAGAAGGGAATCGTAAAAGAGAGGAATAAAAATACTTACTGAAACAAAGGATAAAAATAATGTGGCGAAGAGCGATCCATTGATTCTGACCACCAATTTTTGTTGGCCCCCTGACTACACCGTAGTACGTAGTTGTTATGCAAGAATAGGGAGCTTAAGCAGCGACGTTTTTGAGCGACGCACGTCAACCGGAAGTGAGGTATTTTCCCTCTTAACATGCCTTGATGATATAAAATTTGTATTCCTTAGCTTTTTTACTGTTATAGCGGCGATTTGACTGAAAATTTGCGCGAAACCACCGTCAAAAAATGAAAAAAGGCCACTTCCGGTTGACGTGCGTCGCTCAAAAACGTTGTTGCTTAAGCTCCCTAATGTAAACTATCAGTACATCCCGGTTGATTCTTTTGATCCGCTTTTTATTAACAAAATGTCAACTGACTGTTTGTTTTATTTTGTTTTAGATGTGACATTAAGAAAAAAAGACAAACTACAGATTGCAGAGATGATGAAGAAGGAGAACAAAAAGCCGGAGCCTTCTAAAGATGTTCATTTTCAAGCTCTCAAGATATTCATTAATCTTTTCCCTAAAGGTACAGTGTAAAACTGTTTCAGATATTTGGTAAATAGTTTTTAAATGTCCTATTTTATATATTTTATATTGTTGAAAGCTTACGTCTGTTTTTTCTTTAGAAGGCTCCGCCATATGTAGGTTTAGTTTGTTGTTGGTTCTCTCCTTTGCTCCAAGAGGTTTTTCTCCGGTTACTCCGGTTTTCTCCTCTCCTCAAAAACCAACATTTCCAAATTCCAATTCGACCAGGAATCAGATAGACCAAGAACCACTTTGTGGATGCGCTACCTCTAAATCATTATTTATTTATTTATTAGGGAAACATCATAGGGACAACCTCTAGTTTTCCTTTTCAAGATGTGTTTATAATTTTCATTTTCCTCATCTTGAATAAATACGTCATGTTATGTTATGTTATGTTATGTTATGTTAAGGGTATGAAGCATTTAGAATGTGTCTGAATGACAGTTTAGAGGGTTTTGCAAGGAAGAGTTTCCCTAGTAGATTTTATTATTATTACTATTATTTTTATTATTTAGTCTGGTATTGCTTATAGTTATGCTTAATTAATTTTCCTTTTTATGCGCTTTAAGCAAGCACGTCAGTTTTTGGAATTTATTAATTTATTAAGTCACAATTTGTGAACAAGAAAACATACACCAACATAAACTGCGTTCTTTTTATCTTTGATGTTTGCCGGCTTTCATAACCAGTCTTCTCTACTAACTATGGTAAGAGAGCAATATTGGGGCACAAGAAATTTCGTTTCAAAGAGATTCACTTAATTACGGTTCTCTTATCTAACATCACTGGTAATCATATCAGACAATATAAGCTGGAGCTGGAGCTGGAGCTATAAGCATTTACGATGCTTTTGATGTTTCTTGTTTAACTTGTTTTTCTACTTTGTTCCCTCCCCCTTAGCTGATGACAACGATGTCATGTTTACAGAGGAGATAATCCGCGAAGTTCTAGCTGCCATGAAAGTATGTATACAACGTTTTCGGCAGGGTTCTTTAGACGTTTTTTGAAAACAGAACTAATGTTACCCGCACTTCCATATGTTTATTTAAGTTGACAGTTAGTGGGCTCGTCTTAAAGACCTGCATCTTGCTTAAATGGACGCCAGCTACCGTTCTTTGCTCACTTTCTTTTACTATGAACTGTATAAGTTAGACACCTCTTTTTTATTCTGTAAATCTCGGATTGAATAATGGAGTCATGTAACGAACAGGAACCTTAGTGCGCTGGTCCAAAATGTGTTCATCTTAGAATGAGATGGTTGTATTAAATGACACTCTCTTCTGTTCCTCAACAGTCACATGCAGCCTCTTCAGAACTACAGGCCTGTGGTTGTCAGTTATTAATGGCATTGTCAGCTGATGGTGAGTATGCTGGCGCTGATCGTAAATTTTCAAGTTAGAATAGACTGCAAAACCCGGGGGGGCTTCCATATGAAAGGGGCGGGGATGCTAGTGTTGATATATTTGAAAATGGTATCCTAGGCCTGGTTCCTCGAAAGATGGTTAAGTTTAACCCAGGATTAAGCCAAGTTTTAAGCAAGGTTTTCTTGTCCTAGAGCATGCAACTCGAGCTTACAAAATACTGTTGTAACTTTACTCCGAAAAAAAGAAATGATAACACAAAATGTTACTCTAAGCAATGCATAGGAAGGTAAATACAGAAAGTGGAACTAAATTTTAATCCTGGATTAGCGCTATTCGGCCTTTCAGGAACCGGACACCGAAACGTTCGATGTTATCGTATTACTTGCTCTCGTTGGCAATCTTAGGCATTTAATTTAACTTGTATTAAAATTGTAGCACCACTGACTGATTCTTCGTTACTTTAGAGGCCGCTGGGGACATAATCGGTCGCTTTGGTGGAGTTCAAGACTTGTTAGCAGCGTTACGAGCGTTTCCAGATAACAAAGTCATTGCATCGCATTGCTGCGGTGCGTTGTGGAGTCTGGCTGTTTCTGGTATGTCTCCTTTAGAAACGTTGAGGTCCTTACGATAATAAAAGTAGCCACAACGGCGACGGCCGCAAAAATCTCAACAAAAAGATAAAATTGCCTTCTTTCAACCTTAATCGCGTTTATTTAGCCTTGGTCAGTTCTTCAAATGTTCGAGAATTTTTCTGGAGTTGAATTCAGAGTCTTAAGAACTGTATCTAAGTCAAAAAAGATAAACGTAAATTTGTCTCGGTGTCTTCACGCTCTCCATTAAAGGTCGAATTAAGAAGTTAAACGTCTTAGTCGTACAGTGAACGTCAAAGAGATGAGCAGTCAAACCCGGCGTTAATACAGCCACAAGTGGGGAGCATAGAGTGTCCGTATTAAAAGTGGTTCTTGTTATCCAAGTCAAAAGGCACCTTCTATTGGAACAAAATGCAAAAGAAATTTTTACATCCTCTTATCAAGCTTCCAATTATTGAAAGAGCAAAATAATAACAATAATAACTTTATCCCGATATTCTCTGTTCCAAAAAACCTTCAAGAGGGTTCACAATAGGGTTCTTCAATCCCTAAATCCCAACCTAAAATTTCGTGCAATCCCGTAATCCCGAGGATTATGTTTGGCATCCCACCTCTCAAGCATGCTTTCAATCCCGAATCTTGCTCCAATTTTGCTTTCAAATCCCGCATCCCGAGCTTTAAATCAGTGAAGGAAATCCCGGTTACCGAAAAAAACCTATTGGGCACCCTCCTTGAAGTATGGTTCATCCCGCCGCAGTTCTGCACTGATTTTGACGGCTGAACTGATTCCCTTGTCTAGAGGCAAACTGTAAGATTGTGACAGAAGAGCGTGGGCTGGAAGATATCTGTCTTGCTATGGGAAGACACAACTCTGATGTGGAGCTGGTGGAGGGAGCCTGTTCCGCCCTGTGGTCTCTTTCTATGGAAGGTAAGACGGTCTAACTTAACCTGAAGTTAATTATTCACAAATACCGGCAGGACGGTGGTGAAATTTGAAAGTTTAGCAGCAACAATAACGTTTTTTGTGCCCAGAGTTGTCAATAACTTGATATAATACTCAAATTAAAAATACTTAGAGTAGCTGGTCTGTCAAAGTAACTGTAAAGCTAAACTAGATGGGTGACCACAAGTGACTAAATGCTGTTTGAAAACCACGAACATAAATGCACTTCTTACTTCTTTCCCGCTGTGAGACTGCTAAACGTAACTTAACTTTTTAATTTACACACTTGGATTAATGGTAGATTTTACAGAACAAACACATTGATAATATACACTCAAGGCTGCTGCCTAAGAAAATTTTTTGGGAACCCTTCGGGCTCCTAAAATAAAAAGCTAAGAGCCCGAGCCACATTCCTAGGAGCCAATTAATCGAAAATCTTGCTACATGTATAAAATAACGTAGTAAATTACAGAAAGGAAATGGCAAAATGAATCAATTATTATTAGAAGTTGGTAGAAATTAATAGAATATGAATTACGTGGATAGAATCTTAAATCTGTTATCGCAACACCAAAAAAGCGACACATTGTTGGTATCTGCGTTTGACATCGAAGAACCGCTTACCGCGTTTTGTTGTGTCGCTGAAATTCGTGTTTGAGACCGACCCTGTAGAAATGCGTGTCCAGTGCTTTTACTCAGTGATCATGGCGAACTAGAAACTGGACTCAACTAGTTTACTCATATCCTGGTCTCTTCTTTTCAGAGGACAATCTGGAACCGATGGAGGATCTCAATGTTATAGATCTACTCGTCGATGCCATCAAAATGCACAAAAAGGTCAGTAAACACAGCTAAAATTTACTGTGCCAAATAGTTATGCTTGTGTATTTTACATTGCTTTTAAAATATTCCTTTAAGGGCTTTGACGGTGCCAAATGCCCCAGTGACGTCCCTTGTCGGTAGACAGGGTTGTTTGATCTTTTGGTTTTATTCCAGATTTCAACTTCTGGGTCTCTTGGTCACTGGATCCCCAGAATATTCGGGACCAGCTTGAAGGTGGTCCACTTTGACCGGTCTCGTCATTTCGGTCGGTCGGACCGAAATGTCCCTTCCCATTTGACAAAATTGTTGTCCCTAGTACCGCTCTTTTGCATCCTGCTTACAAGAACAATAACCAAACGCGCGGTAGCTTGGGACGGGTCTGTGCAACCGGAATGTACCGTTCCATTGGGCTTTGGCAGGTGGAATTGCCGAAATTTCAAACCGGAATTTTTGTTGGATGAAAAGGGCCCTAGGTCTCCGAATCTCTTGTTCTCTGGATTTGTAAGTTTTCGGGTTTCTGGGTTTTGGGTGGAGAAAGCTATTGTCTACTAAAGCGTTATTTTCTATGCTTTAATAGGAGGCAAAGGTCATAAAGAATGCTTGCATGGCCTTGGCAAGTATTGTAGAGGCTCGAGGTGAGGATTAAGTAATTATTATCATAGGAAGAGTTTTAGACCCTGTCCTCTAAATTACTGACCGCAGCTCGAAATTCTTGTTACTTTAAAAGTTCCTTTGAGATAATGCTTTGCTTTGTTTACAAATTTCCTTTTACTTCTTCAGAGGTGTGCGCCTACCAGCTACTCAAGGCCGAGGGAGTAGAGAGCATCATCACTGCCTACAAGTAAGTCAGTGCTCTCTGTCTGTTAAGTTGTTTTATGCCTATATAGTGCATCCTTCAATAAAGGACTTTATGCAGCTATCTTCGTTGCAGCGTGGTCTTTTCCGAAATAGGATTACTCGTAACCTGCGAAAACAGCCGTCTCTCCTCAGTCGCTCGTCGCTGCCATGGACGTTTCGCCAGCGTTTCGTCCCTAGCGGTGAGGAACCTGCCTCGTACCCAGACGCCTCTTTCTCGATGAAAATGTGCGCGCAAAGGAAGGCGGGAAGGAGACAACAGGCTTCGCCTGCTGTCTGTATCCTTCCCATGGTCCCTTGCGGTTCATCACCAGTCACTCGCGTTTTGCGCTCGCCTCTACCACAAGAAAAACGAAGCGCCTGAGGAGGAGGCTGGGAAGGAACGATGAGAGACGGTTGTTTTGCAAGCTAAGCGTTGCTAGTGATGAGGAGCGAGGAGAGAGGGCTCTTTTCGCAGGTTAGATAACGCGCTAAAACTCGCCAATTCCAAGCTACAGACGAGCTTCGTGACAGCAGCGAAATTCATGCTTTTGTTCACGGGAATGCCGTAGCTTCAGAAAACGCAATTATTTCCAATTTTTGCGTCCTAAATATCTATCTAACCGCCTCACTTCTTTCTTATTGTTTAATAAGTACCGGTAACATCAAAGAAAACGACGAAGTTGTTGAAAACATTTGCATCCTCTTCTCTGAGCTTGTAGACTACGGTAAGTTAATATACGTGTGTGCTGTGTTTTTAATTTCCATGTAAATTAAATTGGGGAAAGGTTTGTTGCCTCAATTGACATCGCAAGATACAGACTGTCTTCATTTCCCGGCAGTGAGGAACACATTTTGCACTGTTGACGTTTTGAAAGTTGGAAAGTTTAAATCCTCATAAATTATTGTCTCAAATTTTGTTTTAGCTATGACTGATTGGATAACAGTACTTCGTGTCGTCCAGTTTTATCTGCAGTCATAAACGCGATTAAACAAATGGGATTCCCCCGATTTTGTTTAACTACTCCTATAATAATTACAGACAGAACTGTTCTCCACTCAGTCAGTAGATTACCTTTATTTATCACTCACAGCACAAGTACTAATACTTTTTGTTTCCTTTTACTAGAGGACATCAAAGAGGAAATGAAACTTAACAAAAACATCACTAGCTTGCTCTCGGAAGCCAAGACAAAGTTCTCGGATGATGAGCACGAGGTAAAACTGTACTTTCCTGAGTGTTTTCCTTGTCTTTTGTCGTTCATTACTTTTGTAAGTTCTCAAACCAAGAATAGAGACTTAAGATTAAAGGACAAGAACGAGGTTTGACTTAAAATGTTTTTTCGCTTATTCTCAAAAAGTAAACGCTATGTTTTACCAGAAAAGCTGGCACGATTATTTTTATTGAAGGAGGTTAAGTCCTCTTCCGATAGCAAAATGATAAAACTTCTGTTCCGTCACTACGACGTTTTCGCTAAAACGGCCGCTAAAACTCGTATAAAGCAAATGGCGACGGCTATCGCGTTTTCCCGCCAAAATGACGCTGCGGGTTCAAGTGCGCGCACTACTTAAGGTCTCTAATTACTTTCGTGCCAAGATATGTTGTCGACGTAGATCCGGCTTCGTCAACAAGAGATCTGGGTACGAGAGTAGGTCTCTAATAAGGGCCCTCTTGCTTCAACGACAACAAATTATGTACAATGAGAACCAATCAATAGAAAACTTGTCATTGATAACTCCGCAGGACTTACTTATGGCGGCAGAACGCGGTTTGAACTTGCTGGAAGGCGGTCAGCAGACAGGACGAAGGAACAGCTCCGCGCGATCCAGACCAAGGAGTGTTGCGGGAAAGAGATAATAGTTACCATGGATACCATTATTCTCACATTATTCAGGAATGACTATACTGCTCTGTATTTGAACATAAAGCGGCCATGTCACGCTATTTGTTATCTTTTTAAGAAGCGAAAACTTGTCTTCGCATCAATTGAATTTCAGAAATGATGGTCAAGGTTTTGTTATTTAAGACCGCAGGGAGTTTTGGCATTGACGACGGCGACGGCAGCGAATACGTCCCTTTTAAAATGAATAAGAGTTTTTTCAAACTTTGTCGCGTTCATTCCAATTCGCTGAAAATGTCTAATGTAGGCAAATTTCCCTGGCCTTGATTTCTTGGGGACCGCACTCAAGTTTAGAAAGGGAAAGAAAATTTCGTCGTCGCTTGTTTACGTCCTCCGGCCATAAAACGTGAAATTAGGCATTTTCACGTCGTAGTCTTGCAGTATTGGCAAAGAAATATACAAAAAGCGTGATGCACGTGCAAACTTGTTGTTTTGCTTAATAATCCAAGCACTGTTATGACGTTCTCGTTGCCGTCGCCGCCGTAGTTGTTAAAACTCCCTAATATTTGGGCATTCTAACTGTTTTCTGTCGTCTGTTTCAAAAGATGACAAGGATGGACATGGGTTGAAACTAATTAGTGCGCCCTGATGAAATTTATTTGATACAGTCGACTCCCGGTAACTCGAACCCTCTATAACTTGAACCTCCCGCTAACTCGAAGCAATTTTCTTTTCCCTTCAGATCGTTGTCTATATAATTTTACCCTCCATAACTCGAACTCCCGATGACTCGAACTTTTTTCTATTTCCCTCGAAGGTTCGAATTATTGGGAGTTGACAGTATCTTCTTCATGTCTCTAACGAAGCATTTTGTACATGGGTACTGACAGGGCTGTCATTAGGGGCGCGCAGACGAAATTAAACGTTTTTTAACTCGTCTGCGTCAACCGGAAATCCTTTTTCTGGACTTTTTGACGGTGGTTTCAGATTTTTCACAAATCGCCTCTATAACCAGTAAAAAAGCTAAGGTTTTGTTTGTTTATATCTCAAATCATGTTGAAGAGGAAAAACGCCTCCGGTAATTCGTTGAGTCCGGTTGAACGTCTCCGCGTCGCTTCAAAATCAGAGTTTAGTTATCGGCTGCACGCAGGCTAGTACTGACAGGGCTGTCATTAAGAGCCGGGCGCGGGGGATTTTCCCCGGCTACTATGAATGTGGCCCCCGGCTACTTTCATTAGAAAATAGAAGAAAAATAGAACCAAAAGAAATCCTAGGTGTTTGGATCACCGTTGTATTGACCCGGCAACTTAAAATCTTAGTTACAACCCTGGGTTCAGCCACTAAGAAATTACTTCAACACAGAATTGACCTCAAACAGCAATATACTCGTGACATTGCCCCTTTAACCGCTTAATGCTGTAAATATAGCTACACTCGAGCTTATTTTAATGGAATCGTAGATATATTTCACTTTTCGCATTGTTTTCCTGTCGTACGTGACCATATAACATCAGGGAGCTTAAGCAGCAGCGTTTTTGAGCGACGCACGTCAACCGGAAGTGGCCTTTTTTCATTTTTTGACGGTGGTTTCGCGCAAATTTTCAGTCAAATCGCCTCTATAACAGTAAAGAAGCTAAGGAATACAAATTTTATATCTCAAGGCATGTTAAGAGGGAAAATACCTCACTTCCGGTTGACGTGCGTCGCTCAAAAACGTCGCTGCTTAAGCTCCCTAATAGAGAGCGTAAGCAACGACGACGGCGACGGCAACGAGAAGGACAGAAAACCAATCGGTTTAGATTAGCAAAACAACAACTTTGCACGTGCATCACGCTTTTTAGTACATTTCTTTACCGTCGCTGCACGACTACATCGTGAAACTTCCTAATTTCACGTTTTGTCGAGGACGTGAACACAACGCCAACGATTTTCTTTTCCTTTTGCCCAACTTTGATACAGTCTTTCAGAATTCAACTTCAGAAAAAAATGCCAACATTTAACGAATTGAACGAGTTTGAATAAGCGCGGTAAAGTTTGAATCAGCGCAAATTCACTTTTAAGTGACGTTTTTGTAGCTGTCGCCGTCGTTGTTGCTTAAGCTCCCTATTATCATGATGTAAAATGATTATTATCGGTGGCAACTGGTCATGAAAATTTTCCTTGAATAGTTCTGCGCATGTAATATATTAATTGAAGGATAAAAGACATCTTCCAAGATTGCTGGCCGGGATATTTAGCCTGAGAATCATTAGAAGCAATTTGCGCCCTGCTTTTACCACTCGACGTTTATTAAAGTAGAATTAAATTATCACAAAGGGCCGTAATTCCGTTGAGATTGATTGATTATTGTAACGTGCGGCCTTCTTAGTTTTAAGTGTAAGTGTGATCTGGGGATGCCCGCCTGATCTGCCCAGGCCGGGTACAACCCAACCCCCGTTTTCGTTACGTCTTCTTAACTTTGTTTTAACAAAAGAGGTGTTTATGATTAAAATCATAAACACTTGTCATCGAAACACTGTAAATGATTAGACTATACATATATTTTGGGTGTAGTATAATTTTTATATGAAAGCATGAAACATATCAATAAATTCAAATGTTTTTAATCGATTTTGATATTGTTCGTTTATTTTACTTTGAGAAACAATAATAAAAATAATGAACAATTCTTGAAAAAGAAAACACTGAACAGAATCTGCCGGGACCAGGAGGCCAAGATAACAATAAACGCAGGGGCATTTGACACTGATGCGGTACCGTATATCATGTAGAGGAAAGAGTACTTCAGGACGATTTTGATGACAAGAGTATGTTGGAAAGTTTATGAATGGTGCGCGCGATGAAATATTTGCAAATTGTAAACAATATTTGACAGTAGTTTCGGAGGTTTCGTTTCCGTCGCTTCGGTGGTTTGGCTTGTTACAGATGTTTTGTTGAAATGATAAACTAGCCTACAGTACAGGCTTATTTTGGGCGGGCGAAAGCTGCTTGTTTATGTTCGTACTGTTGTAACGGCCATCTTATGACGGAGGAAGATTAGGGAGAGTAAAAATAGTAACCCTAAGGGTAAGGAAGGGTAGGTGCTAGGGCAAAAGAAGGAAAGAAGGGAGGGGGAGGGGAGAAAAAAAATCTTCTCTCTCCCCGCCCTCCTCCCCCGCTCGATCCTTTTGACTCGCCCGATTTTCTCCATTCTTTTCGAGTTTCAACATGGCACTTTCGCGACCAAAACATTCGCGCGCCCGAAGAAAACGCCCGCACTGCAGGCTAATGATAAACTAATGGCTAAACAGTCGAACCTCTATGACATCAAAATCCAAAAACATCAAAATTTTGCCAGTCAAAGCCTTACAGTTGGAACCTCTACCACCCCCTGTAAGCGACCGTGACCAGTTTTTGGGCCTGATGGTTAATGATTTTCCACTGTTTTTAACCTCTTGTAAGCGACCACTAGACGCATTCTCTGACCTCTATGTTCGCTGTGTACACTATGCTACTTAGAATATACGAAGAAATTTAGTGACAACATGGAACTAAACATGTAACTTAGACATTGCGTGCAATAAATTATCTTCCACAAAGTAGATGTCCCTGGACCTCTCCTCGGAAGAGACCCCCTCTGGTTCGATTCTTGTAAGCGACCACCTCCCGTAAGCGACCACTCAGCCTTTGCATTTTCGGTGGTCGCTTACGGGAGGTTCGACTGTATGTCCGTAGGTGTTTGTTTCTGCTATTGACTGAAGCTACTGTAGGTCTCTAGTTTTGCCCCGGCACGAAAACAATATCGGATTAAACTGCAGCTCACACATGAGGACGGTGATGCGCCGCGCTGATTTTGAAAGTGGATCCTACGGGATTCAAAGCCTTGACCCCTGCGAGCGCATAGGAGCGCTGCACTGGTATTGAGGGTCTTAGTCCAGTACAAGCACAAGCCAGCCTGAACTTTAAAGGCTTTCTTTTCGAAACTGTTAAAGTTGCTTTTTATAACTGCGAGGACCTTCCTTAAGCTTTATTTGTATAAAGAGCATTATTCTCACTGAACGACAATACATACACAATTAACGTCATTGACGGGCCACTTTTTAGGCATGTGACAACTTATAAAACAGGTCAAAGAGCGATTTTGAGAGCAAGACTTGGTCATGATACAGATATACAATAAAGCGATTTACAGCAATTAAAATACTTATGAGGGTACTAAGGGGGTCACACGATAATATCAGCAAGCCGATGTCAGCTGTTTCTTCGATGAAGCCGTTTAGTGGTAAACAGTAGATTTGCAGACAATTCAACACAGGCAATAGCTTGCTTTCTAAAAACATAGAGGAAAAACACAAATCTTTCGACAGTGGTAAGAATAGGGTCCGTAAATAGATAAGGTAAACATAAGAAAAGCTAAAATGAAGATTGGCTACTGATAAGTAAGTCAAACACTAACTTCAAAATTTAAGGCCTATGCATAAAAGGAAAGTTGAACTAAAGAACAATGACATATTTTCTTATCACAACCAGATGTTATTTTCCCCTGGAAACACTGACCTTATGAGGCATACTGAATTTGTGTTACTGTGATTAAACATAAACATTAATCAAGAAACACACAGGCTTTCAGTCCTATTTCAAAGGTACGATGTTAATGTGTTTGTCAAAACAAGTACATTAATTAGCGACAGTATAATGTTTAAAGCAAGGAACCTTTCAAAATTGAATCATTCTATTTTTTCTTGGTCTTCATTGATGTAACAGGAAAAACCTCACCCTCCGTTTTTTTTCTTCAAGAGGGTTTTGCAAAGGGATTGTAGCAGGTAGCTATGGATTTTATTTTCCATAAATTTTCTCTTTGTTGTTCCATTTTCAAATCTACTAGATGGACGTTTACTCATCCACTGCTTCAACATTTGTGCTAGAACCCTATACTCGGAGCAAAGAAAAATAAGAAAACTAGCAGTAAAAGTTAAGCTAGCAAGATAACAACAATTAACGCTGAAAGTAAGCAGGACTATCAATTTTCAGAAACTGTACTTTCTTCAACTGAGTTTCTTCGATTGACCAACTGAACATTCGTTTCCTCTTGATACAGTAAGCTTCTTTATGTTTGATTTCTTGCCTAAACAGATATGGCGTTTTCGCTGCAAATGCTAATCTTCGTCAAACTACTTACAACGGTTACGAGCGATGGTGAGTTCGTGGGAGGAGTAACAACTGCATTTGCGAACGCTGACGAGAAACTAACGGCAGAACTGGAGGCCTTTCGTCAGATTGTGGGGGCTTTGTCTCGACAAGTCATGCTGCAGCAGATGTTTGTTGAAGAACGCATCAGATCTGATGGTGATTCTGGTGTAAAGCAAGTGCGCCTCAGTAACAGTGGAACACGCAACTACTTTTCAGATACCCATGGCAACTCTGGAAGACTTATGTCTATTCATGAACATGCAAACAATATCCGCACGGTGGGCCTGGGAGAATTCGTTGGCGTCCTTAATGGAGTAGAATTTAGGACCAGGCACAACGACTACCGACTCTACATGGCAAACAAAACCAGCAAAGAATACCATGCAACGGAGCCGATTCCATTTCCAGAAGTGCCACCAGAGGTGAAAAATAAAGCTACCGTGGACGAACAAATCGTGGAGATGCGCGAGTGGTTCAAGGCGTGGAAGTTACAAAATCACACTATTAGAGATTACAGGAAGTATTTCAAGCCTGTACTCTGCTTTCTAGAAGGCGCGTGGACCACAGCAACAAAAGACATCGATGAACCGTTTGAAAGTGACAGACATTTTATTGACGCCCAAACGTGGTTCGACTTACAGGAAAAAGTCCGCTTTACTTCTTACACTGGCAGAAAAGACAATCTTGAAAACTTTTCCTTCCTTCCAACCACCATTATCGACATTATCAACGAAACGATCCCTGTCTTTGCTCAATGGAATTACCGCATTTTGTGTCACCCAGTGAGTCGCGATATCCCCTTGAACAGGTTTCGTGTGGTTGACGATTTCCATGCCAGGCTTCCTGCGCGAAGAAAATACGACGAACAAAAAAAATTCCGTGCAGCAAGATTCCAAATCAACCCTCGAGACTCGGACACGTGGACCGAAAGATACAACAATCCGAGGTATACAGTGCTTGATGAGCTTATGAGTGAAATTCCTGGAAAAGACAACTATCAAGCTAATCTAACAGATGAGGCATTTGACCTGCCAGCTCACACCATTGACCCAAAGAAGAGCGGAAAAATAAATGCCGGTTACTACCATCGCTGGTTTAAAGTCCTGGAGAAAGACGCAATGGGCCAATCCTTTAGGCGTCGCGGCTATGCCGATGAAAACCTGTTCATGGCCATGACTACCCAACCTAAAGTGGCCGGTATGACGCTCAAGACCTGCAAGGGGCCCAAAAAGAGGCCGAGATGTAAGACGGTCAACCAAAAGTTTTCGTACGCCATTCCACTTGAAATAATCTACATGACACCACTGAACAGATGGAACCCATTTAATCTTGAATATAAAGGTGACGAGAGGACGCCGTACGGAAAGACCGTGTGGCTTGGTGGTCGCTATGGAGGAAGAACTCCAGACAAGGCTTACAATGGCACCAATAGTAAGAAGTACTATCTAACTCCATCGGCCTTCTTTTCAGGAAAGGAAGTTAGCAGCGACGCTGCAGACACCACAAAGAATAGCGTTGGAGTTTTGGATCGGAATGGAATTGACGTTAGGATCACTCGAGCCAGCGGAACACGAATCTTTCTTCCACTCATTAATGGCGTAGGGATCTGTCGACAGCGATATCCCATAATGCCAGTTCATGGAGAGGGAAGCGCTGTTTGGAAGGAACTTGAGGCAACTAAGGATATCCTGATGAAGTCCAACACCTATAACTACATCTACAGGGAACCACTTGCAGGAAACACTGGTGTTTCCCCAACGGAACCTGCGAAGAGATCCTTGACTTTGAGGATGATCTCGGCGCAGAAAACACCCCCAGGACCGCATATTCATGAGGTCACTTTGACACCAGACCAGGTGGAGCTTGCTATGAAAGGAAAAGCTATCAAGAATCTTATCACCACAACTGGAGCTGGTCACCAACATAAAATTAACATTCAAAGAAGAAACAACAAATGGTTTGTAAATTACTGTGCTGGTGGGTGTGACCAAGGCATGTTTCGATGCTGTGACAAACATGGCATGAACTTAAATGTGGACCCTAATGCTTAGAATCCACTTGTATTGTTGACTGGATACATTAACGATATGACAATGATATTTCTCGGTAAAATACAACAAGGTGCCTAAAATAAAATGCAAAGTGTATCTTAATCTGTGGTTAAATAAAATGGGGAATAAACAATTTAAATGCGTTAACTTAGTTGATGTAACATTTCGTGGAAAAATAGCATAATTTTGTCATAATTTTACAATTTGAAAGCAACTCAACATTCCAGTAGCAAGGAACCAATATGAAAACGCAGGTCTCGGCATTTTGCGGGAACGTCCAGAAAACTAACCAATCAACTCATAATCCAGCGCTCTGACTGTGTGTGTTCTGCCTTGCATGCACGTCCTTCCGCAAAGTTTTCCTTTTTGGTGCGGATCTTAACTGTTACGTAGGGGCCGCCGTCCTTCACTCCGTCCAACATTCCTTCCTCTTCCCCTCCATTCCCCCCTCAATAACCAGCAGCTGGAGAAGATCTCCATGGAATCGTAGGATATGATCAAGCCAGATTCTCTGTCTTTATTTATTGATAACAGATATGCTTGTAACGCCTTTAAAACCTTCGCTTCAGTTTAAAAGCTGGTTAAGATATAGTCAATAGTAAGCAAGCATACGTTTCTGGTCAGTGACCAGCTTCGCAACTCTAACTTTCCAAGTTAACAAATTCGACCAGTTTCACCTTTTCTTTTTCGATGATATTTTTTTTGGCAAACCCCCGTGAGAGCCTTTTCCTTTTGATTTTTCCAATCATTTTTACTTTATACATGACTAGCCTGTTCCAGGCTCCGAGATGGTGGAGAAAAGTCGTTCAGTAAAAAGAAAATGCGAAAAACGCCATTTTTCCGCCGCCACCGCCCCCTTTCCCAAGTCGCGCGCGTGTTATTTTCGCTTTGCTCGTTTTAATACGTTCCCTATATACTATCTGAAAGCCTGGCACAGGCTAATAAATGACCAGCTCGGTGTCCCATCTTTGCTCTACCTAAGAAATCCACTAATAAAGGTTAACACCCTTAGTATGTGATCACTTTGAACTATAAAATGCGCGGCAGGCACCTTTGACAAACATTCCGACATCAAGCTCCGAACGATCATGAGATGTAGGCCCTGTCCTGTTGTTTGTATTCTTGTAACGCTACTATTTTCTACCCTTCTTCATGTTGTAACTAGACTGTGAGCAGTCTCTTCTCTTCAGAGTTTACAATGAGGAAACTGCACGCGCGAAGAAAATAGAGCGTGATTTCTTTCATCCAGGAAAAAACGTTCGACGTACGAGGTTACGGTTATTTACCTGATGCTCTCCCCTCCGCTGAGGCCTCTCTGTCTCGTAAGGAGGCTGGGGAGAGGAAAAAATTAAAGCGCACGGTGGACGATGGGAAGGGGAAAGAGAGGAAGCGAGGCTCTTCCCACGTCCCATCGTCCCCCGCGCGCTTTGCATTTTTTTTTATTATTGCTATTTTTTTGGGATACCCAGCAGGAGCCTCTGAGGAGAATAGAGTATCTGCTGACACAACTATTAACGCTTAACCTTCATGTCAAATAGCACGCTGATGAGTAGCGTCGAAGAAAATGAAGCGTGACTTCTTGCGTCGAGAAATTAACAGGTCACGCTTATGTAGCGAAGCCGATAGCCACAATTACCTCTTTTTTCGAAAAATTCCTTTTAACTAGGAAAAATAAATTGATTTAATGACAAGCAACGACTAGAGAACTATACACCATATACCAGAACTATACACTTTCCTTCTTTACGAACTGAATCATATTGTATTTTGCATTCTGGCCTTCAGAATTTTCGCTTTTCTTACTTGCGGATATTACGAACACGACATGACTACATAGCGCTTCGTTTTCTAAAGAAACTGTTAACACAATTAACACAATAATGTAACTTCGACTGGAAAAATTCGAATAAAGATCCGGCTTCAAGACCCAATTTAAAGATCCTCGACGTTTTCGGGAGGACTAATGACTAGTAAGCCCAGCAAAAGCGTTTAAGGGAAACAGAAGAAGAGTAAGAGTTTGCCCTATGTAAGGGAATTCAAATTACGGAATCTGTGAGATTTTCGCTTGTGGGATTCGGAATCCAGCAAAGTTTTGCTGTGGAATCAGGTTTTCTGGGCTTTGGAATCCGGTGTACAGCTCAAGGAATCCGGAATCCCACTAACGATTGGAATCCGGAATCCAAGTTCCAATGACAAAGAATCCGGAATCCACGGCGTGGAACCGGAATCAAGAGACTGTCTTGGATTCCCCTCGCATTGGTCTACTTTATCTAGAGCAAAAGTCGCGAAGAATACTTTTCTAGTAGAAGATACCACTCTTCATTTCTCTCCTCCGCAGAGGCTCCTGCTGGGTAACCCATTAAAAATGACAATAATCGAAAAAGTAGCAAGCGCATCGTGGTCGGCGCGCTTTCTTTTTTCTGTGTCCCCACCCTCGCTACGAAACAACGAGGCTTCTGAGGAGGAGAGAGATGTTTCAAGGGAGCTGACGTTAACCATCAACACGTTGAGTGAAATAGAAAACTAACCTCTTCAAAATGGAGGGATATAAGACACATGGCAATCCAAAAAACGCGTTGATAGAAAGATAAAAAACATTTAAGGCAAGTGCAACTGCGGGTTGTTGGAAAACTGTTCAGCTTGTGCTTTAATTTCATAAGAAATGCTAGAGGGATATATATGTCTTGAAGCTTCGATTTTATCGGTGGAAATAATTTCCCTGCTAAAGTTAAGTTACTCAGGGAGTGCTTTTTTTTAAATGGACCAAGCGGCCGTGAAACAGCTCTTTAAAACGTACGAGTTTCTAAGACTTTTCCACTGAAGAATAGCCTGATATGATGCACCAATCGTAAAGGACAACCATAGCGTTTGGAAAAACCTGGTGGGAATTTTATTCAATAGTAATGAATAACGGTAAAATCAGCATTAAAAATTGTCTGGTTATGTATTGTAAACCGCGCTTTTATCCACCAAAAATAACAAACCACCAAACCCCTAATATAAATCTAGACAGCATTGTATTTTAATGTCCTGGCCCCGGTTCCTGAAAGGCCGATTAGAGCTAATCCAGGATTAAAAACTTTGTTCTATTTTTGTATTTACCTTCCTATGCATTATCTAGAGTAAAATTCTATGCTATCATCACTGAATCTCGGAGTAAAGACACAAAAGTATTTTGTAAGCTCAAGTAACATGTTCTTAGACAAGAAAACCTTGCTTAAAATTTGGCTTAATCCTGGATTAAACTTAACCATCTTTTGAGGAACCGCACCCTGTTTTTTAATTGTTTCCCCAGTACAGCTAGTAAACAGCTCATTTCGTATCTTTCTTGTTAATGATACCTAATCTATTTTAGACCACAGCCCAAGCTTGATCAATTAAGTCTTCTTTCTCTGCGACTGAACGGGTTGCTAGACACCTTGAACTTTAGTCAGTAAAATGCCATGCCCGTCCTTGCATCGGTAATTAGCGGATTCACCAGGTTTGGGAGTGTATTTGCTACTGCATGTAGTGATCCGCCATTTCCCGCCTCTGTAAATCACGGTTATCATGTGCTGGTGACCAGATCCAGGTGTTGTCTGCAATGTAATAGCCTTTCCCCTCACTTGAGCCGCCTCTACCTCGTCTGGTGTCAGAGTGACCTCGTGATGGTGTGGGTCTATTCCTGCAACAGTTGAGTCTGTCGTCTTCAGTGTCAGGGGATTCTTGTCAGGTTCGCTACCTCCAGATCCCCCACTCAGTGGTTCTCGGTAGATGTAGCTGTAGGTTTTAGACTTCATCAGGATGTCTTTAGTCGCTTCAAGCTCTTTCCAGACAGCACTTCCTTCTCCGTGAACGGGCATTATTGGATATCGCTGACGCAATACCCCCACTCCACTAATGGGCGGCAGAAAGATACGTGTTCCACTGGCCCGAGTAATTCTTACATCAACTCCATTCCGATCCAAAACACCCACGCTATTTTGAGTTGTATCAGCAGCATCGGTTGCTACCTCTCCTCCAGAATAAAAAGCTGCTGGAGTTTGATAATACTTCTTACTGTTCGTGCCATTATATGCTTTCTCGGGGGTTTTTCCTCCATTGCGACCCTTCGCGTCAACTGTCTTTCCAAGCGGACGGTTAAAAGTTCCTTTAAATTCAAGGTCAAATGGATTCCACCTGTTAAGGGGAGTCATGTAGATTATCTCAAGCGGAATGGCGTACGTGACCTTCTGGTCGATAGTCTTGCAAACTTCCTTTCTCCTGACGCGCTTACATGTCTTCAGCTTCATTCCTGCCACTTTGGGTTGAGACGTCATAGCCAGGAACAAGTTTTCATCTGCAAAGCCTCGATGCCTGACGGACTGACCCATGGCGCCTAACTCCAGAACTTTGAACCAGCGATGATAGTACGCGGCGTTCAGTGTTCCAGTTTTCTTGGGCTGAATAGTGTGGGCTGCCAGGTCAAATGCCTCATCGGTTAGGTTCCCCCTACAGTTATCTTTTCCTGGAATCTCTCCCATTAACTCATCTAGCAGCGTAAACTTAGGATTATTGTACCTTTCAGTTGTCCACTTGGAATCTTTGGGGTTCAGCTGGAATCTTGCTGCTCTAGAATTTGCTTGCTCTTCGTACTTTCTCTAGTAAGGAAGCCTTGTATGAAACTCGTCTACCACGCGAAACCTGTTCAAAGGAACGTCACGACTTAATGGATGGCAAAGAATGCGATAATTCCATTGAGCGAAAGCAGGGATTGTTCCGTTGATTATGTCAATGATGGTAGTGGGCAGAAAAGAATAGTTCTCAAGATTGCTTTTCCTACCAGTGTAGGACGTAAAGCGAATTTTCTCTTGAAGGTCAAACCAGCTTTTTGCATCAATAAAATGTCTGTCACTTTCAAACGGTTCGTCGATGTCTTTTGTTGCTGTGGTCCATGCGCCCTCGAGATAGCATAGGACAGGCTTGAAATACTTTCGGTAATCTCTAACGGAGTAATCTTGAGATTTCCATGCCTTAAACCATTCGCGCATCTCGACAATCTGTTCGTCCACGGAAGCTTTACTTTTTACCTCTGGTGGAACTTGTGGGAAAGGAATGGGCTCCGTTGCATGGTAGTCTTTGCTGGTTTTGCTTGGCATGTAGAGTCGGTAGTCATTGTGCCTGGTCCTGAATTCTACTCCATTAAGGACGCCAATGAATTCACCCAGACCGACCGTGCGGATGTTGTTGGCATGTTCGTGGATGGCCATGAGCCTTCTTGGGGTGCCATGGGTTTCTGCGTAGTAGTTACGTGTTCCTTCGCTACCAAGACGTAGTTGCTTCACTCCAGAGTCCCCATCAGATCTAATACGTTCTTCAACAAACAGTTGCTGCAGCATCACTTGACGGGACAGGGCACCTACAATCTGGCGAAGTGACTCAATCTCGCTTGGAGGTTTCTTGTCGTCATTAGACAATTTAGCATCGCTTGGCCGATTCACTGCAAGGGCTATTCCACAAAACACCACAAGGTAGTTAAGGGCCATTTCTAGTAAGGTGATAGACATATAAAGCAACGCAGTTTAGCAAATCAAAAGACAAGGATACGTAGTAAAGGCATCGTCGTGAGATATACATACAAATACGAGACGTTCATTATCTACTGTGGAAAGATTAAATGTGTCTTAGGGGAGAGGTGACGAGTTTCTCTAGTTTCTGAACTGAATTATAAGAAACACGATATAAATTGGAATACAAACAAACAAAAATAGATACGATTTAACCACAGGGTGAGACCTCGACCGATGCTGCAGAGTTGTTGTAAAAGAATGGGTTTTTTATAATCGAAGAGAAAGTTCGCATCTAAATACTCATCCTTTTTCTTCTTAAAAATGAATTGCCGAGCATCTACAATTTGAAAATGACACGAGCGAGGAAAAAACACTGATTTGTACCTGGAATAGAAGTTCCAAAAGTCTCTAACGTGGCCCCACTAAGACCGACGGTAAGGACAGAATAGCTATCCAAATGAGGAAAACCTTATTTAAAGCAAGTACTTCGGCAAACAACATTTACAAATCTAAAGTGAAGGCTAATGGTAAGAGTGTCTAGTTTCTTTCATTGGGGTAGCAGCTATTGTTCGGTAGCCATAAAAGGCGTCTTATATAATTAGTGTAATATTTTCTCTAAAGAAGTTGAGTGTACTACAAACCCTTGCCTTTTCCACTTTTGTCACGTGGAATGTTAAGGTTATAGAAATTACAAAGTTTTTAAATTCAGAGGAGGAGGAAAGGCGCAAATAGTTGCTTGGCACCAAAAACTATGGCCCCTTCGATGCATGTTTACCTAGAATAGAGTACTGAGATAACATTGACGCTAGTTTGCGTAAAAGCTAATGTATAAGAGAATGAAGGTCTTCATTAAAAACACAGTTATTGTTGATTTAGCTTTAACGTACGTCAACGTAAAATAGCATTCAGGGAAAACTGCACAATCTCTGAATGCACATCACACATTCCAGTTCGTTTTTGTGTTCTCAGCTTTAGAAGGTGTTTAGTACACAAAATCTACGACCGCAACTAGAAGTGTTAGAGGTCTTTCACTGATAAGTCTTCCACTTCTTCGTTTTAGCTCGAAGGTCGTAGGTCTTCGTTTTCTGAGTCTCCGTTTTAGGAACACCCCATGACATGAGAGGGTGGGGGTGGAGAGCTGCCAGTTTAAGCCAGAAAAGCGTAATTTTCTGCCAAGCTATGAAGCTCCCCGGTCCAGTCCCTTTTACAGCTTACTGCAGCCTTTTAAAATTTTAATACAAGGCTGTAGCTCCATGTACAAGTAACGGCTCTCAGAAAACATAGTTAAAACACTGCTGTAAATCAAAAGATATGATCAAGTTGAACTGTATTAGTTTATCTTTGTATTAGAGCTTCAATAATGTGTATTTAACATCAGCGGATAATTGAAGTGTAGAGGCTAAGCGCGCAAAAATATACTGAAGAAGTAAATACCACACAGCTGATGAAGATGGTGTTCTGATAGGTAAATAGTAATATAACAGAAAAACTAGTTAGGCTTTTAAAGCCGTGTCACGAACGTTTGTTTTAAGCGAATAACGTTTTTGTATTACTAAAAGCTTGCTTAAGTAAATTTCAAATACAATTAGTTCTGGCAAAGACTAACAAAAGTAGATTTCAAATAGAATCACTGTAGTTCCGCCAAAGAAGACCACAGCACTTAAGAAATGTAAACTGATGCAGAAAAGTAACACTAAACAGTTACCCAGACGCTACCTTCATTTTCCACCTGATATATAGTATTGAACATAGGAACCAAGAAATCTAAGACCAAATTCCACGCTACTTTGAAAAGCCCAGTGTTCACAGGAGCTCTTGGGGTTCATCAGTGGTCTTTTTGAGGTTTTCTAGCTAAAAAGTCTGAAATTGTAAGGCACATAATGACGCACTATTACCAAAAAATTACTTCAGCCTTGAATTTCTTCAACAATTATCAATTCTTCATTTGAGAGGCTAAATGAAACACTCCACTCGGTGTTTCATCCGATATCCATACACTTCTAAGTCGGTCCTTAAAAACTCGGCTACGCTGAGATTTTCAACCCACTTCTCGGTGTCTGAATATCAAATTTCCACACAATTGAATAGGAACAAATTCTGATTTTCAAGTCAAGGCCAACACTTATTACGACAGGCTGTAGGGGTATTTCAAAAGAAAGTAATTTTTCGGTGAATCTATACGAAATCAATTTTCGTGAACTGTACTTTTACTAGCTTGATTCTCAGACGTCCGACGTCATTCACGCGAACTACCTCGGACGTCTGAGAATCAGGCTGTACGTTTGCTTAAAATATGACTTTTTCCGGGTGAAAAACTAGTTTCACCCTGAAAACCCCGTCTTGTTTTACGCCACCAACCTCTTTTCTGCAGCTACAGTTTAAATGGGGATTATGCAAGCAAAATGTAAAATGCCACTGTTTTAGAAATAAAAACGATTGCACATACTTTTCTGGCAAGAAATAAAAAAGTAAAAGTAAAAAAATAAGATCAATGATGAGATGAAGCAACATGTGGATAAATGATCTTTGGTTACAGGATCAGGTCTCTTACAACAAAACTTATATCCTGGTTGTAAGCCCTCTTGGATATAAGCTCTTCAATGAAATGTTCTGTTCTTTTCCTAATACTGGGAAGAAGTACCGGACGTAAAGATTCGTAGTTCGTCAACTACAAATACACGCAATCAACTAGGAAGGACCACTTCAAACACGCGTCTTACGTTGTTGGAAACTATCTCAATGCGTCTTGCGTCTTCCGTCCTTACACCAAACCAAAACTGAATCAAGACGCAGCCCGCGGACGCGCTACAATTCTTGTGAAAGAAAATAACAAAGGAAGCTTCATATTAAAGTGAAACGTTTCCTGCGTCTGCCTCGACTATCAAAACAACTTATAAGTCATACAGCCCAACGTATTTCGAATGCATGCCACTGAAATACGTCTACTGTAGACGGATAAACAGACGGAGAAAATCAGGCTGATTATTCGTCTTAAATGAACACCGTCCCGTACGTTTTCAAATGTTAACCTAAAACGGATTTTCCGACAGAAAATTCGCCTTAGACGGATAATCCGTCTCTTGTGCGAACAAGGTGTGACGAAGGTTATAAAAACCGAAGGAACTAACACAGGAGAAATAACGAAAGGGTCTCGAAAACTACACATTTATTAACATAAATGATATTAACACCAAAATGATACCGAATTCACCATGATTCATCAAACACTCGAGCGTAGTGATGACCCAGCGTCTCAATGTTATTTACAAAAATCGCCTTCACAACTTCCTTCTGCGTCTTGAACGCAGCACCTGTGTACAGGAAAAATTAAAACAAAAACGAAAACAAAAAGCCTTTGCATGGACTACTGCAATAACGGGTCGTCCAAACCAGATGGGACCGTTACGATCCGTCTCACATTTCACCCCCCCTTGATAAGCATACATGCTTTTTTCCCAGATCTTTTACGACCGACCACCTAACGGTCGGGTGCAATACCGCATGACAGTCGCTACGGTCGGAACAGATAGTCACGATCCACCCTCACACTGTACTCCCCCCCCCCCTCGTAAGTATCCAGGGGATGATTGTTTTCAAGTCACGACCCGACTACTAGAAAATGCCCACGGGTCGTCGCCTTGCATTTATCCCTATGTAAAGTGAGTTAAGGGTGCTTCACTTAAACACATGATCTAACATAAGATAGACCAGTCGACGTCGACATTAGACGACTGACTCATTTCATGAGTTTCAAAACTGGACATGAATGAGATGGCAAAAGAAAGTTTTGGCAGATGTTAGAGTGGAGTCACACCTCCTTTCTTACCGCAGACACCAGAGGGACAGAATGCAGATGTCTACAATATAGAGGAGATCGTATTACAGAAAAGGCAATTCTTCGGCTCGTGATTTACAAGCTTTTCTTTTATTCTCACAACACCCTGCGTGGGTTATCACGCCTGTAAATCCATAGAAAGTGTGGTCTATTGCTTAAATAACATCCCCCAGATATTCCCCCCATGTATAGAGAGTTTTCACTCACGTGACCAGTATCTATGCAAATTTATTGGAACAAAAGAAAGTGTTTGCATAAGAAAAGAGTTCAACTCCCACGGGACTGGTTTGGGACACCAACATGGCCGCCGTTTCATTGTTTTGGGAAACCAATATGGCCGCCGTGACGTCATGTGAAAACACTCTATTATGACGTTATAAAGCTCCACTTGTTATGAAGTTCGACTAAAAACCAGTAAATGCAAAATGTATTTTGATCAGCTCTGCTATAGCTTGTTTCGAAGCGCTTTCTTATATTCCGGTTGTAGGCCCACTGGGATTTAAGCCCCTCCTAAAACGCCGTACTAAGATGTACACACCAAGGGCGTAGAAGTGGTAGTTTTAAAACAAAATGTGGACTTTCTCCTAAGGGTTTCTGTATTCTACGCAGTGTAACACGGATTATGGTTAAAACGTATAATTGCAGCTGTAACAGGAACATGTATCTTTGGTGATGCAGCAACGTAATATAAATAAAGATTGCCGAGTTTACTTGGAGATATTTTTATTGTGCCATTCTTGGGTCCAGCCTTGGGATATTTGACAGCAATGTGTAGCCCAGGGTGGGGAAATTTGGTTGCATTTGACGGGAATGATTTGCCGCGGGCAGGGAATTTGACTGCAAATTTTTGAAAAATGTCAAATCCCCACCCTATGCCCTGTCTCCTCCCCCCCCCCCGCCGCCTTTAAACTGATAGGTGCATTACGGTATATGATAAAGCTGATTTTTAAAACTTGTCACGTAACAGTTAATTATTAACGCTATACCTTGCTGCCATCTCTGGCGCGTAGCTTCTGCTGTCATGGCGGAACTCGGCGGAGGAAATTCCTAAAAACACAAAAAGATTTCACCGGTACCGTCATCATCACCATTATTACACAGCGACATTCTCACCCAGTTTAAACATTATGAAAGGTTTAGATAGAGTATAGCGAGATGCTATGACACCTTACTCCATGTGATAAGCAAACAAATACTATCGAGGAGTTGAAAAAAAACAACAACAACTAGAAAAACGCGATTTTCCATGTGTACGTGTTTAATTATTTGTTCCTTACTTGGCCAAGTGATCTGATGTTTGTTACGTTTCGTAATTTTTTGTTAGACTATCTGAACTTGTGTAACAAAAGAGAAATTTGTGCTTTGCGAAAAATCACTGAAAAAAATTGCCTGTGTAACTTGCAGATTTTCTTTAACACTAACAACGAAAAACAAGAGCAGAGTAGCGGTTACATTGTTACTATTCGTTCAAACTTTGCATGCACCTAAGAACAAAATTTTTTAAAGGAATCAATTCCTGATAAATGCAAAAAAAAAAAACAACAACAACAACAACAACAAAAACAATAGTCTAAAGAGTTAACCAGTTTTTATTCGTTGCCTTGGAATTTTACGAGGTGAAAAGACTTTGTATAAAGGGTAGCTAAGCCTGTTTAAAGTTTTATTTAAGGTGACTCGACCCAGTTATTTTGTGAGGGTACCATCCTACTTTGAAGCTCTCTGGTATACCCACCTTTACATTTGATCGTAAGTCTAGCATATAGCATGGATAACACATAGATCAATCTACAATATAGCATAAAAGTTTAGGCGATCGGAGTAAGTGTCATGTGGTTATAGTGCCACGCCTCTTTGGGGTCTGAGACGAAATTCTGCTGTTGCCGGCATTTTTTCGTGAAAATCTCCCCGCTACATATAGTTCGCATTAGTGCCTTGCGTTGAACAGACTTTCACCAAAATCGCAAAGACCCAGCGCGAGAAATTCGGCGGTTTCCAAATTTAGGTCATAATTTATGTGAAAATGATAAGCAAACTTTACACGATTATATCTAATAAACTATGAGATTTATCCCTTTGTTTTGGGGATCTTTATAACAGATGGGTCCTTGCAAGTCAGCAAAAAGCTTTAGGGCCTTGTAAATGCACGCGATTTCGAGCAATGTAAACATCATGTATAGAAATTATAGTTTTCGCTACTTGTTGACGTTTGTCAGCGTTTAAGAGTGCTTCTCACAAAAAAAGCATTTTCTTAAACAATCGTAGTTTTTTTCCTTCAAATTTTGTCAGGGCCACAACTGATTAACTACTAGGATTCTGAATTTCATGGTCACTGAAAAACTGTGACATTATCTTCTATAAGCCCAAACTTGAGTAAACATTGAAGATTTTTAGCGTTTTGGCTGAGTTTGTGCTTTGGGAGTTTTCTATTGTTTCTAGTCTGTCATAATACAGCATTCTTGTTCAGCATGCGTGCAATGACCGCGCTTGGCTGACTTCCGAATGCTCACCGAGATATGATAATTTTGGTACGGTGAGTCAAGCGATCGCGTGATATCAACAATATATTTCGGAGCCATGCCATATATTGCTTTATACGTAAGAAGTAGTATATTCTATGCGATTGTTTGTCTAATGGAAGCCAATGCAATTCACGAAGTACCAGTGTCATATGCCCTGAGCTTCGCCGTTCTGGACACCAGGCGAGTAGCACAGTTTTGTACATACTGAAGACTATCAAGAACCGATTGTAGTACAGTAAAAACCCGCGACTAAGAACCTGGCTTTTAAGAACCTGTTTAGCCTGAAATTTGAAACAGGTTCTAATTTTCTAAAATCTAAAAAACAGTTCCGTACAATTGGGAAAATAAGATTTAGATGAGTCAATATTCAGGATCCTCTTTGGAGACATAGGTGACTTATTACTCCAGAGACAGTTCCGTATTTTTGCCATGTTCCGTAAGCGAAAGAAGGCTGTTCTCTAAGTTAATATGAGTATAAAATATAACACACACATTTCTAGCATTACGTCGGCTACTAGACTTGCTGACAAGTCGAGCTTTTGAGCGCGTAGCGCGACAGTGAGTGCGAAGCGCGAGCGAGCGACCGAAAGCTGGGTCCTACCACATCAGACCAGAAAACAATGCGAACGACTTTGAGAAAGTCTAGCCGTCTACGCGAATACCCTCAAGTGTGCTTTGGTCCCATCACCAGGAGTTCTGTTTTTTCCTTATTCAGCTTTAAAACGATTGCAAGCATCCATGTAATTTTAAAACAAGATTCAGTTGCTCGAACTGAGGTTGCCTGATCTTGAAACTTGAAAGAGTAAAATAGCTGAGTGTCACCCACATAGAAATGACATGATAGACCTTGGTTTCCAACCGGTAAGGTGGCAAGTTACACTTGTATTATGCCCTTATGGTCATCATCTGCACATAAAAGAATGTGTCTGTACTTACAACACAGTTCGAGAGAGGTTTCTGTAAGGGTGCGGATGTACTTGCAAAAACTTTCAGCTATTTTCCAATTTGGTTTGCCACGGATTTCGAATGGGCGCTAGTACCGATACGGTACCATCAAGGAGTAAGCCGAAATTAGTTACATGTGAGACAAGATCAGCATAAGTTTTCAGATTTCCTCGTTGGCTTCCAAATCGTCACACTTTGTTTATGTATTTTGCTGAACAAGTGTTTCTCAATACCGACGATAATAAATTTCTCTATTTTTCAAAAACCTTAATAATTATTGCAATCCGTTTCAGTCTTCCTCTAGTCGTCCTCAATCCCTAGCAATCACTTCGGGGTGTGTTGGTTTACGTCAATGCAGTGCCAGTGAGCGAAAACCGGTTTGCCCTTGGCAGTCAGTTTAAATAACAATTACTTTGCAATTGCTGTACGTTTCTTCAAAGACCAAAGCAATGTGACCCTCTATGGTCACTGTAATGCCACCTAGCCAGCTTAATTCTTCATTCAGCTGCGTTCTCCGTACAAACTCTCCTTTCACGGTGTATACAGATACGGTGAGGTGGCGAGTCTCTCGTTTATGACCAGCAAGGACAATATATTCACCAAGTGGGTGACATGCAGTGCGATAATAGCGATCTCCGTCGATGCTTAATAAAAATTTGGCAATCTGTCGTCCCTCTGCAGTAAACAGGTGAACACAAGAGTCGTCTCGGTCCAATACCACGACTCCAGCGTCATTTAAAGCAGTGTTGTCCATTGCGCGCTTGAATCTTTCTTCGCCAAATGTACAAACAAACTCACCACCCTGCTCGTACACATCGATCACGTCATCTGCCAACACCAGCACTTTTCTACCGCTAACTATAAGTCTGGCAGCCCAATGCCATTTCCTCACAGAAAACTTGTGCTGCAAGTCGCCGTTTGTATTAAAAATCTGCACTTCACTTTCCCATTCCTCAGCCCCAGGCTTCTTCAGTCCGACCAACAAGTAAATGTTGTCGTCTACGTCTTCATTTGCTACATCGTAAACTTGTAACTTTGTTTGGACGTCATCAGTTTGGGGAGTGAATCTCAACTGAAACTTTCCATTTCTATTAAACACCTTCACGGACTTGTCTCCATTGTCTGCTATAAGAAAATATCCCTTGGTATTTGTTGCGATACCACAGGCATTCGATAGCTTGTGCTCGACTTCACCCTCCTGACCAAATGACCACGGAACGCAGCAACGCTCCATGCTTTGCTTCTTCAATATTTTAGCAACTCTTTCATTTCGGAGCGGATTAACTCTTTCTTCTCCAATATCAACAGAAGGCCAGTTTACTGACAGCTCACCCTTGAAGCCAAAACGGACCATTAGAGTGACGTCGTAGACGGTGCGATTAATATGACATACATTGGAAATGAGTTCCCTTCGTTCCTTTTTACCCCACCGAGCCCGGAGTCCTCTCTTAAGCTCCACAGTAAAGCAATCTTTAACACCTGACACACGGTGTAGGTCTTCAACGCACAATTTACAAGCCGCTAACGCATTAGTAGGATTGTCTACAGTTTCTAGTATTGTCGACATTATTCTGTACCGCATAGCTAGCACACGTTCAGACAATTCCAACGCTTCGTTTACAAAGGCTTCAGTTGCTCTTTCACGAGCACGTTCGAATCTCTTTTTCGCATCGTTAAGCATGCTCGTAGTTGCTTCATTTAGACCAGTAAACTTCAGCTTCCTCATTGCTCTAGTGAGTGAAAATATTTCAGAACTAGCTGGTCCAATTGCAACTTGCGCTGTTTCTGGGTCGTGCGCACTCGTCAACCTAGTGTTTTCAAAAACTTCGCAAAGTAGCTCGATCCCTTCCTTGAAAAAGCTGATGCTTGCCAACAAGTCTTTCCTCGCTAAGCCATCCAACTTCGACTTAACATCTTCGATTTCACGGACAATGAAACCTCGGAATTTCTGATCTGTCACATCACCTCTTTGAAGCCTTTTCTGCTGCTTTATCTCTTCCTTTGCTCACGAGCAACCCGATGGTAACTTCAAACACTGCTGTTATGATCGAACTCATGCTTTAAGTTTCATTTGCGTATGAAACTCCCTCAGTTGTTGTGTTGCAAACTTACAGATTGAATTTCGGATTACAGGATTATGTCATGACAAGGAATTTGTGGAGATCAAAGCACGTGGGGAATGCGGACATTTTTAAGTAACTCAATAAAACACTCACAAGCATAAAATGTCGGCCAGCACGTATCCTCATCTACTGGGAAACGGATATTTTTTGCTTCCGGATCGCTCTTCTGTCCACATCAGAGAAAACGGTAGTTTTTTATAAAACGCTCTCTCGACAGCTGGGGACACTGTTTTCCTGTATTCGATTGTGTGGACAAATACAAACGGAACCTTTGTAAAACGATGACGTGACAGTATCTTATCCAGCACATAATAACAGTATTTCACTGACACTAAGCCATATTCTAAGGACTTCTTAGTGGTAAAAAATCTTAAGTCAATTCACAAATACGTTCTAAATTTTAAATGCCAAGCCTAAAGTGTTTCCTTTCTCGAGAACCAACAACGGAGACCAACGAACAACCCTTGCACGTTTGACCCAAACGCCCGTTTCATTCCTGACCCGACTGACTGTCCCTAGGCCTCCGAGGATGTACTAGACAAGCCTATTCCCGGTTGGGGGGAATTCCATATGACAGTGATGCTCGTTTAGAGGTAGAACGTGCAGATTTTGGACGGGAAGCCAATATGTTTTACCCAAAAAGATATCGCTTTGATAAAAAAAAAAAATGAAATGCCTTTATACTGAGTTGGAGAATGGTCTCAGTTTAGGGGTCAAATAAATCCTAAACCACGCCCAGATTAGTCTCCTTTAGAGTACCCCCACCCCACTCCCACGGGGAGGGACTATTGTGCTTGGCATGACTGGTAGGACAACTTTATCAACTAAGCAGTTGTTTTAAAGGAGCAGAAGGAGAATTTTAGAACGATTCAAGACCATTCCGAATAAAAATATAAAAATGTCGTTTTGAAACGGATACATTGTTACTACCGCTGCGCACGTAATCCGTAGCTACCATGAAACCACGTGCTTTGAAATCTGATACTTTGTGAGTTTTGTCAATTTGGAAGCTTTGCTTATGGAACTCAAAACAGTGGGTAAGTTTTCCTCTTGAATAAAAACTTTTGAAAATTCATAGTGTCGTTTTTAGAAAACCTAACGGATTTACATTGGATTTGACATAACATACTTCATCGTCAATAAGAAGGCCAGGTTGTTGAAATCTGGATCTATTCGGAAAATCAATAAAATACGCATTTTAAGTGTTTTCGACTTTGGACCGAACAAATCACATACATACCCCTAAGAAAATTTTCTTTCCAAATGTCAAGAGAGGGAAATGGTAAAAACATGGTAAAAAGCAAAGAATAAATTTCTTTGGGTTTCAGAAGACCAAATACAGCGCCAACTCGGCTTAGGGGAGGAGGTAGCCAACTCGCCTAAACAACGAAATTAACTTTATCCGTAAGAAATGCTGTTTTGCGGAGATTCCAGGAATGGCAATTGCATTAACATTGTTTGCTTACCATTTGACGACAAAATCCGGTTGGGGTGTCGAAAACATAATGGAATCCGGAATGAACGGATTACCTCAAAACGTTCTCCTCAATTTTCGGTGGGAATTTCCGAAATTTTCTGTCAAATGGTAAGCATGCTATTTCTCCTGGGTATCACAGTCGTCCCAAGAGAAATTGAAGACAATGGTTATGTATTATTAAAAAAGAAAAGGGGGGTTGGGGGGGGAAGGGGAGGCGTAAACGAGGTGTATTATGGGCAATGTGAAAATGGTGAATTGGACTAAGAACGTGTGGAGTCAACAGTATCAGTATGGAGGTACGAGCCGACGTATTAGATGTTAAGCCATACATGTACGAACAAACATTCAGTAGAAACGCACCTTGGTCATAATGTCAGTGATAAAGCACGTGACTTTAAACCGAAGTGACGATTGGTCAATTGATGCCCCTCTGTACACTTCCCAACTGGACATAATAGTCGCGAGGAGACTGGATACTAGAGGACTGCACTTGGAAAGTGACGACACCCCTAAACAATTGAAAGCCAGATAAAAAATACCACATACCGTAAGTACTCGAATAAGCGCCGTCGTTGTTGTTGAAGCTCCCTATTGTATTCTTAAGGGGGCGGAGGAGGGCGTGCTAATTCGAGGAGTGACACTTATTTGAAGCTCGGTGCTTACATACTCGTGTACAACTCAAAGTAAACGAAATGAGTTCTATCATGATTTTCCCCTGAGCTGCTTACTGACCTCTGGCAACAATGCTTATTAGAGACCACAGAATCGGGTTCTCGTCAAATGTTTTCTTTATCCGTAAATCACTGCAGAGAAAAAAAATTACGTTAAGAAACGAGTTACTCTGGGATACAGAAAGCATAGTTGAACAATACAGTTTGCCATGTGACAGATGCGTAACTTTAGGACAATACAAGTTGACAAGCCTGAGAAAACTGCTGACATTTCGAGGCACCACCAGTAGTTTCCCTGCGAAATGACTCCTGAGGAACAAGCCAGGAGAAATTCCATACTGATGATGTGTCACTACCCAGATCTGGCCAGTTTTTCTATCGGCAGTGCCGCGAGAGAAATTTCCTTCAACCAATCAAAAGCACTACCCAGATCTGGGTAGTGAAACGTCATCAGTATGGAATTTCTGCGCTCGTTCCTCAAACGTCGTTTCGCGGGGAAACCAGTGGTAGCGTCGTGAAATTCGACTGCTTTTTGAGGCTACGAAAAACGGTTCTTTATGTTCCCTTACCGTTCTACAGTAAACTTGAGGCTTTCATCGTCAGGCCAATCAAAACTAATGGGCACAACATCCGGGCAAACGAGCTCCATTATCAACAGAGCTAAAGAGTCTACGTATTTATAATGAAGGGTTAAGTTGGCATGATCCAGATCATCATCCTGGTCATAGGTGCAGCACAGAGTGAAAACCACGTCCGTAAAGACTTGACTCGTCTGAAGCCATGCTTGGAGCTATAACATAACGTGTTTTTCCTTTAAGCTACGGTCAAACGGGCAACAAAAACGTGACACTTATTTTGCAACATTGCTGCAAAACGCGTTGAAAAGCGCTGTTGCGCGTATTACCACCTACCTTCAAACCTGTCTTGTGACGAATCAGGTTGTTGCAAGTGGCGTGAATACTGACTTCTGATTGGGTAAAATTACGCGGTACTCGCACTATACACAGGAGTTACGTGCAACATGTACAGAGTTTGTTGAAAAAGTAGAACTACTCGCTACTTTTTGCAACCACTTTTCGCAACTTGCAGCGACCCGATTTGTTTTAAGACGGGTTTGGTGTGGGTGGTAAAACGCGCAACATCGCTGTTCAACTCACTTTGCGGCAATGTCGCAAAACAAGTTGCACGTTTTCGTGGCCCGTTTTACCGTACCTTTAGAAGCAACACTATATCACACAGGTTTTTACAAAACGGCCAATAATCCTTCTTTCCTCAAAGGAAATATGTCAAGCAAAGTCACAATTTTAATTGTACAAAACAAACAGTGTCTATAATCTTGACAGAGAATTGTCCTCATTTATAATTTGCAACGTTTTCCTCTGACTTACCCGGCCAAAAAAAACTTAAATTAACAAGGATCTCATAAACTTTACAAAGTGTTCGCGTCAGACCTGTAGGGTATTTACATGTCAGTGCCACACAGAACTTTCACTAATTTTTTTTTAAGCACGTAAACAACCTACCACGCTTTTCAGTGCGTTGTATGCTCAGACTAGGCTATAGTTTGCGGCATGCATGGGAAGAGCATTAGGAATAGGCATTTTTTTTTTAATAACCATGTAATAAGAAGCCAAGTCTTAACTTTCTATCGTTCAAACGTTTTTTTTTCATCTCAAAGATACTTCACCTCAGCTGTGTCGAGTCTGTTTGTTCGGTTGCTTTTTGCGATATCACCTACAATCCCGCTGAAGAACACAGACGACGGAGTAAGAGGAAGATGAGATGAAATGTGAGGATTTCTGTTCCGCTCCAATAAAGAGACTTTGATCTTTGTTAAGTCTGTATCAGAATCACTCGGTTCATCTACATTGAACAAAGAAAAGACAAATCCAATTAGACAAATACTCGTTATGCGCACTAAACCTTGCCTTTTAGTTCTAGTTTGCCCCTTTAAAGGCTCTTAAATTAACTACAGTCGTGGACAAAAGTCTTGGAGCACATTTGTATTTGTGGGGCTCTCTTTAAATCATGCATGCCCAGCCCCTCCCCCACCCCACAAACTACAGGTTGGACGCGTGTACCCAGAATCTTTCCCGAGTTTCATTTTTGTATAGGGTGGGGGGAGGTAGAACTGCAAGACATTTTGTACTGTTTTATGAGGGCACCCAGAGATTACAGAAAATCACGAATACTGGATTGCTGTCCCAAGGACTTTTACACGCGACATCAACTTGTCGAGCTACAAAGCTAAGCCAAAAATCGTCTGTTAGAATCCGGCAATACGCGTAATATTTAGCTTACTTCTGACCTGGTAAAATCCCTCCAAATAAGGGCACATGTTCCTGTGGAGAAACAGGACATTTGTGTTACAGCGTGGAAATTATTTGAAAGAGGGATTTAAGACTAGGTAAACAACTTAACATATACTAGGAAAAGTTCTCACCGTAAGAACTTTACTACACTTCAAAGGGGCGTGAGAGACTGGATTTTTTATGCTTTCACCTAGATTCTCTTACTTGACCAAATTGACCAAGGAGGCGCATTTTGTACCGAAATCTCAGCAGCCACTTGGAGATCGAAAAGGTTGCTGGTAAAGGTGGCCTCTTTTAAAACGACCATTTCCGGGTTGCACTGGAGACCAGCAGGATGGTGTTGCGTCGAATTGTATTTTGGGACTGTTTTGGGGGACGAATTTGGACCCAGTTCGCTGCACGATAGCATCCCCAAAACAAACCCATAGTGCAATTCGATACAACACAAAATAGATAACTACCAGAAAAGCAACGAATATGCCATTTTTATATACTACTTTGGATTTCATAAGATTGTATGTGTTTTGGGGACTTTTTTTGCGCCAAAAGGACACTTTGTGAGTGCTATCAAGCAAACGCGATTTTTTGTTTTCAGCATAGACTTCTGAATATGAAAGCAGCTTCCTGTCATTTCCCATTGGAATTAGAAAAAAACTCACGTTTATTGATGTTTGCCGCAGCCATTTTGAGGTCTTGTAATGACAGGTCTGTAGACAGAAATTATTTCAGTGGGGTCTGCAACGAACGGAAAATTCTCGGAACATCCCATCATACGGCGAGAAAAGAGCGAAGCGATGCGGCTTTCAGGATTTCCGTTTCCAGACCTTGCAGAAGCCGACCCCGTTTTTACAGTTCAAAGTGACCGACACAAACATCGACAAACTGCTATTGTAATTGTATGGAAAGAATGGTTGTTAGTGATTTTTCTTGCTATTTAATTTTACCTTTTGCAGAACCCCTTCTACAAGCAGTCTTAATAAATAAAACCTGCATCTGTCATCCTTGGATAAAAGAACAAACATCTTTCTGGACAGTTTGATAGACTTTACTGTATCTGGAAAGCAGACACGCACATTAGTGAACATTAAAAGCGAAAAGCAGCACATCTTTAGAAAACAATATCTAGTTTATGAACGTAGCAAATGAAATGAACACAAGAGAATCCTGAAAGAGCTATTCCATTTGGCAGAAATATCAGTTTGTGAATTCTCATGAACATTCTATGGTGCCTTTATGTTATCATGTTCTTTCTAAGCAGTTCACGCATAGTGTTCACCATGAAGACAAGTGATAAACTGTAGGTTGTGAATCCTAACCACTTGTACTTCCAGAAGTAGTCAAAGTCAAAATTTCTCTTATTAGAATGCAGAAAGAAAAAAAGGGTCTTAGTACTCCCAAAGATTTTTCAGTTAAGTGGGTACACCGTTGGATTTCATCGACAAACTCAAAGGTTAAAACCACGGCAAATGGCAGACTCAGGTTGAGAATTTCTCAAAAGAGAAAATGGGCAGATAAAAACAGTCTAACATATGTCTTTTGGAAGAAAATAACGTGAAACTACTTATTTTTTTAGAAGTAAAAAAACATTTACAGGCAAGAAAAGGGAAAACTCGGTCACGTGGCACAAATTCACGTTTTGCCGTTTGCCGTAAACATGACTCTAAATCTCTCTATTCGCTCTTGGATTGAACCAAGGAAGTGCGGTCGAGTCGTAAAAGCTCTTTGGGACGCTCTGGCGGCGGGGCGAGAAAAGGAAGGAGAGCGTGCAACTATGTCGCGCAATATTTGAATTTCTGCATCGAAAAATGTCGATGCGAATTGCTGATTGGCAGAGATGACATTAGTAATGACGTCATTACCCTCGACACGTGTTTTTTAATGCTTGTTTTCATTCGCGCTGATTGGCGGAAATCTGACAGCACAGTCGACGCGGAGCCACAGGGGACTTGGAATTCCAGAGACGTGGTTGCAAGCTCTCTTTCCTTTTCCCGCTCCGCCGCCAGAGCGCCCGGGAGAGCTTGCTCGCAAGCTAAGTCATAAGAGAGTCGGACTAGTAATCTGGTGGTCCCGTTCAAGTCCCACTCTAACGACTCACTGGATTTGTTAATATTATCCTGTTCCAGGCTCCGAGATAGTCGGGTCCGTGGATATAAATTGAAAGATTCTCGAACACGAAAATAAAACGGGATGAAACTCTCTTTTTCCTGCCACCGTCCTCTTTTCTCAGATCGCGCACTCACATTTTTGTGTGCCTTTCACTCACGTCATCCCTACTACCTGAGAGCCTGGAACTGGCTAATATAATACTAAAATCATTTCTTACCTGTTATATTCCCAGATTGGTTTGACAGTTTGTGAAGGAGCTTGTAGAACAATCCGACACAGTTACGGCACAATTTCATCACGTTAGAAACTTTATCTGGCAACGTTTTGTTAAAGGACAAAATAAATTCTAGAGCCTTCAAAGATACGTCCATGTTAGGATGAAGCAGCAAATTGACGAATACACTGTGATGCTTTTGGAGGGACAATGATAAGTTTGATCTACAAAAGTAAGACAGGAATAATTAATACCCAAACTAAACATCGCAAACTCAACAAAAGCACATGGGGTTCGGGACATCTACGAAGTAACTTCGGGTAAACTTCGGGCATCTTCGGGACGAAATGCAGAGGCGGATCCAGGATTTTTTTAGGAGGGGTTGCACTCGTCTCTTGCTCTACTTCAACACCGATAACCCACATAGATTTTTTTTTTTGCAGAATACCAGTTGTATTAGAAAACCGCAGGTCATCTCGGGGGGGACCCCGCCCCTGAAATGGGGATTCTTCATAGACCTTTGAAAAACGTCAGGTTAACTTTGACATCGCCGTGGATCTAAATGGCAAAATTACAAATCGTAATTTATTCACCCACGGAGCACTTTTGAGTTCTTAAGAACTTGTTGAAACGTGTCCGCGCGTTCCAGATCGAATTGAAATTTAAAAGGGTTGGTTTTTAAGGAGAGGAGAAAACCGGAGTACTTAGAGAAAAACCTGTCGGAGCAAAGGAGAGAACCAACAACAAACTCAACCCACAAAAGCGTTGACGCCGGGATTTGCACCCAGGCCACAAAGTGATACCCCAGGAGAGTGCAATTTGGGATTAAACATACTTTCATCCGATTAGAAACAAGCAATTTTGTCAAAAGTGCTATGATCTAAGATATTCAAGTACTCTACAGGTCACGTTGAATGCACTATTATATTAAACAGCAGCATACGCCATTAACTGTGCGAAGAGTTTCAGATTGACACATGATTCCCGTGTCTTTTTTTTCGATGAAATTGCTCTACCGCAGCTTATCCTGGTTCTTAAAGCACCAAGGAGTATTTTTTTTTCAGCTGTTCAAAACTGTAAGAAACTGTTCAACCAAAAAAGAATGCCCCTACGCTTTTCTTTCCATACCTGAACAAAAGATGGATATCCTTTTGAACGAACATGAGCTGATAGAAATTACTCAGCACACCCAATATCTAAGGAAATAACCAAAATATCATAGATAATCATCACGGTAATATTGGGATAGTCCTTCATAGGACCCGCTTAAACCGCATAACATCAAATCTTTGGAATCTCCTTCTACTGTCAAGACTCACTTTACAACTTTTTGTAGTAAAAACATACGGTGCATAATTTAGTATTAATGATTACATGCAGGTTAAGGCCAAATTATTGTTAGGGCACTACTATTACAAAAAAATAATGAATAATATGAATTTCAAATACATATTTGAACTGACAAATGAAGAATTAAATGTAGATAAGATCATCAAACTTAAATATGCAACTTATGCAGTTGCAAAAAGAAAGACTGAAAAAAATTCAATTTCAGGCTTTCTTTTCGCAACTACATAAGTTGCACATTTAACTGTGATGATCTTCTCTGCATTTTATTATTATTATCTTAAGAACTCGTTGAAACGTGTCCGCGCCTTCCAGATCGAATTGAAATTTAAAAGTGTTGGTTTTTAAGGAGAGGAGAAAACCGGAGTACCTGGAGAAAAACCTCTCGGAGCAAAGGAGAGAACCAACAACAAACTCAACCCACAAAAGCGTTGACGCCGGGATTTGCACCCAGGCCACAAAGTGATACCCCAGGAGAGTGCAATTTGGGATTAAACATACTTTCATCCAATCAGAAACAAGCAATTTTGTCAAAAGTGCTCACAGTATTATAATTACTATTATACCTTATTTGAGTCTGCAGTAGCCGCAGGAGACTTGATGAAAGACACACAACTTTTTAGAACATGGTCAAGCAAATGACTGTGGTATAACTCCACTTCTGAATGTAGCTGAACAAATAATTGAAGCTACAAACAACAAGACAAAGTAACGGTTAGTTAATGTTGTACCTCAATAAATTTAACAAAGGGGCAACAATTTTCAATGGTCTTTAGTAAAAATAACGCCAAAATGTTTAAGTGGAACCACGAGAAGCAGGCGAATGGTTTCACTGCAAAGTTTTTTTACAATAACATTGACAGTTTTTGACGTCCACTTCCGTTGAGGTTTCTCGGAAAAACGAGAGCAAGAAAGAGAAAAACACCATCATCTCGCCATTGACCACAGCTCTCAACCGATCAGAGTGCAAAAACTCTCCCAGTTATTGAAAAAAAAAAAACATAATTTAGGGGGAAGGAAGACTAATTATACGGGGAAGTTCCAGCTGGCATTAACTAAAACCCAGAACAACCCAGAAAACCGAAAAGAGGTAAAATGAAAAAGCAAACAGAAACACTAACCCTAATCAGTAAAATAAAATATGGTTCTGCAAAGTCGTGTAATTTTTAAAGGTTATCAAGGTTACTTGTAGTAAAAGAAGAGCATCATTTTTTGAACATTCATCGTTGAGTTACCGTTTTGGGATTTCTGCTTCTTAAAATGATTTGAGTGAGACTTGCTACAGCTGATGATTGTCCATTATGTATGGCTAAGATGACCAACATCCGGAAAATATTTGAAATCCTGTTACAAGTAAAAGTAAAGAATTAAGAGCAAGTTAAGGGACTTTGTTACAAAGACATGTTTTTGTCATTTTTTGTTGGAAGGTCAAAGTCCTGCTAAAACTATGATACTGAATATCAAGCATAACAATACCAATAATTATTACCAGACGAAAACAGTTAAATGAATTCGCCCTCGGCTAGTGATTGACAAGCTTTTCGAGTGTTCTCCCAACATCCCAAATTGGTTATCACGCCGGTAAACCCATAGAAAGTGTGGTCTATTGCTTTTAATGAGTTTACCGCCACAATAAACCATAGGTTTTTAACCAATCAGAACGTGCGTACTATCTTAGTTATTTTATAAATAACTATAATTATAAATAATCTGTATATGGAGGTGCATAGCATTAATTTGTATGCCTGAAATACAAAGCAAGTTTAAGTAATATACAAATACTAGATAACAATAAAATTGATAGGTTCAAAAGATAAAAGGAAATATAAAATAAATAAATGAATCAAAACTGAATAAATAAAGACACATGAGTTTAACACATCTTTTAAATACCAGTATAAATGGTAGTTGATTTCTTTTTAATGACTGAATGAAAGTCTGGGATTGATTAAATCAAGGTATGGACATAAGCATAAGTCTCCTCACGTAGAAAAAGTTGTATTAATGTTTGCTAAAGACTTTTTTGAAGGACGTTATAATAATTGTTTGCCATTTTATACATTGCAATACAGTTCATGAAAACATTACTTACTTGCTGCCAGTGGAAGTCAGCAGACCTTGGCACAGTTGAGGTGAATGGCAAGTCATAGCAGCAAGGAACTCGTTCTCTGTCTTGCTGGCATCAAGTGAAGACACGGCAGAGTTTCGGTGAAAAAGGCTATGTCTATGGAGGGCAATTTCCTGAAGTCTGTTCAGCAGCAGTTGCTGTAGAACAGCAACATGAGATCACATTAGGTCATTGCATTGTCAGAAATAATAGATAACTTTTGTGAAAGGTTTGAACCCAGGAGTCATTTCAAAAGTAGGTTGAGTTTGATTGTCCAGGTGAATGTAGTCCTGAATAGGACTGTTGTTGTTGACAGTGATTGACGTTTCGACAACCTGTGCGGTAGTCATCTTCAGAGTCAAAGTGAGTTGTATCACGTCAGTTGATGGTATTATACTCTGGTTATTGATCTGATTGCTATTACTTAGTTATTATTTAGTTACTATTATTTTGTTAACAAAGAGCTCACCATGATAAGAGTAAATGTCTTTTGCACTTCACTTTGCATTGGGTCAAGTTCTATAACAAAAAATATTAATTATGAATCATTTTGAATACTTTAACAAATAAAAAATTCAAACATAAGTGTTAGGCAGAGGTTGTTATCAACAACACTACCATCATCATTATTATTTTTGCCATAGATATAGCTATTACTGAGATGGACAAGTCACCTTTGTTCTCAGGTTCCTGACAGTTCTCAAGCAGAAGCTGGAAAACTTCTAAAGCACCCTCTCCAGTTTTTACAATCACATCAACCACAGACAATACCAAGCTGGGTAAAAAAACAAAAAACAAAAGAATGGCGTCAAAAGACATGAAAAAGAACAACTCTTGAAAGAGGTAGTCCCTTCAGCCCTTATAGAGCCAAAAACTTTGATGCATTTTCACTGTGGAGTCAAGATATCACAAACTCTAGTATAACAACATTAATTATGTTTTATCCCAGTTGTACTAAAATGTATGAAACATGTTTTCTTGAAATGATGAAACTATTTGATTTGAAGAGAAACAACTAATAATCTGTAAACCCATGAAATTGTTGACTAAGCAAACTTGAATGGACAAAATTAGTTAAGATAACTTTCTCACAGTTACACATGGTTTCTTTTCTTCAGAAGAAGTCTACATGAACATGTGCATGTATACCTCATTTTCTTTTCATCTCTTTTTCTAGACTGCTCCAGCAACAGAACAAAAACATCTGGGGTCACTATTAATCAAAGCAAAAAAATATCTTGATTTAATTTACATTTCCTTGATTTCCATTTCATACTTATTACACAGATCATGGCAGATAATGATATAATAAGACTTCAAAGTTGCAGGTTTCATTTTCCTCAAGTTTGAGCAACTCTTAATACAAGTTTAACAGTTACAATAACACAAGTCTTAATTATTCATTATTCAATGAATTACAAATACACTACTTACAGATCTCAAGGAACTCTGTTATAGTTCCTTTGAGTAAGTTAGGTGACAATGTAGCAATGTGTAGAAGAAAAGGAAGAGTGGCTAACTGTTCATCTGTTTCCATATTTGACTTTGAAGAGCTAGAAATACTTTTCTAAAGCAATAGCACAGGTAATATTAACAGTTTGTCACATAGCCTGTAAGCAAGCTCTTAGGTGGGGCAGGGGTGGGGAGTTTGAGTAGGAGAATTGGTGGTTAAAGTAGAGTATTGAGCTTATGATTTAGCAGTTAATGAACTGATTTCTTTACAGGATCATTCCCTTTTTTCTTTGCATTTTTTTTTGTGTAGCTCTGGGAATAGTGCAGTAATTTTATTGGGAACAATACAGTGCTGCCAATGAAAATTGATCTACTTTATTCATGTATCATACTATCTCATCTAAGCCATGCAAACCTTCTCAAATTGCTGCAGACATGTACATCTATTATATGTTCAGTATTTCCATTGTCTCTGTACTGTTTGATTATCTCGGAATCACATGATTGTACAATATTATTATTGGCAGCAGTATCACTGACCTCACATGTTAGATAACAGGTAGAGCATGATGGAAGTTTTGTATATAACTTAATTGAGCAACTACCTAATCAACTAGATACTAGGTTTTTTTTGTCTTCTGTTGTTGTTGTTGTTTTTCGCTGACCACACCAACTGATAATACTCTTTATGAAGGGTTGCTGTATCGGTAAATAAATAATAAATAAATAACTTAGTTATACCATGGAGATGTGTGACATGATCAAACTTCACCTACATGAAATAAAGCCAGCAGGTTGCTGTTGATCCCATGAGAATGTTGAAGAGAGAGGTACGTTAGAACCTGAACCATAGTAGGGGTCATGACAGATGAATCTCCACTCCATCCCGCAGGGGCTTGACTAGCAGTGTACTCTTTCAGGGCTGTGGACAGCAGCTTGGGAATAAATACTTCATGAAAATGAGACCTGCAAACCATAAAAAAATCGAGAATAATATTATCCCATATCCTCTTTAGCTTCAGTTTGTTGTGATTCAATTTTACCCTTGTTTTACACTGTAAGTTGTAGTTTTAGTTGTTTCTAAGTATACCCAAATCAAAGAAAACAAAATTAAAACTTAGAATAAGATACAGAAGAAAAGCATTTGTATGGACCCGTATGTGGTTTTATTTAAGTTGTGGTTTATAAAGGGGTAAAATGCACAAGGATATATAGTACCTTTCCACTCTTGAGAGACAGCACCTTTTTCTCTTAACAACTCAAATGTTACACAAACTGATTATTAACCATTAACAGCAAGCACAGTTTTTCATGTCATGGCACATACCCAATGTGTGCAACAACCCAGTCCAGGTGCGGAGAGCTGTTCATAGCTATCTGCAACAGACACTGCACGCAAACATCTGCCTGCCCATGCCCAACTCTGCATAAGAAATAAGTAGAGTTTTATTGCAGCTACCTACACCAACATGTAGTTTACCATAAGATGCATGGGGACATAACGTTGAAAATGAGTAATGAATAATGAGGCTTCAGGTGCTGTTTGTCCAACACCAGGCCAGTAGCATGAATTATAGCTTGACACTATAACTTACAGTAGATGTGACTTCTGAAGGTAAAACCCACTCCCAGGTTAAACCATCATTCAATTTATTAGGGTTAGCTTTTTTCTTATGGTTCTAACCCTGGTAGCACCAGTTAAAGAACACAGAACAATTGAGGAGATCCATCTAAAGTTAGGTTTTGCACCTCGTAGCTTAAGAGCAGCTGAACAGTCTGTGATAGTTGTACATCATAATTATAATATCTGCAGTCAGATAAACCAAAAGCATTGGTACGTGTAATAGACCCTTTCATAGTTTTTTCAGCTTTTGACATGAACAAGTTAGGAAAAATCCATTGATACCACTGGAAAGGGTGCCTTAAAATTTCATAAAATTGCCAAGTTTGAAAGTCATGCATGTTAAGTGTGAAAAGATGTAGCTCCGCAAAATTGCAAAAATTTGCAAACATTTGTATGGTGGGGGGGGGAGCAAGTTTGTGTCTTTCGCACCACTGCACCATACAAACATTTCTAAAATTGTGCGCCTTTCCACAACTATATCTTCATTAGTTTTCAACAAATCACTTTCAAACTTGGTAATTTTACTAATGGTGCTCTTTCCAGCGGAGGTGACAGATTTTCTCTAACTTGTCCATGTCAAAAGTTGAGAAAAACTTTGGAAAGGTCTGTTCAACCATTTGATGGCAACATCAAATTTTTTAAAAAAATATGCATCAGTATTAACAAGTTAGAGGTATATATCTGTTAAAGAGGCACGCAGACAATAATCATAACTACAACCATGTAGTCGACTTACAACTTTGAACTGCAGTGAACTGCAATGTCCATTAATCTCTGAACTGCAGGAAATAGCATCCATTTGTGGAGACCCTCACTAAGTGACATGGTGATACTGACACCTAAAAAATAGGTGAGTGTCTAAATAAATACATTTCTGTATTATTTAGATATGATTTTTATATTCAATGTAATATCTTGATTCACATTAATTCACTGTGAGTTTACCTGGATGAAAAACATCAAAGAATGGTTAGGACACACCTATAATGGATGTGTAAGAAGAGCGGAAGATCGGAACAGCTGGAGATCCATGATAGCTGATCTACAAACTACAGGGCTCGAAATTGCGACTCACTGGTCGCCAATGCGACCAAAAATTGAGCACTGGCGACTAAATTTTCAGAACTGGTCGCCAGCTGGCGACTCGCGTTTTGTCCGATGACTAAAGAAAACCACGACACAACTTTTGTTTTTAAATCTTTATATTTGGAAATCAATCGGATATGGTAGCTAGTATACAACTCACCTTTCCGTCCCCAGTAAAATAATGTCTGAATATTACAAGATAATCGACACGTCGATACTGCGTTCAGGGCGCGCCATATTGTTTCAGCGGCTTCTTCCGAAACTGGGATCGCAGGCGCACTTCAACAACAAAAATGGTGGCAGATACGGTGTCTCCGTAACTCCCGCAACATTTTAGGTTTTATTTTCCTAAAACGTTCTGTCTAAAAGGAAACGAAGACCCAAAAACTGCACTAAGCCCATTTTTGTTTCCTCCCGGTCGGAGACTGGTACGAGCAATGTGGTTGCGTAGAGGCCTGGGCCAAGCATGGCGTTGTTTGTCGGCAGCGAAAGGCGTTGAGGAAAGCAAGTCGAAAATAAAGAACGGCATTTCGTAGAAGTAGCAAAGGGCAAATACACAAGGACCCGTGTTTGTCTCAGAATGAAAACCACGGACTTAAAACGTTTTATGCTTCGCTTCATTTAAAATGACTATGGAGACAACCATCACCTTCGGACCAGAGACATATCACCTGAGAACAACGGTAGCTTTATAACTAAGTGTTACTCGTGTTGTTTCTAATTGTTTTCGCTCTTCAGTTGTGACTTTTCTTGCATGCAAAGTAACGTATAAAATCGTGTTCTTGTGTAAGTTATATATAAAATAAGTTGGCGACCAAAATTTACGATCTGGCGACCAAAATTTTTCCGTTAGTCGCCAGCTGGCTCCCGAACAAAAAAGTTAATTTCGAGCCCTGCTAGTAGATGGCACCTGATGGTGATGATGAGTTTGGGAGCCTTTCAAACAACATTTATCTCTATATGTTACACTGTTTGGAGGGATGCCGTCTGCCTTCAAATTTTTGCAAAAACTGAACTGATATCTGTTGTCCACAAAAAACTTTATTATTTCACTTAGGGTTCCGAATTTCATTTTACTTGAAGCCTAATATTTTACAGGTTATGGTACACTTAACTCAATTACACTGGATTAAAACACTTTTGGAACGTAAAATATTCTGCACTACTCTCATTCCTACTCTTAATTTCACCTATTCCTTCATGTAAAATTTTGTTGTTCAGTTGTTGTTGTTGTCATGTATCTTACCTCTTCTGCCATTATTTTTAGTGACAACTTGTCCAAGAAGATTTAATGACCACTGCAAAATAAAACGAACAAACATAACAAGAGGTTTTAAGAGAATTTGGGTCCAATTCCAAGCTGAGAGGAACGAAAAAATTACTAAAACATTATTACCTGGCAAATAAGTGGAGCCCAAGCACTAGGATTATTATCAACAAATCTGCAAACTACTTCACTGACATTCTGCAAAGCTGATAATAACTCAGGCTCCAGGACATCAGGATAACCTGTGATTCCTAAAAGAATGGAGAGTTTCAGGGTCAGAAACTTTGGTAATGTTTTCAAAAAGATGGTCAAAGCCTCACTTAATGTATTACTGCCACCATTATTTTCTTAAATGTCACTTGGTTATAAGAGCTTAACAGACTGAGAGTGTTCAAGCCAGACTTCAACGCAGTAAGAAATAAAAGCTGAACTTGGAAATAACAAAAATATCCAAATGAATGCTCTTGCTTGCTTGGTAGAGCCTTTTAAAGTTGAGATCATACAGTCAACAAAATGATTTCCACTAATTATTTATAATGATCAATAATTTGATTTACCATACTCATATGTTAAACTTCCATCAAAGAAACCCACAAGTCTTTTGTTCTTGTGTTATTTCAACAATCGAATCAAACGTTCAGTTAACACCCACATTATGCTGCTGACTTATTCAAAAAATAAAATGGTCAGCCACAAGCAAATTCAAGATGTAAAAAAGTTTCAATATGACAAATAATGAAACTTTTAGTCTCCAGAAAATAGAACTCACCAGATAATGCCTGTCTTTCTAATTCCACCATGTACTTCTGAACAGCTTCATGAAACACTTCACAGAGTTGCTCCAAGACAGCATGTCTTGCACAAGGAAGGGAGTGAAGAAGCACAATAGCACACTGTGCCTTCTCTACACTTGACAAAACTTGTCCTGATTCATCCTTACCACTCAAAAATGACTGTAGTTGTAGCTTTAAATTCTAGATTTTTTGTGTAAGGGAATTACAAAACAAAGAATTAGTAAACTGGCTTAATACACAACTTACTGCATACAGTACATGTACAAGTTTAAGGCTTAGAGATGCAGTTTCTATTAATCTTGACCTCTCCTAAATAAATATCTACAGTTGTAGCTGGCATTTTGCAAAACCTTGTATAATTAGCATGAAAAATAATGTGGGAAATTCATGGGGGGCTGGGGTTTAGTATTAGTAGCTTCCCTAGCATGGCTGTGAGTCTTTCACTGGCTTATAGTTGATTTACAATACCAGCAAGCTATATAATTATCTACCTGTAGTGTAGTGATTAATCAAATTCTTGATTAATCACAATTATGACCGTTTGGTTTGATTCACGATTCTTTTCTTCCACATTTCGATTTTGATTAGATTTTTTTCACACCTTTTCCAGGGTGCTCTCAGTGAGTTGTTATAATTATTGTAAAATCAGAATCCAGAACTCTTTAAAATTTTGGATTTTTTGATTGCTGAGCAAAGATGATTGCAGTTAATGCGCCATTTTGTGTTGCCTGAAAAAAATGCTGTCTTTTGACCACTCCTTGAGAATTTCCCAAGAAGGCAAACCATGTGTGAAACACTCTTTGTCAGGTTCTCATGCAAACATGGCAATGCATACGATCCAGCAGCTGTGAATCCTCCTGTCCCTATTACCATTCTCAAATTGAGGGTTAAGGGTTGCACGTTGTTTGTAATATGCATTATGTTATAAGAATTACAAAACATTTACATAATCAAAATGGAAATAGGAATAATTGAAATTGAATCGAATCGTACGGAATATGAATCGTTACATCCCTAATGTAGTGTCTTGCATGGTCTTTACATTTCCCAGTCTCACATTGTCTTGTTTACTTAAATAATCAAACTTCTGATAATTTGTTCTTACTTTAAAGTCCCTTGAGGCCAGCTCTACACTCGTGTATTTATATTATCATTAGATCTTCAAAGGCTGTTCCCTTGAGACCGCGACACTACAATGCCCACACAGTAATATAATACTACGCCTCAAAGCCATTTTTGCTCCACAATACAAACATACGTGTTGGCACTGTTTGTGGAACAAAAAAGTATGAAACTACAGCCAGTATGTATTTCCATTGATAATAACTACATGATCCATAACACACCGCACGTACCGGTACGCCCAAGTCAATGGGACCCAAGTCAGTGGGGGGAAGTCATTAATCAGTTGTCAGTGGGGCTAGTGATCAGTGGAGCGCCGAGAAATTGTAGGTATTCTACAATTAAATAGCGCTAAGTGCCCAATTTTAGATAGTCTTTAGAAATAATACATGAGACAAATAATTTCCAGGTCCTTTACAAATAACGTAGACAGTATAGACAGTTCTTAAAAGGCTGAAAAAATCTACCCACCTTGGACTCTTCCGCCACTTTGTCCGCCATATTTGCAATCTTACGCTAGCCCCAGTCTTTTTAGTTTCACAGTATTACCGCTGGTTCCCGGTAGTTAACAGCAGGCGCCGACAAGTTTCATCAGTTGAACCAACTCGCTGGAGTATATTCGTCCTCGCGAGCAAAAACAGTTATTTTAAGCACCGGCAAGTAGTATTTAAAGGAAGGAAGATGTGATTCAACCTCCAATTGAGTGATAGTATGTTTCGTTCATCGCGAGTGCTTCAAATCACAGCATTGCTTGCACTGTCTTTTGGAGCTGGAACTTTGCTTTTCCTGACGGCACGCTACTGGAAACGAAAGCGCCGCGAACCATCAACTGGAAATAGCTCTTCTTACAATGATCGTCCTTTGAGAAGAAAGAGAACCTTAACCTCAGGTAATAAGCAGTCGGGAGTCAGGTTTGTCCTGAAGTGTGTGTACATCAAGCAATTTATTATAATAAGCTCATAAACATCCTTACCATAGCCCTATGTTAATCAGCTGACAATAAGTTCACAGCTGTGGCCTGAGTTATTAAATTTATATACAATCTGTTTTCGATACTAAGCTTTTGAAACCTACAGTGTGTAAGTGGTGCATTGATTTTGTAGTTTCAACCATCCTTACATCCATCCTTGTAAGTTGGAAAAAGTATTATTTTAATATAAACTAAGCTAATATTATGCTAACATTATGGCCTGATGGCTGAACTATAATTATAGGCATGAAAATTACTCAGAAATTCGCTTTGTTTCCGCAGAGTGGCGGCAATATCAAATTTAAAAAGAATTTACGTTAATATGACTTTATATAATTATTAATTTTCTTTGGTGCAAGTGGGATTTCGATTTTAATACCCAATATAATGCATTTTATTTTTAAAATTAAGAATTGCAAAATAATGTTTAAAATCATGAAAAACATGTTGGTTGCTGTGGAGAATTTTCAACTAGTAAGATATGTGGTCTTTGTTTACTGGCGAACTGCTGGTGGCATTTAGTATAAAAACACAGTGACGACGTTTACGCATTCAATGGAAAAAAAAAATTAAAATCATGGATTACAAATAAATCACATTAGTGGAACTGTGTGTGAAGTTTTGATTTTTTAATGCAGAGAGATTTGCATATACATGTAACTTACCTGATAATGATATACTGGTATAATTTACTTGATACTGTTATCTCAATATCTGCTGGTGCCCATGACCACAAAGCTTGTCCTTGATTTTTTTTAAAAAAATCTCAGTGATTTAGGATTACCATAGTTATGGATGGATTTAAATAAAAGTTCTTTTTTTCAAAATGAAAATAACTCAAGCATGAGTTGGGTGGGTGCAAGAATACTGGTATTATTAAAAGAGAAAGTGTAAGAAGGTACACACATTTGTATAAATTCACTTCAGCTATGAAAATGGAAGATATTAAATCTTTCTAACCTAAGGTTGATTCCCAGGGCTAGTAGACCACTGAAATCAAGAATCAACCTAGGTTTATACATTGTAATTCAGAATTAACATGAGGTCAAATTTGACCGTTCACACAAACAAGGATTTGCCTAATACAGAATGGTGTACTGTAATACCAATACATTTGTGTAATCAGTACATGTACATGTATTTTCGTGTAGTTCAGTGAAAATTTCTTCTTTGCTGGTACTTGCAGGCACAAGGTTTTCTGCTGGTGAGTCGACACCTAGACCTCCTGCCAAGAGCCTAAGCTTGGAACAAGATGTTATGTTTCGACTCCATGCATCAAATGTTAGATCACAGAGCAGTAACATTGAGGACATTGCTATAACTGTAAATGGTAAGAACTGTAGTCTTGCCTGCACATTTTTAGTCACTTTAAGTCCCACCCTCTTACATTTATTTTTGACCTTTCCCAGACATTGTCCTTGTCCTTTGCCACTAAAAATTAATGACAGTTACCGTACGTTGTACCTTGCGTACATACGCTATACTCTGTTACCCATAATGCCTCCACCGCTCCACCAACCTGCCCTATACATGTACCTCGCACTGCTCACTTGAAAAGTGTGTCTGGTTTCAGTAATGACTCTTATTTGCAAAGATGGGACATTAACCTAACGCCCAACTACGTATACAGCACCAATACATTGTATGTTGTAGTTCAGTTCTATCCTTGGTTTAGATTTTATTTTCTTTTGTTTGTGGTTATGGTAATTTAGGGCAATGAGTTCGAAACAAAGGAAAATAAAATTTAAAGAAAGGATAAAATTTAACCGCAACATATACATGTAGTTTCTGGGATCACCAAGGCACGCAAACCTCCACACTACATGAGGGCACAATGCTTAGGGAGGCCAAATGACAGTTACTGGTACATATCAGGAATTAATAATATTATAACATAGCTAGAATATTCACCTAATCAAATTCAATAGCGCGAGCGTGCTTCATATTCCCATTAATTGCACTGATGACGTCAATAAACTATACCTTGAGTTCTTGTGTGGTCTTGTGAGCTTAGCAATCCTCCAAAGACATCTCCCAAGGGCATCCATAACTCAACAGTACATGATGAAGCATTAACCATGTGTTTTCTAACGTAAATTTAAGAGAAAACTTTTCAATTGTTAACCGACAGTAGGAAACAGAGGTGTGTTGTTGTTGTTGTCATCTGCACGAGCTGTGCAGGCTATGGCATGTGCAAATTACTCTTTGCAAAGTTATTTCTTTCAAAAAGAATTTTTCAGTGAATTAATAGTTTTCCGGCACCTCAATATGGATATGGATTTTACAGTCTTTTTTAATGTTATCTTAAGTGACTTTAAGAGTAAACTTTCTCTCAGTTTAAGACAAAAACATTACTGTGAGGTAGAAAAATATAGTCATGCAGACACAGATGCGTACTGCTCTGAGCGGTCAGCATGGGCTACAATAATGAAAATTTAAGCTACTGCAGCATTAATCATGTTGATAATGTTATAAAACAATTATTAGTTCATGCTTCAGTTGTGTGTATGTCAAGATATTGAGCACTTGGAACTAACTGTTATTATAACCGGTATTTTGAGGTAATCTTTACCCAGCTCTTAATAATGAACAAAGGTGTCCATTACCTTTTGTAAATCAGTCAACAAAGATGAGCACATGTAAGGAAAGGTGCCTGTGTGGCTGGTACAGTGTAGAGGCAAGAAGTTTGCAAAAGAGTTGAGAAATTTTCCACCCTTATTTCAGACTTCTACTATTCGTAGAATAGTTAAATCATACATTGTTCACCTGCACTGTATTGTAACAATAATTATTTTAACATTAGATGGGAGGATTTCTGAGGACAGTGCTGTTGAATTAGGGGACATAATAACAGATGAAGAAGAGATTATTGAGGAACTTATAAAGAGAGGTACAGTAAGTTCTCTGTTGTAGAATTTTATGCCCATGTACATGATGTTATGTACAACCTTCAAAAAACTGAATCTCTTGACCTGGATTACACTATTAGGAGTTGAAAACTTTGAAATGGCTCTGGAACATTGGTATGAAGCAGCAGAGTATGTCATGACTCAGCGAGGGCAAAGCCATCCACAGCAGGGAGACTCATTTTTCTTTTTTGAGGCTGATGCCAAACTCAATGCTCTAATAAGCAGCTCAAGAAAACTGCGGAAAGTCATTGAACAGTATGATCTATCAGTGACATCTCTACCACGCACTCCAAGTAACATGTTGACATGGATTGATGATGAAAGTTTACAGGAGCAGTTACAGATGGGGATGGTCAGGGATCTAGATCTTGATGATTCATCTGATGCAGATTCATTTGTGTCAGCAGCTGATGATGCACAGTTAGAGGTACAGCTGTACACATAACTTTACATGTTACAACAATCATGCAGATGTTTGTTAAATGTTCAAATGCGCAATGCATTTTAACTGGAAGTGGACTTTTTGCACTCTTGAGCCGAGATTTTGAACAAATTGTCTCTGTAAGAGTAAAGACATTTAATAGTACATTTTGGTAGCATCCAGGCATAGTAAAAGAGAAAAAGGCTTAGTTCCGGTTGACGTGCGTCACTCAAAAATGCAGCTGCTTAAACTCTGTATTGTCATTGCGGGAACACTCAGAAAAGTAACATGATTTATTGATTATTATGATTTATTAATACAAATTTCCTGATAGTGTACTCTCCCATAACAAACATGTACTTGATACAAAAAATGGGAGGAAATGAAATGATTTGCTTGTTTCCTTCCTCAGTGAGAGCAACAATACCACCACCTCTGACTTGTCACAAGCTTATTAAAGTATCCATGATTCTATTTTGTAGTTTGATGATAGCACTGAGGAGAGACTTGTGAGTGAGTCTTGTAAACTCAAGCTGTTCAGACAAGCTGTTCTAAGATCTGCTGGTTGTCACAGGTCTGTAGGAAAAAAATGATAATAATAATAACAATTATTGTAATAATACATGTAATACATATGTAAAAAGTAGCAGCGGCGAGAAAATATTGATCTTTTTTCTAAGTACAGTACATATAACAATTAACAGTGGATACTAGCTGTGTTTTACTGATTAAACCTTGCTTCTTTTGTCTTGTGTAGCCACCTGGAGTTTTATGTGTCAGGGTTGCAGCACTACATTAGACATGGAATTACCTGCAGAAAGATAAGGTGAAAACTTTGCTACAATTTACATACGTATTGTAAGTTTAAAAGTACACACATACATATGCTGTTTACAGGTAGCCATTGTGACTGACCTGAAGGAGGATTATGAGGTTATCCCTGTATTAAGATCTGTCCGTACTGCAGATAACTCAACCCAGCGCGGGAAAGGTTTGCCACAACACTGGTTTGCCCTACTCTTTTTGAACAGTGGTGTGGGTTCTTTTATGTCCCACAAGAACCAGATAAGTGAAAATGTTGTGAGAAGGGACCTACGTTTTTCTGTCCTTGTTGGAGAAGACTAGAAAGTCTAACCATTTGCAGATGTCATTACAAAGGTAGCACTTTCTTCTCAGTTATTTAGAGACCCTGAGTGGTGGTCTGGCTGGGGTTTGAACCCGCAATCTTCCACTCAGCAGACTGCCGCTCTCCTAACTGAGCTAACCAGGCAGCCACTTCATTGTTCGTGACTATCATCATTACAGAAGCTTGTGTAGTTGCTGCTTGTAGAAATGTAGACACTGTTTCCTAGCAGTTACAGTGAACATAACTGAAGAGGTTTGAAACAAGGGAAAAAGACATGTACATCTTTGCAGTGTACCTTCAAATCCAATTTTTTTGCTCCAAATTATCTTCTTGCTCTTCTTCTCCTTGCTTTCTTGGGATATAGAATGATTATCATACTACTAAGTAAACTTGTATTTGTTTTTATGGTGGAGTAAAAGAATCCTAAATGTTCAGAATTACCATAATTCCAAATACTTTTTGTTAAATGCCTACACTGAAGCAAACTGAATGAAGCAGGAATTTTTTCTCGTAAATGACAAAACAAATAATTAATTTCTGCTTTACTTGCTTCAGTTTAATCTGTAAAGCAGATATTATTCTGCTGATTCTTGGAATCAAGGCTTTTCTATGCAAATATGTTAACTAAGTTCCTACAAGATAGCCAGCACGGTGTATGTACCAAAGTTGAGTCCTAGTACGTACATGTAAATCTAAAAGGCAACAGACAAAAAACATTAATTACCAGTTTTAACCGCATTTTGTTAACCCTACAAAGTACTAACTTCATGCTCATTTAATTCTTCAAAGGACAAGTGTTGTGGGCTGTGAAACTGACATGGAGTTCCTTGCAAAAGTACATTGCATACGACAGGCATCCAAGGTTTGTTGTTAACAAGTATTCCATAAAGGCCGTTGTTTCCAAAAATTACCCAGAAAAAAAAAAAAAAACTTACAGCTTCTCTGTTTGGTTTGGCTTGTTAAAAAAACTTTTAATCTCCTGAAGAACTGACCTATATGATTCTTAACAGGTTTTTGTTGTGAGTAATGTCTTGCTGGGATGTATTATTTAGTGAAAAAAAAATTAATTTAATTTACAAGACTAAACTTTAGTCCTGATCCATCATTGAATTCTCTTTTTATTGGTATGACTGTGTGTTTTGTTGTTTTCCCTCTATGATTTTTTTTTCAAGATGGTATTTTCATCTTCTGAAATCCGTCAGTGGTTCATTGAAAGTGGTCGGCAAGCTGTTTCTACCGTTATTGAACAGGCAGGCAAGGTGCGGTATTGCTATTTTTGTTTTATTGTTCTATAAATAATGGACTAACATGACCTTAACCTTCCCAAACCAGAACAGCCTTTCTTTAGGTTAGAGTAATTCTCTCTCTACTGTTGATACTTGATTGCCGCAAGAATCTACAACCTTTGTTCCAGTTTTCCGTAATCTTGTTACTTCTCTCACATGTGTCAGAAAAAAGTTTTGTCTCTGTAAAGTAACCAACTCTACTCAATGTTTAATGCCTGCGAGAAACGCTTGAACGGATCATGGAAATTCAAGAAACAGTAGAAGTTAACAACTCTTCAGGAAAATTTACTTTCATTCTAACTGCTCAGGTGGTACATTGCATTGAAACCTTAAAAATAATCCAACAGCATTTTGCATCATGTAAATAGAAGGAGTTGTCAGTTCACTGGTTGAACTTGAACAGTCATCCATGACAGTTTATCTTATGTAAAATCCATGCCTGTAAACAGCCATCTCAAACTCATTAGTAATTCATAAAGAAAATACAAAGGAAATTAATGTTTAATGAGTGTTTGGAAATCAGATGAAAAACTGCTCATTTTTGCCTCCTTAATTTCTCTTTCTAAAATCATTTTGTTTGAAAAGTAATATCAAGCATTCGACACAGTGTTTCATCACCAGATGAAACACCTCGATGTTCGTCAAAAATACTCCTCAGCGTGTTGTATTTTCACAGATGGAACACTGTGTTTCATGCTCTATATGCAACTCTCTTCTCACAGATGAAACACTGCGTCTCATGCTTGATATATTAGGGTTTCAATATGAACTGAATGCAGCATGATACTCTTCACAGGATCCCTCGGACTTCCAAGCTGCATTTGATGAATTAGTAGAGTATACATCCTCTGCAGACAACTGGAGGCAAATTAAGGATGAGCTTTCAGGCCGAGGGGTATGATTTATTGTTTTATTTTTTATTTTTACCTCTCTAACATTCAGGTACAGTTATACAGGTTACAAGTTGTGTGTAGAAACCTATCTAACCACAAGAAAACCTTAGAACAAATAACAGAAAAAATTATTTTGGCCCTAAAAACAACAGCAGCTCCGATACAGCTGAACCAATAGAATCAATATGCATGCATGAGAGAGCTACATCACCTCAAGAAACACTGCTTATTGGCCCTGGAAATGAACAGTTTCCGTTGAATTGTGTCAACTAGTACAGCTTAGTCATGTGTGACACAACTTACAATACCCGTTTGCCCAATAGCCCACTTTACAGTAATGTTACAGGTGGAAACAAGGCTGGAGTTGACCTTGTTTTGATACAACCCTTCCTGCTTTGTTATGTAAATCATGTTGTTCTTATGCTAACTAGTATTTTTAAAGCATGATTTCCATAAGAAAAGGAAGGAGGTTTGTATCAAAACAAGGTCAACTTCAGCCTCACGTTCACTCAAAGGCTAGGATACTAAGTCTGCAACTGTAAAATGGCCTATTACAACTGTGGGCAAAGGAATTTCCAGAGTACAGTTTCAACAGGGCATAACAGTGATAATAATAATAATAATACTAATAATAATGTTTACTTATATAGTGCCATTTCCGTTTCCGTTTCTGTCCAATGATGCTTTACAACAACAATTATTTTTTTGAAAAAAAAAATTAACAATATAATGCACCGTTTAAAAATTTTTAAATTAAGCTAGCGTTAAAAGTTACAATATTGTTAAAATGAATAAAAACGTGAATAAAATCAAATAAAAATATGTGTCCATTTCACATTAAAGATAGTGACCACAAATCTGGTTGGCGGCTGCATAAATGAATGCTTCAAGGACCAGCAGAGTTCTCTCTCCTTCCTCTTATTTCTCTCTCCCGTAAGAGACCTCTGGAATCAAGGAAATATGCCAATGGATTATAATTAATTTCTTTTTGTATCTTATCAGGTGAGCCATCTCTCATTCTATGATGTACTTCTGGATTTTGTGCTCTTGGATGCTTTTGATGATCTAGAGACCCCACCCTACACAGTAGCAACTGCTGTCCAAAACAGATGGTTATCAGCACGCATTAAAGAAACTGTAAGTACCCTGGGGCCTGTTCCCTGAAAGTCCACTAATTTTTCACGCCTGAAGCCTAATTTGAAAATTAAAATCATTAAAATAAAAAATGTGGGTCCTAGCTATCAAACTAGTTCATTTTTAATGTTAACTGATACTTTTGTAATATTATCTGCGAAACTATTGAAATTCTGATCTCCTTTTCGCTATTACACAGTCACATTCTGTGTGGGATAAAAGCACTATCTGATAGCACTAGCACTGCCCATCAGTCTAGTTGTATTTACTGATTATTAGTATAATAATTATTACATTGATGATTATCGAAAATAGAGTGCTATGATTGGCTAGGAGCCTCGCTTCACCCGGCTATAATCACCGTGCGGTGATTATAACATTAAAGGCTAGCAGTTTTCAAAATGGCAGTGAGATTTGTTGATGTTTCGGAGTGAGAAATTGTTCAATAATTTTATTTTTTCGAATAATCATCAATGTAACTATACTAAAACAATTAGTCACCTCAGGCGATGTGAATATCGGCGAATAGTCACCTTGACTTATTCATGTCGCCTTTGGTGACTTATTGTTGACTGGTAAGCTGCTTGGTGGACTGATACCCGGGCAGGGGCTACGTTAAATTAAGGGAGAAAAAAAATGTATGAAGGCCTTTAAACTGCTTTGCTCATCAAACATTGCATTTGAAGTGCTGGGTCCAGTTCTCCGAAAGATGGCTAAGTTTAACCCACTATTAAGCCAAATTTTTAGCAAAATACTGTTGAGCCTTTACCCAAAGATACAGCTGTAATGATAACACAAAATGTTACTAAAAGCAATACATAAGAAGGTAAAATAGAACAGTGGAAAAAATTATAATCCTGGATCAGCACTAATCAGCCTTTCAGAAACTGGGTTTTGCCTGATAGCATCAAAATGATGGTGGCAATCTAGCCTTGTATCTCATATGGATTTCGAGTAATCCATAAAATCAAGGCTGTGCTCTAAGAAAAATTGAAAAAAGCCCTGGCCAGTGGCCTGAACCTGTGAAATCTGGGGTGCCCAGCATACGGTTTCCAAGAACAAACTTAAAAGATTTTTTAGACACCTTGGAGCCAAAGATCAGCAGGCACTGCTAGAGCACATCCTTGATAAAATGCATAAATATCATTATAATTAAATACAGTAGCAATATTTTAGGCTTGCTCATGACATAGCTTAAACTTTGTAAGCTGAATCAACATCTTGCCTTCCTGTCTCTTTGAGGTCTCTTTCAGTGGTGGGTTGTAGTTATAAACTGAGTTCTCCTTGGCATTATTTCTTTTCATGTCTTTGTTTTGTACTGTTATTGCCAGGCACTTACCACAGCAATCTGGGGTGTTTTGAAAGCCAAGTCCTCTTACCTTCAGGTTAGATACTGATTTCAGCATTTTTTTTCTTATTTATTCATATGATTATTAATATTTATTTATCGGTACAAGCTTTGCCAACAGGCAACACTTCAACTGTGAGGTCCAAATTTGCATACGCACTGGCTTAGTTGAGGCATTGTGTTATGCTGCCATAATTATCCCAGACATATGAATATCACTTCAACACAGCTCTTTTAAACAAGGCTGTGTAGAGCTGTGCCAAAGAATTCTAGGGAACATAAAGGAAGGTGCCCTGCATATAAATAAAAATTATCTACAAAAACAAAAAATTCCTTATTTTGTTTGACATAAAAGATTTAAAGTTTCAAGAATTAATGACAGGATATGCTATCACCAGCATCACCGTTGTCCTGTTCATCATCATCATCATCATCATCATCATCATCTTAACATGAATTGTGTTATCTTTTACAGGATCCCTATGGCTTTATGGCGCATTTCTATGTTGTGGCTCAGTACGTGTCCCCAGTTCTTGCTTGGGGATTTTTGGGAACAGATGAAGAATTAAAACAAGTGTGCGAGTATTTTAAGGTTGATATCCATTCCTTTTCTTTTTCTATTTTATACTTTGTTTTTAACTAGAACTATACACATTCGTGAGTAAACAGACCAACTTGCTCTCTCATCAGCTAAGAAATGGGTAGGAAAACCGGCTTCATTTCTATTTTGTTCTGTCCAAGATTGAAATTGTGGACTAAAGAGATGGAAAATGTACATCCCTCCGCCTCCCAAATCACGGATGGGAAAATAGTTCGCTTTGGCTTTCGCCCTGCTTCATCCTTGATTTCGGGGGGAAGCGCTTGCTGTTCTATGTTATTTTGTCCAAGATTGTAGCTAATTTGTGACTCAAAAAACTGGAAGTTAACAACTATTTGTCGACAACACCAAATTGACGCTTTGACTTCATCTTTATTTTGTTTTAGAGTAACATCCTGGGCTTTATCAAAGACATCTTTGACTTCGACAGCTCTGATTATTCAACAACTGAAAGCTTGCGTGACTCCATCGTCAGATTAGCTAAGGAAAGAGGGGAACAGTTGTTGAGAGGTCAAGTCGAAGACACTGACGTTCTGGAAACAACGGATTCCTTTGGCGAATCGCAAGGCTTACAGAAGGTCAAGCAATGCTGAGGAGAAATATCTTGATATTTATCTTGAACTGGCTGAGAGAGTGGCCGTTTTTATGCTAGGGACGTTTAAGCCGTCTCCTGTTGAAAAAATAGTTCAACACTCGAAGAGAAATTTCGTATCTCCAAGCGGCCATGTATTGCTCTATTTATTATATAAACACCAATAAAATACCAAACCATTTCACTTTAATAGTTTTTTATATAAAAAGGCACCAATTTAATACCAAACCATTTCAACGGTGATATTTTTTTTGTGAAGATATCAAGTTTTCGCGCGAAAGCTCACCTGGTATTTCATTGGTGTTTTTATAATAAAACTGTGTTTTTCACAATGTTATCGTCTACTTGAATGCATCCCGTTTTTATGCCAGTCGCCTTTTAACGTCTCAGACGTTAAGCACGTCTAGACGACTTTAACGTCTCTAGTATTAAACCGGCCATCCTCGAAACGGCAGATTTCGGCAAATTATTATACGTTTCTGGGGGAAAGGACGAAGAAGGAAGCAAAAAGGGGAGAGAGCTCAAATCTTACATCATCTCTCTCCTAACCCCTACCGAGAGCTTGATAGTAAGGCTAGGGTGGATTTCTTTTTTTAAGGTCAGAGTTGGTGACTTAGGAAGCACTTGAAGAGCAGTGTATTAGACACTGGTGCTTTTGAGGTATTTATGTTGACAAAAACACCACGGCGGCGGCCGAATGTTATTGTTTGGAACACATTTTATTGTTTATACAACGTTTGTGAATAATTTCAGTTGTATATAAATGTGAAACTTACTTGGTATTTTTTTAAGGCGATGTTTTACGGGGCGATTCACATCGACGATTTTGAGCACATTGTATCGTTTAACGTTGTTGCAACCCTGAAAACGCCCTAAAATTGTCGTTGCAAATCGTCTCTTGTAACGTTACATTTAATCCATGAATCCAGGGCAAGCATATTCTCCAAGGAGGCTATTTATTGTGTTTCGTGTCCATTCTTACTTGACTTAACTTGCAAAGTTTCGATGATTGCAAACCGTTGTGGCTTTAGCGCCCTAGACGTAATCTATTGTTGTATTTTTGCTTATTTTCCTACACTGGAGGAAAAATGAACTTACAAAATCAAGGGAGCATTCAGACACATTATTTTCACGAGTAGGAGAGTTTTCTCTCGCGTGCTTAAAGTATTAACTGCTGTTGTGTTACCCTTCAAAAAGAAATTTGATATTTATATTTTGGAGTCTTTTTTTCTTTGGCCATTGTAAGGAGTGAAAGGTTTAACACATGACGCCAATCTGATTCTAAAGGAAAAGCCCCGGGGACGAGAATTTAATGATCAGCGGTCTTACAAATTATTGAAGGCTGTTTCATGTAGGTTGGATTAGCAGCCGTTCTTCGGCTTCGGGAAATGGGCCAGAGTTCACTCATGCAAGAAAACTGCTCCCGAGTGTACTCAAGATGGACAGACCTCGTATCTTGCGAACTACACCGCTGAAGTCCTACGAAGATAACGTTTTATCGTTGTTACGAAATTACACTCGACAAGAGAGTTCAACAATCGCAAAACAACGGCAATTTAAGGTTCAAACACTTCTTCGGAACGGTGATTCAACAAAAACCACAGGGCAACCACTCAAACATGTCTTTGTCAGAGTCTCTCCAGCAACCAACCGCAGACCAAGGGTTTGGTATACCCAGGTAAAATAAAGTGTTTTAACAAAAAACAGGGTGTGCAATCAGCTGTGCAATGCAATCCAATCCACGGGTAAATGCATGGATCTACATTAGACACATAAGACGCCAGCACCTGTTTTCTTTTCCCGGATCAATTACGATTAAAAGAATACATGTGGGTAAAGAACTTTATTTCAGCCGTGTTTGATTTCATAAAAAGGACAGCCGACTGAGCTACAGTAATTGAGAATTACACATTGAAAAAAGAGTAGTAATACAGAGTTTCATCACATGCATCTCGGAAAAAATTGAGCTCGTTAATCATTCCCTCGTGGAAAACAACTAGAGCCTCCTCCCTCTCCTCTGCACTGAAAAAGAAATCAACAAACTTCTCCAGGCGGCTTTTGTGGTCTGGATCAGGCTTGTTATCCTCAAACCAGCCATAGTATGGATTGGTGTCGCTTACAGAACAGATGGTCTCACTGGCAATCCATGGCCAAAGCATTGTGCATGGCAACATAGCTATGGCTAGGAACTTGGGACGCTGGCGGCTCAGAGCAGCCTCGTAACCCACGTACATATCAGCTGCAGGACCCATGACTACGCTGTCAGTATTCTTGAGTCGCCAGGTCTTCACAAACTCTTGATTGTATTGCTTGTAGCTCTCAGACTGGACACGGTAAAGTAATGAAAATTCTGGCTTCCCGAGCAGCTGAATCTCTTTGGCAGCGTGGTCGAACGCTTCCACTGCATTAAAGCAGTAAGCAGCATCTTGCACCATGTAGCCTCCATAGTCATCAGGGTCAAGAGTTCCCGTGGCCATCCCTTGAATAAACTTGGTCTCTTTGGCGGCATTTCGGATCTTCACGCTTACTTCATTGTTAAACAAGCTTTGGCTAAAAGACCAGCCTTTCTCCACTGGTTCATCGGGAAGATAACTGAAGTCAAATCTCTGTTTTCTTATTGCCTTTAGTTGTCGCAGACGTTTACCCTCTGAAGAAGAAAAAGCACCCGTTGTTGCTGCTGTCTTATCAGTTTATACTCTGCTGCATGACACCCCTGGCATGACTGATCACGATCTCAATTGTCAGCTTAGGCAAGACCCCAGGCAAACGTCAAACTTCGAAATCCACTTTAGACTAATTAACCTCACGTTATAGATAGTGGGGAAGACGCGAAAGTGAAAGGCACGCGAACGTTAATGCGCCACTGAATAGCTTTCATTAAGTTCCTCACATGTGAAATTAGTGCCAAGTGCCCTGGTGATCTGATATTGTATTAAGTGTGGGAGGCTGCAACAATTTATGTGTTTGCATAGCCTGCGTGGCAGGCGTTCGAAAGGGAAGGGGAAGGAAATTAGGGCGCGAGACCGCGCACGAGGGAGGAGGGAGGAGGGGAACCACACACTCTCCGCCCCACACGCTCTCGCGCGCCCAAATTCCCCCTTCCCCTTCCCCTTTTAACGCCTGCCACGCAGGCTAGTGTTTGCATGGCTACGTGTTGTCATTTTTTCCATTAAAACGCCATTCTCGTCTACAAGTCAGTTTCTCTTCCCTTGGGAGAAGTGAAGCGGCGTGTCGACGAAAAAACAACAAGGCGATCAAAAACGAAAAGAGAACGAAGTTTAAAATGGGTAGAGGAACTAACCTTGCAAGCGACTCATCGTCCTGAGGTGTTACTGGAAGACAAAAGAAACATAAACTGAATGTCTGCTGGTTCGTCATCTGTAAAACTTGATCTTAAATTGCTGCTTAAATGAAAAAAAAAACTACCTAAATTAATGAAAAGTAGCTGGAGGTATTCCACAACCATTGCTAAAGATTTATAGCATTCTGAACTTAAGTGGATTCAGCTAGCGCTCCGTTCGTTCGTTTGACAGAGCCACTCGTATTTTATGCCTCGCAATATTATTGTGCAGTTCTCAGTTTTGCGTTCAGCCTCCCTTATACTGCAACGATTAACCCTTACCTTTCAAAGTATTAACACGATCACCGATCACCGTTTTTCAGTTTGTTCAACCTACGAGATTTCCTGCAGAGAACCTTCTGAGCTTCCTCAAAGGCGAAATTACGTATTTGTACGTGCTGTTCCCCCGTTTCTAGGAAAAAAAAAGCGGAATTAATTGCACAAGAAGTCAACAACTGACGTCAACCCTACAAGGTTCACCAGTCAAGGATTAGCAAACTATTGCCAGTCACGCAACGCATTATAAGGGAAGGAAAGGGACTGCACGGTTTATCTCTAAACCCTGACCCTAAAGATCAGGCGTCCTTTGTTAGCTAGCGGAACTGAATTTCGCGCTTACTTAATTAAAAATGTATTCAGCCTCCATCTCCCACAACACAATTCAACGTAAATTCCAAAAAGTTAGGACCTTGCCGGATACAATAACATCATTCCTAAAATATCCGGGAATGCAAACAAATACTAATACCCTGGGGGCACTCTTATATAAAAGCGAAGGGGCGGGCGTGATCGGCGGGCGTAGCTCAGGCCTCAGTATTCGGCCTAAAGGATACCATAACTCAACACAGAAAAGTCTTTCGCGCTAGTTCGTCAAGAAAGGTGGGACGAGAGAGCAAACCAGGGGAATGAAGGGGACGGGTGAAGTTTCTTCCTTTCCCCTCCCCGTCCTTCCGTATCGGAAGTGCTCCCCCTCCCCCCGCCCTAGGTTGTAACCGGACTTTGCTCCGGAAAAAAGAAAAGAGTAACAAGAAGAAGCGCTGGATCTTTAGTGTCGAAATATTTCAAGATATTTAACTTGAGAGATCAGCCCGGGGTACTGGAAAAATTGGGTAGGGGTGCGGCCCCCGCTTCCCAAAACCCTTACCCTATTTATGACCAAAATCTGCGATTTTCCCCCTATTTATGACCTAACCAAAAATTTGATACCCTATTTATGACCTGACCCTTAAAACAATACCCTGTTTCAGACCTGCCTTATAATTATTTCCCTAGTTCAGACCAATGTTAAAGGCAATGTTTATCTGCTTCTATTAGGTTAGGGGGACATGATAAGGAAGTAGCTTCTTCTAAAAAAGTGCATTCAAGACTCAGTGCAAAAATCGTTATCCTATTTATGACCAAAATGGCGGCAAAATAGCCAAAATCGATACCCAATTTATGACCAAAACGGCTGAAAAACCCTACCCTTTGGGGCCGCACATACCTATATAACCCATATTAGGGAGTACCCCCCCCGGGGAGATCAGTTACAACAACCGTCTCAGTCAGATATAGCGCTGCATTTTCGTTAGTCACGTTTGCCTCACGATTTATAAATTTGAGTATTCATAAAGTTATGGGCAAGCCGGAGTTCGATTTTATTGACCACAATTTCAATTCAAGCTTCCCAGCTGACTTCCACCTCGCTCATTTTTCGTAAAGGAAGCCTCTTGTTCATCCAGTAGGTACTACAGAAGTTATGTTCATGCGGGTCCAAACTTCAGCATTTACGGTCGACTGAACAAGCTACAGTGATCTGTTTATCATAAAACTCACAGCTCTCGAAGTCGCATGTGCAAGGAAGCACGAAACGTTTAACATATCAGTGCCGTAGTCAGACCAAACGGCCAACCGAGGCAGGCGGGAGTTGCTAGGGGTTCGGGGCGTGCCCCCCCGAGAAATTTTGAACTTTAGTCTCTCGGAAATGCGATTTGCAGCGTTTTCTGGGCCTTTCGGTAACTTTTTTTCGAGTTAATTTAAGTGGAATTTAAAAAGCAATAATCAGAAACAAGCTACATAATCTGGGTGACCGTTAACCTCGCCAATGGTTTTGATCAGTATTTGTTCAAAAAAAATTTGAGTTAACGTACGTAGCCCCTTGAGATCGATGATATGGTAATTTTTTCATAGTATATTGACTGAATTGCTGAATTCTTTGTAATATCATGATGCGTTAAAAATATCCGATGATCGCTTATGTAAAATAAAAATGATCGGGGAAATTCGTCAAAATTTTACCGAGGCGAGTGCCTCGGTTGGCCTCATACTAGCTACGGCGCTGCATATAACATCATGCGGCAAGAACTATTCCAAACATTCTTAGTTGAAATTCCAAAGTGGCTTTCTGCTTTTTTGGGCACTTCCCTGCACGGCATGGATTAACGCTAATACTCCTGATTTTTTCAATTTGCTTAGACTGTTTGGGTGTTTTTTGCGCCCCAGACGGCCGCTCTTACGGTGGTTCCGAACCCGCCGCCTCAATTTTTTAAAACTTTGCACAAATCAAATCTTGACCTGGCTACTGACACCTTAAGTTGCAGCCACAACCTGCTCCTGCAAATGGACCCCATTGGCATGTTAATTAAAATTTGCTAATAAACTACTAATTCTTCGAACTGATCTCCATACTTTTCCTTAAAGAATTATTTGAGAGAAATTGTCTATAGTTTGATCAATTTATTAATTCTCATGTCCTTAGCGGAGTGTGGAAAATTGACACAGAAATTAATACAAAAACAAGACCTCAGTAGGCAAATAAAGAGAAAGACAAGTCGCCATGAGCCGCCTTCAACTGCGTAAATCCAGTTCAATTCGCAGTTGCTTTATATATGATGGGAAAATTATCACTTTCTTATCGCATAGTCCTTCTTGAGTTTTCTACGATTTTGGCCGGCCATATACTTTTCTTTTTTCTTTTTTTTTCTTCTCTACTTAAGTCGTTTTTGTGGAGATAGGCTCTTTCTTATCATGGATCGATGAAATGAACTTGGAATCATTTCTTAATCTTTGTTTAACTCTGGATAACGTTTTTAATATTTAGTGTTTTAGCTTTATTTGAACAACTCAAACCACAAACTTTCCTTTCTTGCGACAAAGAACATTTATCTAAAAAAGAAACAACACTAACGTTGACATGATAATAAAAAGTGAAGGAAAAAAGAGCTAAAAACAAACTTGCTTTAATTAATAATTGTCTTTATTTGGATATCTTCCCTGCTTTTTGTTTTTGTTATTTTCAATCAACGTTTATTCAATCAAACTCTTAACGGGTAAAAATATGCCTGTAACAGTAAAATTTTATCTCAGAATTTTAAAGGAATTGGTATCATGGGTCCAGTCCAACAGTTATTTTCAAAACAAGATTAATTTCAACTTGTTATGCGTTAGTAAAAAGTATCCAGTATGTAATCTCAGACAAATAAAATCAAAAGATTTTTATTTGCATTTTATGGACGATTCTGCAGAAGGAGATTTAATGGTTGCAAATTTTTAATAACGTGAACGGCCGTTCTAACACTTTAAACCCGTTTGTAATTTTAACACTTACTATTCAAATTTAAGATATTTTAACGGAACATTTATTACCTTGTCCAAAGGACACTCAACAGTAAACTTCACTGACTTAGGTGGCATATATGCATCCCCTGCAGTGTTACTGTACTGAATGACTCAATGTTTATGTTTATCGATAAAAAGTAAACAGGTAAAACAGCTGCTGTAGGAGTTTACGTAGATACATTCAGTTGTCGGATCCAAATCGCAGTCCTTCGTACACACGCGCAGGACTATGTAAACGTTCTTTTGCCGAAACCGCAATATTGCATTGTTTCTTGACAAAGAAGGCGTGGACACCAAAAATAGTTTAACTTTACGTGCTCAAACCCAGGTGACGAAGCACAAGTTGAAAGGCAGCTTCGTTACTTCAAGTACTAGATAAGTCATGTGTCATTTTTGCTTTGGTTCAGTACAAGTTGACCCAAGCTGCACACACCTTGCGGATAGCTCAGGCCACTTAATCAGATGAATGAAAGTCTTAAGGCTCCTGGCATCATTTATTTTGCACACTGACCTGAATAATCAAAGTACAGGGTCATATTCATATTGATAGTTCAACAGCAGCAAAAGAAAGGAAAAAGAGCGAAAACACAGTCATGCAGATGTTATCAGAAATCCAAAGAAATACTTCTTCCCTTCTTGATACATACCGGCAAGCTATAAAGTTTAAAAGAGTGCTTGATAATTACCGGAACAACTTGTACAGTACTAGTCTGGTCTTGTTGGCGTTAGGCGCAGCAGAAAATATCGTTGTGTGCTCGGTTCTCCTCAAAGCTTCTAAATCGGGAAGAGCCACACAGCCCAACGCAAAGTTATCCAACTTCCTCATTCTTCAGTTGGCGATCACAGACCTAGTATTCAGAGCTCTTAATGTACTTCGTAAAACATTTGCGAACTTTTGGGAAATAAGTCCTGAACATTGTAAAACAGTGATATTTACACAGTTTACCTGCGCCGCGGTGACGTTCGTGCTGCTTTCAGGGATTGCCCTCGATCGGTACATTCACATCATATTTCCTGTTCGAAGTTTGGGATTGAAGCCAAGAAAATGCTTGACTATGCTTCTGATCTGGGTTTATGCCATGTTAATTTGTTCCGGATTCATTCCAAGCGCTACTGTGTCTGCGAATATTTTTAATTTCCGCCATAAGAATCGTCCATTCTTAAACTTAACGCAGAACAACGTAAGCCGCTGGCGAGATATTAGGGAGCCTAGAAAGCACTGTACACCGGGATCTGTGGGATCATTAGAGCGACAGGTTGCCTTTACTACTTATTTTCTGTTGGCTTTTGTTGTACCTTTGGTTTGCATCATATTCTCATACACCAAGATAACTTGCTTTCTTTCGAACAAAGCAAAAGCAAGTAATCACGTACACCGTAACATAGCAAGAGCTAAA